TGACACCATTGTTGAAGTTGTCAATGGGGACTTGTGGGTTGCCAGTGTTGTCCCAGTCAAGGGTGTCAATATCGGAGTGGATGACCTTGAATCCAAGGTTTCCGAGGGTTTGGAGATTCTCGCCGCTGACGCTGAAGTATGGTGGGCGCATGTAGGTGGGCGCCTTTCCGATGATGTTGTAGAGGGCGTTGTCCAGCTCGTTCATCTGGTAGGTGACGTCCCCGGGGCCAAGGTTTGCGAGGTCAGGGTGGGACCAGCTACGTGATGGCATGAATGTAAGAAAATGCTGAGAGTGTACAAAAAAGATGGGGAATGAGTTTGCAACTTACGTGTGTGAACCGACTTGGTGACCCTCGTTGATCATGCGCTGGACGGTGCCCTGGTAGTCCCAGATGGAAGCCCAGTTCTGTCCGTTGAGGAAGAAAGTGGCTCGCATACCAGCGGCACCCAGAGCGCTGATAACCTGATCAGTGTAGGCGTAGGGGCCATCATCAAAGGTCAGGGCGATGGTGTTTGGGACAGTGCAGCCATAGATGATAGTTCCAACGGGGACTTGGCGCTTGTCAAGCTCGGGCTTGGAGACCGGAGAGGCGGCAGCCACAGCTGCCAGGGCGGAGCCCAGAAGATATGATGCAAAGAGCATGATGTCTATATGAAGCTATCACAGAAGGAGGATTTATTGGTTGTTTGGGGTTGTATGTATTGGTGATAAGGATATATCAGAATATACAGAACGAGCTGGAGGATCAAGGAATGGGTAGCCAAAGGCGCGAAGAAGCAATGAGTGAATGCTTATTGTTGAGGATGATGAGAAGATAAAAACCATGTAGAACGTCGTGCGAAGAGCCCAGCTTTATACAATTGCGTGGGCTCTCGACGTGACAAGACAGGACGAGGTCGCCGCCAGCTGACCTGGCGTCATACTGCTTGGACCGACATAGGAATCTTGCTTTCGAAACCCCCCGGGTCTCTGTCTTTCCTTCCAACGCTCAGCCGGTGGAAATCATCCGCCCGTCATGTCTCTCTTGCAAGCGCGCCAAGAAACGCCGCGCCGCCAACCTCTTTTCGTGTCTGTGGCGGGCGAGAGAGATCATACTACTCCAGGACCCAGAGCCGGTACGAGAAATAGGGTGGGGGAAGGCATCCAGTCAGCTACATCATGTGAATTGATGGAGGGGTGGACTGTTCGCTGTCCCCCAAGTTCGTTCACATACAGGGCTGGCTAACCCCATTTCATGCCGTCATCCCCGCCGGATTCGCGTTGAGCTGAAGCTGGTGTTGCCGATCAATTCACTTATTCTAAGCGACGGGGGACTACCTTGTTAGTTGCAGCTCGTAAAAGAAAAAAAGAGGGACATAGGTGTCCGAGCGGGGAAGAAGCAAAGCAGTAATCAATCAGGGGTCCAGGGCAGAGACGCGGAAGAACAAGCAAATAAGAAAAGAAGGTTAGCGATATGGTTGGCCGGGGTTGGGGGAGCTGGAAGAAGCCTGCATATGCGAGTGTCCCAACTCATTTACTACGGTTGGTGCCGCATGGACGCCGTGTGTCTCGGATTCGATCGCCCGTATCTTGGCCTGGCGTCCACTCGGGCAGGTCTCTGGCCGTGTCAACAAAAATGTATGTTGAGGTGCAGCAGCCGACGAGATAACGGTAGGTTCGGGTCTCAGTCGGAAAGGTGGGCGAATTAGACAGAATGGAGTCGTTCCAGCCAGCCAAGCCACTATGGTATTGTTCCGTTCAACGACAATAACTTCACGGGGGCTGGAGTTGATTTCATGTACGTACTTCCCGATTATCCCACCAGAGGAGGGGCACCATGGCGGATGATTGATGGGTGGACAGCAAATACACGGCCTCCGATCCAATATGCAGCGGGTTCGTCATACACTCATCCATCCGTCCATCCATTAGCATACACCCAGCTCCTAAATAGGCCACGCGAGCAAACAAGGATAATGGACAATCATGGGATGTCTGCCGCCGAGACAGGGGGCACCACAGTATAAGGCTCAAACTCGCATGGAAAGGGTCACTAGACTCAGCGTGCCAGGGCCAGCAAACCAATCCAGGAGGGGTGTGCAGGCCAGCCCCTCTATGATTAATCCGCGGCGCGTCCTTGGACAAGAAGAATGCGGGATGTGGGCTCGTGTGGTAGCATTTCAGGGGAGGCCCCTTGACGCCTGAAAGCTCCCGAAAGTACCGACCGGCTGGCCTGCGATCGATACAACATCAACCGTAGCGTTTGTGTATTTGTGTACTTGGTGGCCTGGGGGGCTAGTGTCGCAGTTAAACACGACAGTTACACACGTTGCCTGGGCATTGCTCGCGAGTTTTTCATCCGCATATCAGCCAGCCTCTTCTCACTCGAATTCAATGCCGTTTCTCATCATAGCATGCTGGCAGTCAGAGAGCTTACGGTACAAGTCATCAAGCATATTATCTCCAGATAGGTACCGTGCCCCTACAAGGACTTTGGGCTTTAGGTTGCATGACTGTTGTCTGTCATAAAATGCAGTTCACAGTTGACTTTCTCGGCGCAGTGATGCCTCCACCCACACAGAAGCGGGAGAGTGTGCTCAGGTATGAACAGGACCAGCTGACAGCCGGGCGCTTTTGATTACATCTACGACGTGGCGCAAGAAGGGAGTGACCAGCAACAGCGAGTCGGGTAGGTTTGGTGCCTTACATTGCCTATCGAGCCGTGCCATGGCGCCGCCGCTGGCGTCAATCGAGACCATCACGAGATGAGAAAAAGAAAATCCCGTTTCCAAATGATCAAGGCGTTCACCATGTACAAATATGTGGCCCCGTGTCAGACAACAAGGCGACCGGCAACCATCTGATGAGCGGTTGAACGTGGGTAGATGATTAGTACAGGGACGCGAATGAATGCGAAAGAGCGGGCGGAATGGCGCTTTGGTCTTCTTGACTCCATATTAAGCATGCTGGGTGATTTCATGCGACAGATAGCAAGATTACCCTCAGCACAGCTGGAGCCCGAGCGCCACGACGGGGGTGGAAGGGAAAAGAAAGCAGGCAAGACATCAACCACTGAACCATCGAGCCAGAAGTGGCGGTCTGGGTCATCAGGCAGGCTTCAATAGCACACTCCTCTCACTGTGTTACACATCCATCTGCAGCTCACCCACAGCCCCAGCCTGATACATGGCTGATGGCGCACCTGAGCAGGGATCCGCGCTGTCCATCACCCGCAGATGATCGATTGGACATCAGCACCCGGCGGGCCAGTATGGGCAGTGATTGGGCTTCAGCCAGCCACTGCTTTTTCGCACAATTGCTTCAAATCGAGCCAGGAGACATCCCGATGGCTGTGGAGGATGTGCCAGATCAGAGCTGGCGCCAGAGGACACTGCCCCAGACATTGCCCTGGTTGGTTACATTCTAAGATTTGATCGGGTCCACTACGACTGAGACACGGAAAACAATTAGATTGCGCAGTGCCTTGTGATTCTGGAAGCAGTCTAACATTGAAACTATCGCCGGTCGAGACATATCAACGCCTCAGACAAACAGACGCATGATTTTTTCTGAAATAATTCCTGCGCTTCCTTCTCCCGGCAGCCTCTATTTGTTTTGCCAAATGGCAGATTCCGGTGGAGGCAATTCTGCCCGAATGATTCGTGGTGCGTGAGATTACATCACCCCTCTCTAGCGGAACACATCCGCGTGATGCCGATGCCGATGCCCGACAGTTGGTGCCTACCCTAGAGCTCACCATTTCACATAAGCAACTATCCTCGTGATCATCACTCGGCCTTTTAAACAGCCTCGGGGATGTTGGTATTGTTTTCTAGCGAGCCTGATGGCGGTGAATTTAGTCATGCTTAGAAGGCTCATCTTCAAGCAGGGTTCCACTGCATTTTTCCAACCCACCTGACCAACGGCTAAGCAAAAAGGCTTCTTGGAGATGGTAATTCATAGTGCTGCGTCTGATGTATCACCTGCCAACACAATCTCACGATGACGCCGATCAATTGGAAAGGCTCTAATGAAAGATTGTAGTTACACCGTAACACCAACGACATCTACCTAGAAAATCCCACAGCTCCATCAGGGTCATCCCAAAATCAGCATCTTATCAGCCATTGTTATCAATTCGTATGGCAGTCACGTTTGATTCTCACTGCATACGAGAGACAAATAATACACACGGAGGACTTTGGCTGATCATGAGATTGGCTTTTCCTCCTGCTTACCTAGAACTTAAGCTTCTACCCAACCCCCTGCTTATCCAGAGTTGAAAGTCGTCATACTTCATACTGCCACTGGATTGCTTACCAAACATCTGCAGTTGGCAAACACAGTCATCGAGTGTGACGCGACACTAACAAAGCAATAATGCTATGCTCTCAGTTGATATGAATTTTTACGACCGCTTTATCTTGAGGTTTTTTTTTGTAAGATATACGTGAAAATGGATATCCCACCTTGAATCGTTCTCAGTATTCGACAATTCATGTAGAAGAGACGAGCAGTAGCCGACCCAGTATGTTGACTCTAAACCCGGATTTCCTCTAAGATAGCAACAAGAAACCCTCAAGTATTATTAGCCGAATGGTCCAACGAAGGGTTACCCAAGGCATCGGTGGCGAAAGTAGTTCGGCTGGTTCGATGGAGCACGCTGGAACGCCAAAAATATTCCCTAAAATTGGGACTTTGAGAGACGTCTTCAGGGCCCCCTGTAACCGGCCTTGCCCGTTTGGTTTCACGCCGTTCTACTAAAATTATGTTCCGAGGCAGCACTGCATGTTGCTTGCTGGGTGGGTGATATCATCTGGCCAGATTATATAATCGCTCATGTCGTCAGATTGCTGTATGCCCTCATAATTTCTAGGCAGCAGCCCCGCACGCTGATACTGCATATGCAATAATCAATTACCTGCTGTACACTGGTTGCCTCCGCTGTTGGTCCTGGGCACAACTGTCCATCTGGTTGGTTACCGTCGTCGAGTTAGGACTTTTGAACCTCATCGTCGCCATGACGCTTACAGGGTTGCCCGTTGAGCTCGTGCATCATGTCGCGTGGTACTGTGCACCGCACGACGTGCTTGCGTTGACCCAGACCTGTCGATCGCTTCGGAACACATACGACGAAAGTTTGTTCCGGCAGGCATTCGAATGCAATGTATGTTCCCAGATTCCGAAAGAACTCTGTAATGGCAGTTGTTGATTGGAACCTGTTTTGGCTGGTAGATTCCCCCAGTCTCGTCTCGATCAATTGCGAACAAGAAAGCCTTGGTGGCCTGTATCACCGACCAATTGAAAAGAATTGCTCAGCGGCCTCGGCAGGACCAGGCTGAATATCACAGAGCATGGTGGAAGCATCTCGCCGTGGTCGCGTTCCACTTGAGCCTCCTCAGGGGTGAAATGCTCGGACAAGTTTCAACAGTGACCTCAGAGATGAGCGCAGATAGCCTTGCCGGCACCGCCGAACTTTCAGAGAAGATTAAACTTCTGAAAAGGACCATGGGGCTTCTGGCTACGTCAGTGGTCTGGGGATGTGAGTTTGACGGTGCCTCATTTTGACTCGATGCTGACTTCCACAAGGTCTATCGGTTTGCGACAAGGATGTCATGCGTGCCCTTGATGAGCTCTGCGCCTGCACATACTCTGATAAATCGGAGAATGAAATGGTTGAACATCTATTGAGCTCTTCACTTGGGTTGGAAACTTCATTCTGCTCGGCCATTTGTGCCATACAAAATTCCAGGGGACCAGAGCCCGATCCCGAAGGCGATGTGGATGAGAACAGTGACTATGAACAGGACCAAGTTCGCATTGGTTTCACTAGGACTGCTGTGAGGCGCTACCTGGACACGTTTTTCGACAACAATACCCACGGAAGTGTTCTTCCAACCATGGCACTGCTGTTGTGCGCTGTAACTGCACGCAACTGTTTGCGGAAGAAGCCGAAGGTAGAGGATGCACCGCCGCTCTCGGAGAATATCCCATTCTTCTCCCGCGCGAGCAGCCAGGCATTGCCCGACGATCCAGCTACTGTGGCAACTAGCGGCCCAGTAGAAAGCATGCCCTTGCCCATGGTCACCACGGTATTCAAGGACGAGCAGGGCCCCTCTTACTCTCTACCAGCTACCTGTTGCTGGGAGCTTTGGTACAAGGCACGTATTAGAGCTCTGATCGATGATATAGACTCATGCGAATGGGAAGGATCGTATACATATGGGTTAAAGAGCCGGTCTCGTGTGGACCCGTTGATGAGGCAAATTCGGTTCCAGAAATTGTCCGAATCAGACCATCGAATCGAAATAGTAGCATCGGGATGCAAAGATGGGGTTGGGAATTTCAGGTTGGAAGGGTCCGTGGATCTGGAGACCTGTGGTGTCGTGATCCAGAAGAGATACGCTGGCCGCCATGGTTTCCAATGGAGAGGCGCAGTAACCCCACTGGGAATCTCAGGGTGTTATTTATCAAACTGGGACGAGAATCTTCCGTTGGGAGCATTTTGGCTGTGGAGACGTGATTGGAAAAGTGGCATTTGAATTTGCAAAAAGGCATGTAATTAGGAAGTGTGTGCCTAGTATACGTGGCAACGCATCAAATATAAGAAGACTGACAGAGCCAAGATGTTTTTACTACAGCATCCCCTCGCTTATTATTAATCATTTTAGATTTCCATATATTAAGAGTCCTGGGGATATATTTTGTGCTTAGAAAACAAGGATTAATTTAACAGAGTAACTTAATTTAGTTCTAGAAGCTTATTTACTTTCCTTCTACTTGAAAACTCGCCGTAGTCCATGAAACATTCATCTAATGTATGGCATTTGGAATTAATAGAAGTCCTCTGGTCGAACGAGGGACAAAAAACTCGTGGACGCACGATCTCAAGATGTTAGAACAAACGAAGTTAGAACGAGGTGGTGTTATAGCCTTCGATGTCTTTGCTTATATGCCCTTTTAAGACTTACCCGAACAGGGACTTTGGTTTAGGGCTTAGCTCCATTTCTAAACTTACAAGCCGGTCTTAAAAAGAACTGTCAGCCGAATCGCTACCAACCCTAACGCGTGGTCGCTCTTGAGTCAACCATTGGAGCAGATCCTGGATCTCGGGATGGAAGACAAGCGCAACGCCGCCGCCCAGCCTAATGCAATTTATATTAATTTATGGCGAAGGAATATTGAAACTAATTTAGGGAAAATATAGAAGACTTTTGCATTGTATTGGTGGCGGTGTTTTTTTCTTAGGATCTCCCTCTAATCTCGGCCCTTACCACTCTCAGATTCGCCCTAACAAATGTCCTTATGTGAGACTGCCCGAAAGTCCAAAGCCCACTTTCGGGCTATTTTCGTCCATCCTAGATCGACTGATTTGGCAGTTGGGAGGTCTGGCTTCTCAGCCCTGGTAGGGGAATCATGCGTTGCAGGCAACGTCCTCGATCGTACAAATAGGCCGCACCGCACCTCCCATATGGATTACTAGACACTGATTTCAAGACCACCTCACCAAGTCACTCCTTTGATTTTTTCTTGAAGATGCGATTCTTTAATGTTCTTGCCGTTTTTACGGCTGCAGCATCGGCTGTAACCCTTGAGGCTCGTGAAGAAGCAGAATTAGCCGCCCAGGGATGCGGGAACGGGGAGGTGCCCGATGAGTTTCTTCAACTAGTTGAGGAGCTGAGTGCCAAGAAGTCTCACTCCGTTCGTAGTGCGAAGAAGAAGAAGAAGTGTTCTAGTCGCCCTCGCCCTACTACGAGTGGTCTGAGTGTTTCAAGTGCTTCTGGTACTCCAAGTGCTTCTGGCACTCCAGGTGCTTCTGGCACTCCAGGTGCTTCTAGTGCTTCTAGTGCTTCTGACGTTTCTAGTGCGTCTGACGTTTCTAGTGCTTCTGATATTTTTAGCACTCCAAGTGCTTCTGATGTTTTTAGCACTCCAAGTGCTTCTGATGTTTTTAGCACTCCAAGTGCTTCTGATGCTTCTAGTACTCCAAGTGCTTCGAGTGTTCCAAGTGCATCTAACACTCCAAGTGCCTCAAGTGCTTCCAGTGCTGCAAGTGCCTCAAGTGCTTCAAGCGCTTCTACTGCTTCTAGTGCTTCTAGTACTCCAAGTGCTACTACCCGGGAGATTAACGTTTACATCCATGTGATATCCCCCAACGCCACTGACGACTATGTCACAGTAAGTACATTTACACATCCACTGAAAATGCCCGAATCTTATTGACAACGTAATCAGGACGGCGGAATCGAGAGACAGTTCAACATGCTCAGGGACGAGTTCGCCCAGCACGACTTCACCCTGAAGCTCGGCGGAACCGAGCGAATCAGGAACGAGACCTGGTCCATGGCCGTCGACAGGAACGTGTTCAAGAAGAAGCTCCGCAAGGGAAAATACTCGGATCTCAACGTGTGGATCCTGAAGGGCCTCAACTCCACGGGCGTGGTTGGCTTCGGCACTCTGCCAAACAAGAACCACGCCGAGACCTCGAACGCCTTTATAACCGACGGCATCGAGATCCAGAGGAGCACCATCCCAAACAAGGACGACGGCGACAAGTCCAAGGGCAAGGTCGGCGTCCATGAGATGGGTCACTGGCTTGGTCTCCTGCACGTCTTCCAGGGCGGCTGCACCGGCAACGGCGACTACGTGGCCGATACTCCAGCCCAGAACGGAACTGCCATGCTCAGCTGCAAGACTCGTTACAGTTGCCCTGGTGTCGGGCCTGACCTGACCAATAATCATATGAACTACAGTCCGGCGTAAGTAAAACCATATTGACTTATCATCGATTGTCTTGCTAACCAATAAACTATAGTCAATGCAGGACGTCGTTTACCCCAGGCCAGGTCCAGCGAATGCAAACCATGTGGGAGAACATTCGGACCAAGTAATTCACCGCACGACGGATCGATACGCCGATAATCGACCTTTGGGGTGGGAACACCACCAACATGTGGATAGTCTAGCTTTATAACAGTCAGCTTGTGTGACATTATAATCTTAAGATTTAGTTCTTTGGAGGCATTTTGAAGACTTTTATAAGTATTTAATCATCTAGCCAAGTCTAGCTGCTGTCGCACTTAAGTTTGGATGCCCAAATGTTGTTAAGGAGGCTAAAGCTGGAGATACTGAGCCCCAGATACTTCAAGGTAAAGTTCTTGCTGTCCAAATACCTTAATCTTGATGTCAAAATCTTCTTGTCATACGCGTGCCAATAATATCGGCGCGGAAGTACCGGGGTCATGGGATGATCAGCACCTCCCTCTCGCATGCTCGGGCCTTTCTCTCCCGTAATGCCCTCACCCCCCACATACCGATCAGGGGCATCGCAGGCAATGCAACCAACCTTCAAGCACTTGAAGTCTCTATGGTAATGCTGTACTAGTATCTATTCTGTCTTTCGATGTCATTTTTTATTACCAGAAAGAGCTCGTCAAATGACTAATTATGTCCAAAGAGCTCGCTAGAAATTATCGGAATCAAGATATGTTTGCGGCCAACTACTCAGAAGTAGACATCAAAGTAAGGTGAGAACCTTCACCCCTTCCTTCTTCAATGAATGCTATTCTTTATCAAGAATCTCGGAAGGTGAGCCCGTTTAAGCTTATCAAATCATAAAGAAATGAAACCCCAAGTCATACAAAACTCCCGAGTCATTGGATAGGAACATGAATTTCAGGGTGACCTCGGGGTGAGATAGCGACAATATAGCCATCATCACACTTAACATGCTCATTAACATGGGCTAGATGTTCCGAAAACCGAACCAGAGTTGTAAACGGAACTAGTCCTCTAATTTAATGCCCTGTCGTAGATTAAGCTACGACAGCAGGGTTACATTCAAGCCAAGAAGCTTTGGGAAACACCATCCGCTAGCAGGATTGCGGAAGAAAAGCTTCCACAAGAAGTAAACGCTAGAAGTCAAATTAAAGCTATCTGTTAATCCCGATAGGTGGAACACGGATTGGGAGTGTAGCTTTCCATTCCCGACCAGTCTCAATACGCATATCGGAGCAAAGTCCTCCGCCAAAATTTAGCCATCATCATATATCAAGATAGGCCGACCCCGCAAGTAGGAGCTTGGCATTTATGCAGTTCGTGGTTCGCGGATAGCTCGACAACAACTGCCGGACGCCAAGGAATGGTTGGGTTAAAAGGGTCCATTTCCCTCGTGATGAGGCCGGAACCAACTTGTGATCAACCAAGCTGCATTAGCTGACGATCAGCATAAAGAACAAAAGTATCATGCTTTCTTTCTCGACCATCTTCACGGCGGCTCTCGCCCTGGCAGGCGCCGTCAACGCTGCGTGCGGTGACGGGTCGGCCCACGCAAGTGTCTCCGGGTCTGGAACCTTCACGGCGACGGCGAACGGAGCCACTGTGTACACTGGCACCGATTACCGCCTCGCCATCCAGACTGCCCTCGACCGCATCAGCAGCGGACAGCGGCTGGTGGTGTGGTCTTCTGGCTCCATCGGTTCCAATACTCTTACAGTCACTGGAGGCAAGACGTTTGAGGTCTGCGGCACTCTCAACGCGGTCGCCCGAAGCGGACGGGGTGCAATCGAAGTAACCAACCAGAACGATGTCAGCATCCCCTACCTGACCATGACTGGAAACCCATACTTTGGTCTTCGCTTCTCCGGTACACGCAACCTGAACCTTGGAAAGATCACCATGAACCTTAGCGGCGGCCTAGGGATTCGATTTGACCGTGACCTTGCCCAAAACTACAATGTCAGGATGGACGTTATTACCGTGACAGGTGCCGGCAGCCATGCGGTGGAGACATGGAATATCGATGGCCTTACCATCAACTCGGTCATTGCTCGCAACGTTGGCGAGTGTGGTCTCCTGCTTCAGAAGACTATCAACGCGTGGGTCGGATATGTTGAAGGCAACAACGTCGCGGCTGGAACTGGATACGCTACTCTCCGATTCGCCAACAACAACGGGCAGCTTGCAAACGGCCAGTACACTACAACAAACGTGTATATTGACAAGGTCTACTCTCGTGGCGGCGGGCGCGGCATCTTCTGTGTTTCCATGTCCGGGGCGGCGGAAATCAAGTACATCGACCTTGCCAACAACGGTAACAACGCCGTGCTCATCGAGAATTGCTACAACCTGGCCATCAGGGATGGTGTCATCAACGGAGGAGGGGAGGTCCGCGTTGCTGCTCGTGATGAGTTCCCCAACACCAGTGGTATCTTCTTTGAGGTCGAGGTGAATAATAATTCGGTCCGGGAGTCTCCCTGTGCCGAGAACATTTTCTGGGCCATCACTGGCAACGCTAGCAAGAACATCTGCTAGGTGGAGATTTTCGCTTTGGGATTATGGAAGCACGTTTGCTGATAGGAGATGGGGTGAACATGCCAACCTCCACACACTCCTGAATGTATATAAATAAGTACTCGATTCGCTCCTTACATCGAGATTTTGCGTGCCGCCGATCCCCTCTTTCGTCCGTGAAATAGATCCCGCCCAGGAAGTCAGGAGATGGCAAGCTTTACAATCCTTTTAGCATGTCCAAAGGTTGATAATGACCCACCATCATCAAACTGAGCCTGTCGCCAAGCGCTTTATTCCATATCGTTCGCAATGTCTAGGCTTCATTAGAAGATACTGTGGGTCAACTGCTAGAACAGCGTCCTAATTGGCGGCCAACGGATTGCATGTGAAATAGTTTATGAAAAGGGACTATCACCAAGAGGGTATGGAGTGAAGCCACTACATCGTGATGGAAAGAGACAGAAACTATTGGTGCCAGCTGTTGCACACAATGGCGGAGAGAGTTTTTTAGGTGGATCACCACAATTTATGATTTGATGCTATTGATAGCATCCATGCCGCACTTGTATGCCTATAGCATGGAGAATAAGGGGGTCTTGGAATGGTGGCAACATATTGAAGATGGAGGAGCTGCTATGTGCAACAGGAGTATTCGAAGCAAGCATCGGCTGATTGAGAATAATGGAACTGCAACCCAGAAAAGTGCAAAAATGGATTAGTAGGAGCTTTGTCAAGCATAAAGTGCGCCTCCGCACCCGAACTGCTGCTTAGCTTGAAGCTTCCGACATGAGGTCAGCGGGGATTGGATTGGCGATGGCGATTCGCGAGCATACGAAAAAACCCATAGACAAATATTCACATGTGCATTTTGAATACGAATCGGTGTTCATAAAAATCCCTTTTCGTAGCGCGGCATCCGGATTTGACCCCTGACTGTCCCGCTCTTAGGTCAGATGAACCGTTTCCGCGCAAAAGTGAGAACAAAAAAGGCCAATTGTTGGCATCAGGGCGTTTATGTGACCCAAACGTAAAAGGCAAAAGATACGCCAAGCGAGAAGAGGATTGGGCTGGAAGCGGAATCATGATTTGCGGTCGACCCAGACTGGGAGCGGCCGACCTGGGAGGTTAGGCCCTTTTGAATCATTTCCAGAACTTTTCAGAGAATCTGGGGGCTAAAACGAAGCGGCCGCCTCCTTAGAAACGGGTCGGGGAACGTGTCTGAGGCGGGTCGAAGGGCGGAACATGGCAGGGATGTTGACCCAAAATGGGGGCTATCGGTGGGGGCTAAACTAGGCGATCGTGTTTGGTATTCAATATGGTTGTTTTTTCAATGCTGACCATCGTGGGCCATTGTCACTCTGGCAGATGTTGGAATTATACGCGTGGTTGGGACACAGCCGTGGCGAAGAGGAAGAGTCGCCTGTGAGTCTCTCGCAACACCACGTACGACGGACCAGACGGCGCCCTGCATTGTCAAACGTCCATCGCAATATGCCCAAGACACGGTCGGAGCAACACCGGATATTGCCATTGTCGGGCCACTGAGCTACTCGTGTGCTGGCGGCCGCCCGCTCCATGGGACCCTGTTTTCTTGCATGCAACGACGACGCTCCCTTTTGTTTGGGTGCGGCTGAATACTGGATGCTGACTGGATCTCTGGCCCTCGCACACCACGCTGACCGTAGTTTTTCTTTGTCTCTATTGGGGTGCTCTTATCCTTATAGTGAGGAGGAAGTCACATGAGTCATCAATATGTCCCTCGCTCAGGCGCTGAGCCGATCAGCCTCGCCCGCAAATACAACGCAGGCCTGACATCCAACACGCTGAAGGATTGAACGCGCACTGGCTTTGCCTCGCAACGTAGTCATATCTCGGTCTCTTCCTCCTCTATTCCATTCCGAATCCTCTCTCATTCATTTATATAAACCACCACATCTGGCCGCTGGACCCGTGAGTCGGCGCGTCCATCCCCATGAGCTTGCCATCTGAAGTGTCCATCCGACCGCTCCACCACGCCACAAACGATACAGTCCGTGAAACACATCGCGAGGTAGATCAAGGCTGTCAGGAGTCTCCATTCATCAGTTCCGTGGTCATGGAGACACTCACGTCCACCCTGCTGGCCCTAGAAGGCAATGTCGACAGGCCAGCGCCAAATCCATTTGACGTGTACCGGATACATGTCTCTCAGATCATCTCTGCCATCACTGGCGCCTCTCCCGAGGTTGTCTTTCCGGCCCTGCAAGTGGCGCGGACACTCTCAGAGGGCGATCTCATCCTGGCGACCGCTGCTCTTCGACTCGCAGATGCTGACACGAGCCAACTCATCCGAAACAAAGTGGCTAGTCCCTCTCCTCCTTTCTCCTCTTTACGTCACTAACCAGGCGTTCTGCCCCCCCGCCCTTATACCCAAAAGACTAACAGTTTTCCTTGTCAACAGTTCCCAGAGTCCGTATTAGTAAATCATCCTGTCGCGGACCATAACTCTCTCCAATTCTTCTTCAAGCCTGCGCCCTTGGCTGCCCTGGTGCTCCCCCAGGCCCTTGACAACGCCACATGCCACACCTCTAGGCTCAACCAACAAACGCCACTTGATCGACAACAAGCATCATTTCTTCAGTCTTCTCTTGATCAACTCAGCTCTCTTCTAAGTACTGCGGATTTCGGACTCGAGCAGCTCCTGACCGCTGATTTTTCCCTTCTCACGGAGAAATCCGCCGTCGACATCGTCCGGACCCTGGCCCATTGGCCCGTCGTATTAGGAGGCATCTCATCGGCGAAACAGCCTGCAGAGGTATCAAAATACCTCCTAGAACTGGCCCAGTTGCTAGAGGCGAGCTACAGTCAATTGGACATTGGATACGGCGCACATGATGTCAAAATTGCTCGCTTGGCACTTTATGTTTCCGCGCAGCGTGTTTTGAAGAGTGGAATGGAACTTCTCAAGTACGTTTGTCCTCTCTCCCCTGCCTTATGAATGCCGGTCCAAGCTGTGAGAAGTTTACTGATACCCATCGGTAGCGGTTACTGAAATGAACGAATGACATTGCGATCTTCATCTGGGTTAGCGATTATGATTTTAATGCCAAGCACATGCATTCAAGGGCAAGCATAGGAGCGACATTTGCATGCGGAGTTTATTCGAGATACCTCTTTGACAATAACATGTTTTGATTTGTGTTCTGGCATCGTTCGTTGTGAGTGAATGTACGGAGGTGTGTATAGGGGACTGTGCCATCTTACTGTACGAAACCGCGACGAAGAACCGTTGAATATTGATTGTTATTTTCATTTTACCGAAGTTTATGGCCATATGTCACTACCGCTAGTGGCGATCTCACCAACCGCAGTAATCACGACAACAGTTCTAACAAGAATAAAAATCATAAGAATGTCAAGTAGAGACTACAATCATAAACAATAAAAAGAACAGCCATAAAATTTAGAAACCATAATTGTAGTCTGATCGGCCCTCCAAGCAATAGACAGTCTGTTCTAATGGTAAATGGGAACGACGTAAGTAGTGTTAAAAATCAACTTAGCTTGAGAAATCGAGTATCATAAATTGATATTGCCTTGGGCTATATCAGCTATCGCTGATCTAGCCGCAGTTTTTACCTCGAGTAGTTAGGAAATGTCACATCTTTCAATAAAATTCCCATTCTCATTTGTGAGTTGTCTGTCCGCGGCAGTATCCAACATACTATTGCTCTCTTTTCTTCAATCAGCCCAACCGCAGTGATCCACCAACCCAAGCATTTAAACCTAAGCCTCGGGATGGAGTGTGAACAAATCCAAGAACTTAGGTGCCATCATTCATATAAGCTGAGCGACGAACATCTAACGACAGCAGTACATAACCTAAAACGGCTATGGAAAAAGCCTAGTGCCAGACTCTCCCCGAGGCAGCCACACCAAAGAAGAATTATTTTTGGTTGCGGCTGATAAATAGAGTTCGTTAATGTTTGACTTGCGAATGTGGCTTAGACGCTTTTAAATCTAGAACGTGAAAGCCACCTGCTTATATGATACCAGACCGTTGTTGGAAAAGAAAAGTAGAGTTGATAATATTACATATTACAGTAACTCAGAAAGTAATGTATATGATACAAGAGTTTCCCTAGATTTTCAGCTTTCAGCTACTAGACCCACCTCTGGTAGGACTTTGGGGCTTTTCGCTAGGTCTTATACTTTATACGTTAGCCTTGTGTAGGAACCATATAGGTAGAATATGAGGACATGAAAGATAGCTTTGTCGTATAAATATGCCTGTTCGTTCCCAAATCCCCTCGCTCTAACTTCGTAACACATCATCACATATATCCAACACAGCATAAGACAATCCCTACCAGGAAAAAAAAAACAGAACATACGACTGCGTCATTGCCATACGGATAAAGCACTACAAATCCAGGATGCATCAACTGAACGTCACTATTCGCGTCAATGGGAAAGCAGCTAAGCACGTATATGTCGAACATCTGGAGGGTTGGGATCATCGCGGGTCCCATGAATGTCTATATCACCGACGAAACGGGCCGTGTCCAGAATGGCGATGGGCGTTTAGGCATCGAGTCGAAGACTAGTGATGCTGACATTCGCATCCTTGGCCAGAACTCCGTTGCTCGGATCCTAGAGGGTAGTTCCGTTCCTCTCATCGTACTGCCAGTTTGGGTAGACACAAAAATCCGTGATGGATCCGTGATAGACCTCAACACTGTTGCAGAGAAGACGGATCATTTCCGCATATTGAACTTGGCTTGGGAGAACTACGATGATGTCCACAAGAGATTTCCGCCATTCTCTGGGCTACCTAATGGTGAAAACCAATTTCCTCTGGGAAAGAAACCCACCCTCCAGGAGACGAAGGACCAGGCCAAGCGGATTGAGATTGTGTTTCCCGACAATCTGCCCCAGGATAAAGCATTTTGCGAGCCAATGTCGATAAGTACAGTCTATCCGCTGATCCACCTCAAGGGGAGGCTTCAGAATTTCGACCATCACCTATTCGGTGAAGGCGTGCAACCGACGCTTATCCCATCAGAGCTTTCGCATGCCTTGCACTTCTCCCGCCTGGACCTCGTAGCTCGCGGCAGCATAGAAACGCACTATGTCAGTTTCCTCCTCCCGGATTTGGCTGCCGGTCGGGATGGGAGTCATTATATGGGCAAGCGTACATCAAGCATGGTCGCCTACATTGAGGCTATGGATCACTTCTCCTCGCGCTTCTCCGTTTTCCTCAGCCAGTCGGGGCTCGGAGTAAATCTCGAAACGGAATTTGTCAATAAAGAACTCAGTGATACAGGAGAATACTGGCTGAAGCCGATGCGTCAGGCTGGCAGAGTGACAGCCAGCGAAGTGAAAGCCCAATTCAGCGGAGATGATGATGAAGGGGCGGTTTACGGGGCAATCTTCCTCGACTTCGCCAGGCGTACGACCTTGGCGACTGCAGTTGATGCTTATCATAGAAGCCAGGCTCTTAGCTTCGGGCAGTATAAGAGCTGGATTCATAGCCACATGTCCCAACATACTAATGACATAGATGCTGTCGCCAGGACCTGGCAGCTATAAACAGTAAGGAGGTTAAGAATTGTACTGGTGATCTGCTGGATCCCTGGCGGAGACGCGCCTTTCTTTCAAACACCTTCAGACGCATTACTTCATAGTTCTGCGTGTGTTACATCAAAGAAGTTTTCGTGTGCAATATTCTACCTCAGTCGCTTACCTGGGTCTTTCTGGGTAGCCAGCAAAGGCATTGCTTCGACCAAAAATAGCGGAGCTCTGATCCTATGCTTAATGGTTTGACTATCTCTGAGGAAATGACGTTTAGTCATATTAATGATCTAGATCATCCTATCCTTACCTCAGGTAGTTAGAAAATGTCACATCTTTCAATAAAATACACATTCCCATTCGTGAGTTGATGCTCAAAAAAATCCCTCATTGGTACTCCAAGCTCTGGAAGTCCCCAGGGCGGAATACAACGAAACCTAGTTGAAAATGCGGATAAGAACAATTCTCGAACGCAGTGTTTAATGTAATACACAACGTATATATATTCTCTGATATTCTCAACGTGTTCTTCATTGATTAAGCGCAATATAGTCTTTGTGATACGCTTATGCGTCGCTGATATGTCTATCAAGTAAAACCCAAAGTTGATACGCTTGCCAGTTGTCTATCTATTGGGACTGGCTAAAGGTGAGAAACATGAGAATACTTTCTCTGTTTCTTCAGTTATTTGATATTGCGTTTCAATCGATCTGCCCTATTTAGAGCCATCAATTGATGCAATAGCTTAATTAACCCATCCTAAGCCCACTAATCCTATCATTACTCGAAGTATGCAAAGGATTAGACCTTTCTGAACCCATTAGGGGAACGTGAGCAGCCACTGCTCTTGGAGATGATTCACATCTAGCCAGAGTATCGCTCCGAATATACCTTGGCAGATATTTCAGTTTCGTTTCCGCCTACCAGCCATCCCCAGCTCATATCGTTTCCCAATAGCCCAGATCCAGATTATTATCATATATGACTTTGTTCTATCGCTGGAATTAGGCATAGCTACATGGATGGAGATCGAAAAGAGCCAATTTCTGGTGTTGGAAGTTCTGCTAGGCCCTCTGCTCTGTTGGGCGGAGACTGACAGCCGTCCATTTCTGACACTGTCGTCGAGTTGAGTTCTATGATAGGCACACCAGCCCCTGAGATATCTTGCCGATATGGGGGTAGTGGTTGATCACCCCATACGTTGGGCTCTTTAAAGTCCTCGGTGGGCAAGGGCATTGCCTGGTTGTCTTGTTGTCGGCGACGGCGCATGAGCCAGAATATCCCTCCGGCGATCAAGACAACGACAGCCACGCCTCCAACCGTGGCCCCGGCTATGGTACCTGCCGAAACTTTGCCGCCTGAGGACTGGCTCTCTTCTGTTGTGTCTATTTTCCCGTCTTGTTAGATGATGGCAGAAGAACTGAGTAATCATCACCTACCGTTGCTTGATCGATTTTTCCAGAACAGCTCCTGGACTCCAGGCGTATAATTATATCCATCTGCTTCACTGTCTGTTTGTCAGTATGACTAGCAGAAAGATCATGAAAAAGTCGTTCAAAATTCAACATACCCACTCTTGTAAATCTTTTGAACGCTTGCCGGCGAGTCATATTCGCCTAGGCTGGGGTCATATGAGTCCACCCATTCCGAAGTGACGAGGTCGAAAATGCCTATGCCCCTCGGCCATATATCATCGCTTTTGAATCCGTCTTTGGAAGGTTTTGCTCGGCCACCAATGGAAATGAACTGTCTCTTTCCAGCAATTGTACATTTATGCATATGTCGTATTGCTTCCGAGCTTCGAGTGCTTGAGAGTTGAATCCATTTAAATGCTGGTAAAGACAGAACCCAAAGGTCATCCAATGATCGTTTCTCGCTCGACAAGCCCCCAAACATATATCTAGTTGCATGTTAGAACAAGCAAAATCCAGTAGACATCTGGGTTGATTGAATAGCCCCAGAACTTACACCTCTACTGTTCCGTTTTTTCCTTGAGCCGGAGCAGCACAGAAATATTCTCGGTCAGAAGGAAAGCCGTTGGTGTCTTTGACCGTATCTTGTCGATACCATTTTTGGGCGATCGGGTCGTATATGGTAACAAAACTGAGAGACTGATATCCTGACTCAAAATCTGTTGCTCCACCAAGAAGCATGACCAGTGGAGAGCTGCCAAAACCAAGTATGCAGACAGCGGCGCCGTTCCGGAGATTGCCCTGAGGACCACTCGGTTCGAAATCTGTAATGTTGTACCATTCTGATGAGCTCGCATTGTACATGCGGACACCAGGCGATCCTCTCGTGCTCTCCCCGTAAGATGACCCTGCCCAGACGTAACCACCAATGTAAAATCCGAGGTCGCCGCAGAATACCGATTGCCCATGAGTACTCGGGATAATTTTGTCGAAAGCTGCCTGCTGGGCTGGCTTCTTGGTGCTCCACGTCCCATCCCCACCACCGTCTACTGAAAGCATGTACATCTCGGTCTCTTCGCCCTTTTCGTATCGAGCTGAGCGAGAGAGCTCACCAGCCCATCTGTATATCGCGTTTCTATTAGGATCAGCCCACAGGCCGGCAAAATTGGTGGCCCGCATGTCATTCTTATAAGCAATCTCTTTGATCTCGACCGATCCAGGTTTCCACGATTTGTTGAGTGGTATCGCGAGTGTTTTGCTAACTGGGTTGAAAACGAGAAATGTGGTTAGCAATCTGGAGTGAGGAGTTCAATAAAGCATCAACAACCTACATTCCAATGATTCTGCGTCATTTGTTTGATTGTTGTCGACAAAGGTCGATATTTGACCGCCGTCGATATACAGATAATCACCTAGTTTAACGACTGTGGCAAAGGTCAGTATTTGGCGCCAGCTTTGTAAGAAGAATCAAATATCCTCTCCTGGTACTAGAAGGATTGGTGAGCTACCTTCGTGATGGGCTATTCTTTGGTTCGTTCCACCTTGGATATATCTGTTAATAAAGGTAGTGTTGTCACTCTGATCCGCCCTCTCTATTACATATGCACCCGAAGAAAAAGACAAAAATATCGAGGCGCAAAGGACCAACCGAAGATCGTGGTTTCTAACCATTTTGATTTGGTCAATGATCAGCACCCAGATGAGGCGCCCCGATCAGCAACCTGAACGTCAAAACAAAAATTCAACAAAAGCTTTGGAACTAAGGGGCCCAGATGGGATGTATGCTGGTTAATAAGGAAATAAGGTGATTACTCTGTGGCACATATGAACTGGGGGCTACCAAAGACCTTACTTACAATGGCCACTTCATGAAGCTGGATACCAAAATAAGGGTCTTTTGATCCAACTCGCCCTCGCCAAGCTTCCTAACCGGGGTGGAGTCAGGACAGCCTGCTCTATTTTTGGAGGGACGACCAGTGAATTAATTAGGCTTGAGGACAACTGGCTGTCAAATGCATGGCTGATTGGCCACACTTCTGTTACAATCTTGGCAGCCATGTCTGCGTGCATAATTATAGATTGTGGCACCTTTTGCCTGTAGGCACATCAATGCTGCAAAAGGGGTGACACCGTTCCATTTGGGGGCTAGATTGATCAGTTTCAGCATAACTTCCAGGAGCAACATTGAGGAGTAAAAAGCCTTGCGTGCAGCTTCAGGCTTCCTGTGGGGGCCACTCGCATCCTCCCTCGGTGACAGACGAAGTGAGAAATCAGGCTGAATCGCGATGGTCCACTTTCTAGTATCACTAGAATAATACAGCAGTGATAAATAATAGAAATTAACAATCTCTTGTGTATTGCTAGTCGAGTATTTGTTATTAGCCCTCGAAAATCCGATCATACCGGCCCCAGGCTCGAAAATAAGCAGTACAACGTTTGAGTGCCTCAAAGTCAAAGTCACACGGTGAACACTCTTTCGTAAATACCAATCCTGTACCATTGTAATTTCTTGGCCAGCTTTTCTTTGCGTCTCAGTCAATGTCATGTTCTCGCTTGAGCTGCTTTAATCGTTGTTCCCACAAATGTACTTGATGATTATCAGATCCACCTTAGGCTAGAGAATTACGCGGTAAAGAAGCATACAGCAACATAATTTGCCAGAGGATCAGTGAAGGGAATTGCAAATAATATTAGAGGGCCATGGTGTAGTATATGGCTTCATTAACCGGGATAGTGGCGATCATTGTTGCGAGGACCTTTTATATGCGACTGAATAGAGTACTTAAACGCCATCGTCAAAGGTATAGTGGTTGGACCATCGCTATCAAACATCGGTTATCACACTATCAGACCAAAGAAGGAAGGGGGGAAATAGTTCTTACTGTGTCCCAAGTACGTGTCTTATTAACGAAGCGTAAGTCTGTTCCTAGGCGGATCCTGCCCTCTGCATCATGGTTTACAGTGGATGCATGAATCTGATATTCTTGTGATCAGCATGGAGATTTAAACAATAAGAACACTTCAAGGCACCAAAGGCTTACCATATGCGGCGTGTGAAGAACAACATCGCCTGCCTCATACGAAGTAACAAGCCACTTCTTGTTATATCTGCGCCCAAAATCTCCTGGCCCCTCGCATAGGAAACCTGAGCTCATCATATTCTTGTTAAACGCATTCTTCATTTCTTCCTCACTCAGGCCAGTTTCCTTCGCCTTCTTGGTGAATTCTTGCTCAATCTCCTCGCCCAACTTCTCCCCTAGAACGCAAGGTATGTTAGTAATTTAGTCCTGTCACGAGACAAGCGGTCGAAACAGACCTCCTTCAAGATAAATTAGACCACCCCCATCAATCTTCACATCCCCAATCGGAACCCAGGCTGTCACAGAGGTAGGTTCTCCGTATCTCATGAAGGTTTGATCATAATGCACACCAATCGCCCGGTTACCAGGTGTGTTGTTCCGCAACAGCGATCTCTTCACGGGAAGGGTATCGTCCCCCCATTGCGTGAATCGAGATACGAACTGGGTCAACGCAGGATGATTGGCAAATCCGAGTTGGTCACCTGTTCCCGAACCTGCGTACCACTTTGCCGTGTGTGCTTTGAGTGCTAGATCTGTGAAAACAGCTGATTTATCTGTCTCGCCCGGACGAGCGTTCTTGACCGATCCTGCACCAATACCTGGATAGTCTGCAGCAGTGGCGCTGGAGTTGAAGATGCCCACTACTAGAGCCGAACCGGGTTCCAGTACGCCGCTCGCGGACATGTCGCGGAAATACGATTCACGAGCGGAAAGGACGTCCTCTCGCGGGAGGAGCCCCTTCAAGAAGAGGTACCCTTCCCGGTGATACCGCTCACGGAGCTCATCCATAGGTTCCGAGGGATATGATGCCTGCAAGAGAGCGATGTCATCAAGTTTTAACGGGCCATCGTTTACATGTAGGGAGATGTCGGCAGGATACGCCGTGTCAACCGAGGCATGAGGCATGTTGGTGAGGGCGACGGAGGCGTATTTCAAAATCCCTTTCCGTTCGGATGGGAGAAGCTATGGTATCTCTCGGCTTCAATCCCAACTTGACAAAAAGACAGATGTTATATACATTTAAATTCCCTTTTATCCACATATCCCCCCACGATAGCATGTCCGCTAGCGGAGTGATTATGCGGGGGGGGTAGGATAGAACAAGCATCTGGAGGACAGCGCCAAATAATATCCTTTTGTGGTAAAAGTTCTCCGTGGTGTGTTGCCACATGGATGGCAGCGGAGCATAACTTCCTGGATAGGTTTGGCCTGGCCATCTAACCACCCAATTGAGCGCCTTTGAATTAATAATGAGGTTAGCGAAGATGAACAGATTTGTACCATCCGAGTGGCCGTCTGAAAAACAGTCATAATCGAGTTTCCATGTCTTTAACTTTCTGCGGTAGACCACAGTATTTATAGACAATAGCCTAGAACATTGATATGTTATCGAGGATAAGTACTATTATTTGATAGGTAATGTTAGTTTAGTTACACAATAGCACTCATTGTTGCTATGCTACCGTTGTTCGCTATCTTTACACATGTAGGTGGCCTTCTGGTCCCGGTTTTCTGACAGCCACTGCCACCCTCGTTGTCTCGACATTCTGTGGTCAGAGCGGTGTCGATCTATTGGCAGGAAATTAGGGGAGAAGGAGTAAGAGAATAATGCCTTTCTGTACATCCTCTGCATTGCCACTAGAAGAACGCATAGTGCTGTCTGCCTTGTAGTGCCTAGTAAAATCTCGAGCCGAAGGGGAGCCGGAGCGGCTTACCTGACAATCTCTCAAGGGGATTTAAAATTGCTGTGCCGTTGCGCTTGCTTGTGAAAATCTCTAGCCAAAGCGGAGCTGCTTAGCTGGCAATCTCTTTGGGGGGGTCAAAATTGCTGTGCAGTCTCGATCACACGTGTCTCTTGCGCCATTGAACCTTACCTTAATGGGGTACAGTGCGAGATTGCGATACTACCTAGTGATTTGCATAAGGGTTGTGTAAGGAGGGAATTAAAGTAATTGCTTTACATCTTATGTAGTTGCCCTGCGCCTTCGAGGCGCAGGTCGTTTCCAAATGCGGTCAGATATTTTCCATAGCATGCCGCAAGACGCCTGTTGCAACCACATCGACAGTACCTCCAGGAAACCAGGGTTTTGGCAGATGATTGAGAGCCTTTTATTTGACGCTGGGTGGGAAAATTCAATCCTTTGGACTGGCTGATTGTAGCAAAACCTGGCTGAGTCTTCAAGAATTCGAGTCTATGTGCTAGCACGTACGTGCTGCGTCAGTCAGGCTGTCATACCCTCACTTAGGCCATCTCAACACAGGAAAGCATATGCTAAGCTCCCGTGAAATTGCTTCGTGTGGGATATGCGAAATGAATGCGGCTGGACGTTCCAAACAGGCAGCACAGGGAAGCCAGGTACACTATCGCATATCAATCTGAAGCATTGAAAGCCATCATTTAAGAGGCTATACGGTTCCAGGTCCTTTTCGCGGTAGCCGCCTTACGGTCACCATCGTTTGAACTTCGACCAATGAGCAAAAGTAAAAGGCCTCACTGATGGTGGACAATCAGGACAATATCCCCGAGACCAACAATGATCTACTCTGCTAAATAACATCTTAATGGTAACAATTTGCCCTAATCACTGGAAGTCTAGCTATGATATTGCACACGTTCATCATTAAATAGAAAATTAATCGCATACAAAGAAAACCATGCTAGGCTGAGCCTCGATCTATACCCTGATTCGGGAGCAATGTTCATATCTCGCTCCCGTCACTTTTAACTCCAAAACAAGGGCCTGAAAAAAGCAAATGCCCGTCTTCAGTTCTCATCACAAAGATCCCGGTATGAATCAGAATCTTGCCTCCACCTCACTTAAACAGATTGGCCGGGGCTATCAGCCTTGTTGAGGGCCGGTGCGCCTTGTTGCGTGGTACCTCGGTCAGGGGGCATTGAGAATCCGGTGTAGAGGACGATGAGGACCACAATGTACTCGGCGACCAAGCCCATAAAGGCAAAGGCGACGGCGGAGCCGTAGACGGGGTTCCAGACGGTGGCCGCGTTGAACTCAAAGGTCACCTGCAGGATTCCGTAGGCGCAGCGGAGAGCCAAGAATGGAAGAGCGGCAAGAGCGGCCAGGTTGACCTAATCGAGAAGAAGTGTCAGTTCTCGTTGCTCTGCATGGGGCCTGTAAAGGAGAGCAGGATGCCATACCTTGCGGCTGGTGGGAATGAATGAGTGCCTCATGCGGAAGAAGCGAACATGAGCGCCAAAGAAGAAGCAGATCAGGGCTGCAAAAACGGCGTATCCTACAAGCTGCAAGGTGCGCCCAATGTCACGGGTGGTCTTTGAATCTTGGCTGATGATACTGCCGCCGCCGATGAGAAGGCCAGTAGCGATGAGGATTGCAATTCGGAGTAGCTTATGGGCGGCTTGGGTACGTTTAGACGGAGGGTAGTTGTCCATCAAGCTTCATTTCACGCTTCTGTTAGTCGGATGATGTTAATCGGTTTTGAGTGTAGATAAACTCACATGATCCTGAAGAATCCGGACATAGAAACGATCAGGGGAATAGTTCCGACGTTGAGGAGAACAATGGCGGCTACGATAAGTCCAATGTTCGAAGGGTCATTCCCGAGCGCGATGACGATAGGGCCTCCTACGAGTCGAACTGTTTAAAAAGAGCGCGTTAGATGCTACTATACCATAACGAGCGACCGATAGATATTGAACGTACTCAAGCTAAAAGGTACCATGGGCCACCAGGCCATGCGTGGATGCTTTGACCAATTGCGGACTACGAGCCATATCGCTAGGAAGACAATAGGGACGAAGAAGACGATCTGAGCGATGCTCAATGAAACATGCGGGCCCAACATGATAGATAGAAGAGGCGGCGTGAGCCAGTCGATTTGCTCGGATTGCTGGTAGTTGGTGTAGATGATGCAGAGTATTTGACCCGTTGATGATTTTCTTCACCTTCAAAAACCGAGTGGGACGAGGGTTTTAAATATTCGTTTAGTATTCTTCAACTCAAACCTAAAATCCTCATTAATTTTACACCTCTCGAGCACAGCCCTATGAGCTAACATTCCAATAACACGGAAGCGGCATGCCATTCGACGAGAGGCGCAATCGAAATATCGACGGGTCCATTTTCCCCAGGCCCTAAGACTGAGTTGGGTGAGATTCCACGAGCGATGCCTCAAGAAACCGCAGGGTTCTCAGGCTGATGTGCTCCATAGACCTAGGATCCTTGCCCTTCTTGGGTATTATACCACGAGGCCCTGGCCAGGAGCACGGAAACCGGCACTTGCAAATGAAAAGATGACGCCCCGCTCGAAGCGTGGCTTGCTGACCGGCGAGGCTTCTCTGGGCTGGCAACGTGGACAAGCCACCTCGAACTCGCAAGACACTGGGAGAGAACGGCTCGAATTGGTCTCCCTTTCGGGTTAGCAGGGGAGATTGCCGCTGTGGCTCGTCATCAGCTAAACTCTATGGGGATTTATACCACGAAGCTGATGTGCGTGACAGGCTTCATTGCCGCTTATCCGACTCCTCCCAGACACCTCCTCATTTCGTGCTAGAGATCCGGGCGCATCTGGGACAGCCACCTGGGCAGCAGATCGTTGCCCTCGACGGGCTCTGGCGCTGGGAACGCCGTCGCCTGGAGGCCTGCATACGTGCCCTCATAGTCATGGAGGAGGGATGTGATCCATAGCTGCGTGGGCAGATCCACGAATTCGTAGACCACGCGCATGGCGTAGCCGACGCGGTAGCCACCCATGATGCCTCCGCCGACGTTCTCAAACGACCGAAGAATCTTACTGGCCATGTCTGGGATCGAGTCGGTAAACCGGATGCCGTCCAGGCTCGCCATGTTGCAGTGAAGAAGGCACTCCTGCACGATGAGCATGGACGCCCAGTAGCCCATGTGCAATGACCCGACCCAGGGGTTTTCGTACCAGAATACAGTAGTGAAAGGTGACCTAAGATCATGGGAGGGCACACCAATCGGATCCGCGACGATCTGCCTCATATCCTTCTCCCATGCAAGAAAATCTCTGCATACGCCGGTGGCATACCTACTCAGACGTTCAACAGCAGTGTCACCAACTGCCAATCCCTTTTTCCTAGCCTCTCGCAATGGATATGCGCGGCGCAGGACACTGGGGATTTTGGCCAGCAAAGCAAAGTACTCGTCCGCCACTTTCAATCGTTTCGCCGTGAGGGCGTCGACCAGCATCCCCCGACCACTCCCTGCCGAACCATCCCTCATCACGTCCTGCCACTTGTCTTGGACCAGGAAACAATCCTCCCCGGAAAATATCGAGTTCATGATCTAGTTGAAATCAGAAGTCAGCGCGGAGCTCTTTGCGACATCACCACTGCGGACATTTCGAACGGATGCGACAGTTACAGAAGAGAAGCTTCATACCACCAGAGCACGGAAATTCTTAAACGTCACTCGATCCCATCCGTCTTTGAAGCACTCGGGCCCTCGCTGCTGGATGAGCCACGTCACTCCCTTGGCATGTTCCATCCAGCTGACGGCGCTTTTTGTGCCAGCGAACAGCTAGACGGGGCACGAAAAATTAGCATGCGAGGAAAGGCGGTATACACAATCGAAGAACGAGCGGGAATACCTCAAAAAGGCACAGCACCGTGGACGCGCTAAGAGTTTCCGACGCCTTCCACTCCGTCTTGTGATTCAGGGCCGACTGCAGGGCCATCAACGATTGTCCATACAGCGACCGACTCTCGCCGACTAATCGGGCATCTCCTATGGTCTTGCCGAGCATGTGGAGGATGAGCGACGTGGCGGCGCTGTCCAGCGTCGCCTTTGCACCGAACTGGTCCTGGATGCCATCGAACCAGGGATTGAGGAAGCTGATTTCCTTGCGTGATGCCGTCGTGTAGAGTGTGTCCAGCATGGTGCAGATGAACTGCGCACGATCAACCGTAGGACACAGCGCTGTGGGAGAGAACAAGACGACTGTAGACGGCGAGTTGTTTCCCGGCCGCGCTGTGGGAAATTCATCCTCTGTCCCGGACGCCACGGGGGGAACACCAGACCCGGATGATGATGAAGAGGGGTTTCGCGCTTTAGACTTGACTCGCGGGCGGACATGATGCTTTTCATTGACAAACTTGACTGTGCGATCGTAGCCGGGGCACACAACGCCGTATCGAACACAGGCGTGGCATTGCGGCTTGCCCTCGTCGCATTTGACCCTTCGCTTGACGCACAGATGGCATCCTTTGCTCCTCGGGACTCCAACCATCTGCTCCCTTTTTGGCTTGCTCCTCCGATCTGCACGGTGAGCACGACAAGTTTTGGATGGGTCGCGCTGGATGCACCGGATTGACTGAGGATGATGGAGCCAAAACTCGCATTCTGCTGACGGAATACGCTGACTCTGGGCGATGGATTACAGGCACGAACGAGCCTAGTTAGTGAAATTATTTAGTTCCAGGGGTTGCTTGTAGCCGGTAGAAGCTCGAGCCAGGGATCATCCAGTCTCTCCCCGGAATTTTGGGGGATATGAACATGAAAACCGTTCTGATTCATTCCAACGCAAAAAGAAAAAATTGGGTAAATCTTCAAGGCATCATGGGAAATAGGCACCTCGTGGGAGCAGAATGGCCGATGTCGTGTTACCCAAGCTTGAAATGAAACGTAGATCTACAGCCGGCATTTGATTGCTGATGTTGGCAAACATGCAAATGGCAGGTATCACAACGATCATCATTAAAACACACGCCCAGGGGTCTAACACATCTTTAAAATCATGTTTGTCTTGTTACACCGCGGGAACTCAATTGAAGGGGCTGGATCTTGAGATCTCGTGGCACAAGGCTCGTAAACCGTGGGCCTCAGCAATCGCTACTACCTTTACAATTACAGTGGGTGTGTTACGTGTACATGTTAAGCCCGCCCAAACTCAGACGCGTGTGAAGCCCCCAATCGTGGAGATGGCAAACTGCCGTGAGTCATCCCCCACAGAGCTGCTTCCCAACAGATGCACTCGGCCAGGGATGGCTCGAGGTGATTGAGAATTCCTAATGTCTCCTTGGAGGCTCGTCTCGACCACCTACATGTACCTAGACTCGCGGTAGTTCGCTAGGCTTCCACTGATGATTTGGTTTGGGCCAACAAATTAGCATCGGGTCCGATTGTTGATTTCTATCAGGTAAGAAATTCAAAGACTTCGGAATCAGTGACTACAGCTACTTCTTGAAGTCAGAGAATCCCCCAGGATACGGATTGAAACTTTCAATCGCGTTGTGTAGCCATGTTGTTGCCCAGGTTGTAGCCGTGACATTGACGATTTTGTACCACCGTTACACTCAACAGGTGTGACATGGATTTGTATCACCTGGTCAGACCACGGCGCATGCTCGATTGACTCATTACTTCGGAAGAATTCCGCAATCATGCAGCAAGACTCGGAAAACAAACTAGAAACTTCCCCCCTCTTATGGGCTGTTCCAGGTATTCAGGCATACCCTTCTCCGGCGGTTTTCGCAATCGTCTATCATGAATACATATCCGGGTCACAAAACCTTCACCGCATACAAACAAGAAACTCATAAAAAATAATTCCATAAAGATAATTCTTAGGGAGATATTTCTCATGCCGTTCTTCTAAGACTGATAATTTGTAGGGCTACTCCCAACCACATCCCATGTATTTGTGCACAAGATTGGCCTTCACTCCAGCCGGTGAAGTGAACCTAAACCTAAACGAATATGCAACATGAAATTAGAGACTCCTACACCAGCTTGATTCTCATTCGATCTGTTCGAAGACACGTGGTGCTCTCTATTTCGTTGATTGCTCCGAGAGACGTGATTTGATCACACACTGAGGCGCCAGGTCCAATCAAGGAGGTTATCATGCAAGGGGCCAACCAGTTCTCCGCATCTAGCCCCAAAGCATTCAATCATTCACGGTGTGTCGACCAGCTTCGGAATGCCCTTTTCATGCTCAAAAAGGCAAAATTGAGTAACGGTTGTCACTGAGGTCAGCTCTATGGCTTCTCATAGGTTCCATTGCAGCGGCCTCGCTGGCCTCCCGCAAAACGCCTTGCCAACCAGAATGTGGTTCGCAAAATCAACGTGCTCATCTAACATGTCTAAGCGGGATTGGAGGAGCTCATAGACGGGAGTAGCATAAATAGAGCTCATCTCCCCAGAAAAGCGATATGATTTTGTCTCCTTCATCGACAGCACTACTTCTATCGATTTCCACATTACATTGGCTTCCTCCATTTAGACCTCCTTCTACTGAGAACAAGCCTTCAGGGCTTCTTATTCCATCTGTTGACGCGTTTCTACGCTCACAGACTACCACTACCAGGTCTTTGGCTTATCATTCTAGTAGGACGTATGCATTCAATACCTACATGTACCTTTCTCAAAGAACTCGCGCTGACAGACTAGACTACTTAGCAATGGGATCTTACGATAACTCCGGGGGCAACTATGATTGGAGCGCCTACTATGCCCAAGAAGGTGGCTCCTCTTCCCAATACCCCCAGCAACAAGAGTACTCGTATGAAGGCGTAGACAACCCTCAAAATGTTCCCGCCCAAGGTGGGACATACCCCTCCGCTGGCCAGGTCTATACTTCCCCTGAGCCCTCTGGGGAGTATCAGCACTATTTCGCACCCACCCAGGGCCACTCTGATCCAAATGCTGCGATTTAGACTCAGCATTCATCATATGCACCTGGAAGTGTTCCCCAGGCCTCTGGGGCGGCTGGGTGCTATGGCGGAACAGATGGCACTATCGGTCCCACAAAGACTGATCATGAGGGTATGGCATGCAATCCCGGCACATATTCTTCAAACTAATGAATTTAGGTAACACACGTAAAGGGTATAGGTTTTGTTGCAAGAAATGGATCAAAAAAGGACGTGATGAAAAGTACGTCTAATTCAAAATGATTAGAAGCTTCAGTAAACTCGACGCTGATCACGCGACAGGAGACATCGCAATATACACGAGCGACCTTACTCATGCCAATCCGAAACCATTGCCAAGGGGGTCCTGTATAATTGTGACGGGTCGTTTCCATCTGTGAAGGAGTTGAACGAGCACTACTACGTTTACCACAAGGAATGGGCTAAGGCAAATGGCATACCGGACCCCAGACGCCGCTGCATGGCCTGCGGGCGGGTATTGCCAAAGGGGGGTTCCATCAAGAAGCACGTCAAAGCCCATCCCGAGTGTCATGAATTGGTTGGAGGTCTGCGAACCGACGGCCAGACACTCAACTACAGTGGCAGCGAGGGAGACAATGGTGAGGGTAGCCACCAGGGCTGATGCGATGTTTTGTTCTACGATCCGTGCTTGATTTTTCTTCACTCTCTCAATTGAAATTTCCTATTCATCCTCATTTGATATGTGATGTGCTTTTTTATTTGTAATACATCGTGTCTTGTCTCGCGTCTCTTGCTCCCATGACTTACCCTAGACCCTGTCACTCTCACCTTCACTATGAATGACGTGCAAAATTGGCGATCTTAAGCCTCAATAAGCCAATTTCTTTCTTTCTTTCTAACTTCAAAGCAGTCCCCCGTTTCCTCAGATTCTTTGTTTCGGCTTTGATTTTCCAGAACCCGATGCAATTAAGACTCCATCAGTGATCTACATACTGCCAATCTGCCAACCAATTTCATTGCGGTTTTTAAATCTACCTTGAGGAAATTAACCTTAAAACGATTATATTGTACATGACGGTAAATGGAATTGCAATGACGGAGACCAGAATTACTGATTATAATTCAGTGTAATCTTGTTATTGAAGAGCTAGGTGCGAAATACGGCATTTGTGGTGTGGCCGTTTTCTGCTCCAATTCTTACCAGATAGGGGCAAGAAGACCGTAGGCATGTTGTGGTGAGAAAATAGCGATGTCGGACCGTGCGGAGAGATGATTGGAAGCGGCTAGGATCGTTTCTGATCCTCGCTACCCGAAATTACAGCACTGCCACGAAGGTCCAGGCACAGCAACGCCCGCAAGGGTTGGCAAGGGGGGAAAAGCAAGGAGGCAGATCGAGATAACGGCCCGCTTGGGGCCACTGGTGGATGCTAACATCCAGTCTTATCTCTCTGAGTCTCGCTGCCAGGCATTAGTAACAGGCTGGAATACCATTATCTCCATACTGCGGAATCCCGAGTCAGTGACGAGGAAAGTCCTGGCCAATCACAGGGCCCGTTTTACAATGCGGGGTATAAGCGATAATCTACTCCCGACCAGCCAATCAGAGACCTTGACCCACCACACCCACTGATAAGGCCTGTACTTGGTACTTCTCCACTGGCCCCGAGTCCACTCAAAGGAGCAGTCCCGGTGTCATTCCCCAGATTGACTCTCCGATTCAGATTGCTTCTGCATACGTGAGGTCTCTTGATCAAATCACACTTCTCCATGCCAGCTATCAGAAGCCCTCGACTGCGCAGGGAGTGAACGACCATGACCGAGGCCACCAAGCAAGCTACCCCTGACCACAAGCGGCGCCCTCGGAGACAAAGCGCCCCAGTAAAGTCACGGTCTCGGGCAGGCTGCCTTACATGTAAATCCAAACATGTACGAACCATTTCCTTACCCCTCCCCAACGTTCGGATGACTGTCCCACGACCTGAAGCTCACACCTGTGTCCCATCCTGCTACAGATCAAATGCGACGAAAAGCGCCCGAGCTGCCAGAAATGTACCGACAAGGGTTTACGATGCGGAGGCTACTGGAGGGGCTTCAAGTGGTCCTACAAGCACCAGCCCAACGCCCTAGATGACGACGAGCAGTCTCCGCCCAGAGACAACCAATTTGACGATCTTCCCTTCGACCCCAACCAGGACGACGCCGTCTTGGACAATGCTCCCGATATTATAATAGGCAGTGCCGACCGGGCATCGTCGGTCCCCCGAGTCTTGCCATACCAGCTTGAAGATGATATCGAAGAGCTGGGAATGCTCTCTGCCTTGGATAAATCCTCGCAGGATTCTTCCTGGGTGCTGGGCGCCAACCTTGCCTTTGACTTCATGTCCGACTCTTGCTCCGAGACCAGCTTGATGCCCCAGCTTGGTGCTGAGATGGAGCCTGCCATGTCCTTGTCCAATCTGAAAATAGGAAATCCCCCAATAGCTCCTGCTGCCCCTCCTCCTGCAGTTGCACTTGCCCAGTCAATTCCTCGGACGCCGCGAATATCAATGGGCGGTTCCGATGCAACGCTGACTCTCATCAGCAGTTGGTTCGACCAGGTATGCCCAGCATGGTCCGCCTTTGACTCGGACAGCAATCTGAACCGGAAGCTTGCGGGGGACCTGTGGCATAACTCCGCCACCGTCTTCAATTCACTGCAGAGCATGTCGGCCAGCTTCCTTGCTGCCCGGCTGCCGCAGATGCGGCCATCCGCACTGAATCTTTTGCGGACGGCGACGGTCTGCATCCAGGCCGAGGCTCGCTCCATCAGAGCCAAGGCGCAGTTGGATACGATACCTACCGGCCTCCTCTTCTCTCTCTTCTGCTTGGGCACGACTGTATGCTGGCTGGACTCCGGGCGCATGGGCTTACCCTTCCTCAAGGAAGCGAAGCTCCTTCTCTGTCGTCTTCGGCAGCAATTTGTGCCGAAGCGAAACGAAGACCTGGAACAGCTGACATTTTTCAAGAAGAGCCTTCTATACTGGGAGATGCTACTTGTAGTGGTGGATGATATGGATCCGACAGACACGCTGGAGAGCCCGTCCGAGGAACTGATGCAGCCTCAGGAAGCAACAGGCGAGGGGATCATCGACATGCTGCCTCACCCTTGGACGGGTGTGTCGAGCCGGACGCAGCGTCTTTTTTCGCAATCAATCGGACTCTGCCGAGCGTACCGGAAAAAGCTATCCATGCCTCTCGGCTCACTACGGGATCTTCCAGCGGGCATGCAGGACCTGGAGGAAGCTCAAAAGATTGAGGAACAGCTTTTGGAGCTTGAATTCTCACCTTTCGCCGCCCTGGCTGACCTAAACGACACCGGCGACCAGCGCACGCCGTGGCTTCACCTGACATTTGTGGCAGAGGCATACCAGCTCGCGTCGTTACTCCAGCTCTACGTGACGTTCCCGGAGCTCGTGTCCATGCGGCTGCCGAGAGAGTCGGCGTTCCCATGGAACGGGCCTGTGCCCTGGGACAAGTGGATTGTCCCCCTCACGCTGCGTCTCGTGAAGCTGCTGGAACAGGTCCCGCCGGACTCGGGGAGCCGCGTGATACAGCCCATGCTCTACATCTGTGCCAGCACGGGGCTGCGCTACGAGTACGGCGCGAACTTCGACACGGAGAAGACGGGCTTCTCCCCGTCCGACGCGAGGAACATCGAGATGGGCGTCTCATTTGACGACAGCTCAGACATCCTAGGCTACATTGATCAGATATACAAGTCGGGCAATGGGGAGCCGGCGTCGCCGGAGGCTGTGTCGCGCATGGGCCTGGAGGTCGCCAACGCCCGCGCATTCATCATGAAGCGGCTGGACCTGCTGGAGAGCACCCTGCAGCCGCGGCCGGTCATGGTGGCCAAGGAGCTGGTGAAGGCTGTCTGGGCCGCGTATGACGCCGAGCCTGCGGGATTTACTTCTGTGCATTGGTTTGATGTGATGGATTCGCAGGATCTGCGGTCGCTTTTTGGCTAGGTATATGTATCCGATTAACACTTTGGATAATTTTGAAGAGCGACCTTTATGTTTGGCTAGCACTTTTAATGATTAATGAAGTTAGCGACTGGCGTGGGAATAGGTGGGATATGCTTGGGAATATCAAGATTCATTATTTTGTCTTTGGCGACGATGGTTCCATTAATGCTGTGATCAATTGGTCTACTGTTTTTTGGTGTTGATGGGGAAGAGATGGGACAGAAATGAATATGCCATCACGGAATATCACGGAATATTATACGGAGACAATGGATTACGATTTAACAATTTCAATTCATTTTGTTAAAAATGCTGATTCTATATGCCCGTTTATTTAGAAGTCGCTCTCCTTCCTCTGGCCGACGTAGAATGCCAGGCCGCCGTTCTGTGTGGTGAAGGTGATGGTTGAACCCTTGGGGAAGAAGAAGACGTCTCCCGGTGTGGCGACGTGCTTCTGGCCAGTCTCGTCCGAGATGGTGTAGTCACCCTCGAGGATGATCTTCATCTCGTCGTACTTGTAGGTGTAGGTGAGGGGCTCGCCCTCCTTGAGACGGTAGAAGCCGGCGGAAATGGGCTTGTCGGGGTTTGTCTTGTCGCTGGAGAAGACGTCGCCCAGGTAGGCGTTGTTGCCGGCGAGCAGCGGGATCTGGTACTTGGACTGGGCCTGGGGGAAGACCTTCATGGCGGGAGAAGACATGGTGGCGAGGAGTAAGAGGGGTGTGCAGTATCAAATGTGAGAGTTGATTAATTTGAGTAGACTTGAGGAGGATGTTTGATGAATGATATACTGAGATTTGAGGTTGATCTGGTCTGGGATTCATTCAGCAAGAAGACACCCCTGGTCTAAAATACTTTGCATCGGCTCGGATGGGAACCCTATCTGGGTTTCTTTGTCCCGCCCGCGAATGCCTCCCTATTCCAGTTGTTAATTTGAGAACACCGCATAGACAGGAACTAATCGTCGATTCCAGCCTGGATCTGACCCTGCTGAGACCACGAGATGTGCTCGACGACTGTGATTACGCTTTTCAGCGCCCGCACCCGGAGCCGGCTAGCGCTCAAAGAAGCTCCCTCGCGAATCGGCCGTTTCAGATTGGCTGTAGACTTTGTGGGGAAGAGGAGACGATGATAACGCCGGATAGCATTACCTGTTTAGGCATAAACTCGCTGTGCAGTGACACGACGATAAGTATGCCCGGATTTGGCACATACCACCTTGACGATCGTTCTGGCTACTTATCGATAACCAATGGCTGAATGATCTGTGCTGTCAGCGTAGTTTGTCTCATTCCGGCACTCTGAAGGGAAGTCACGTAGGTCCCGGAAGAGGCCGCACCTTTGTCGATGGTCTGAGAGAGCGGGACTGCATAGACTTGACCAGAGATCTACAAAAGAGCAAATATCCTCTTTGCAATCATCTTGAGTCAAGTCGCTCAATCCTAGATCTGCTAGGCGGAGTAATAAATCAACCAGAACCTTATGTACATGGATCGATAAAACGTTCCCTTATCAATCATTCCAATATAGTAAATCGACCGCCCCCCTTCCCCTCCCTTCCCCGCCGCCAAACCATCGTGGCCTCTCTCACCATGGCGTTGCCGATCGACCTCACAAAGCTGAGCACCATTGCCACACCGGCGGTGATAGCCATCTTCCTCTCTCTAGCCGTGGTGGCATACCGCCAATGGCTGTCCCCCCAAGCCCGCCGCCAAAATGTTCGCGAGAGCAGCCCCGGCCGGCTAGAAAAGCTCCCCGCAGCCGAGAAGTCCTCTCCAGTCAAGGCCGTGGAAGAATCACGGAGCTTCAAGATGCCTCCAGTCCCAGCCTACCCGAACTGGGACATGAAGGACACCAAACCCTTGCCGTACCGGGCTTTCCGCTATGGGCCCAAATACCACGTAACGATGGGTCTCCGAACGATTCATCCAACGGAATGGATCGAACTTGACAGCGATTTCCCCAAATACCACGCTGACAAGGCTGCTCGCATCAAAGAGCGCGGGTCCAAATGTGTCGAGACACATCCCGATGCCTTCCCCGCCGCTATTGAACTGCTTGAGGAGTTGGTGAACTACCTTCCCGATCGTTACCCTAGCTTATATGAGCGAACTGCGACCGGTATCAAGAACAAGTGGTCTGGGGAGGATATCAACATTGTGGAGAGACCCCTGGTGGAGGATCCCATGGCCCTCTGCGCACGACTTGTGCAGGATGATCTCGCCATTATGATCGAGCAGCCGGATGGACAATACCGTTTGCTCGCTGGTGCCATTCTCCTTGCTGGCTTCTGGAGATTCTCCGACAAGTACGGCATGACTCTCTCGGACATCCACACATCTGGTGACGTTCCTCACTTCAAAGAGAAGCTCGAGTCTGGAATGATGAAGTTCTTCCGTCGCTTGAAGTGCGATGATTTCTACAGCCGCAACAACTACTTCATGCAAGTTGATGACTCCCTGTCCTGGAGTCACAGCATTGGCGACGAGGATTCCCCTGGCATTAGCTGGAGCACAGCCGACAAGAACAAGGCTATTGATCATCACTGGTTCCGGTCAGAGCGTCAGACGCTTCGTAGGTTACCCAAATCTGGAGGTGTTGTTTTCACCATCCGCACTTACTTCTTGCCCGTGACGGAATTGGTTAGCGAAGACTATGTCCCCGGTCGACTTGCGAGCGCAGTTCGAAGTTGGGACGACTCGGTGGCTAGATACAAGGGGAGAGAAAGGTATGGTGAGGTACTGCTTGAGTATCTGGATGCGAAGCACCAGGAGCAGTTGGACAGGGGGCTGGATCTAGAAAAAGAGGATGAGATTAGGAAATATCCATGGTGATGGACTCAGAGATTCTTCATTCAACTCTTTGCTAAAAAATCCAACAAAAATAAAAATGATATTAGTATTTAAAAGTTGTGCTTGGAAAGCAGCCTCGACGTGGCGTAGCTCGTGACAACTAAAAGAGTGCGTGTTTTCATTTGATATTCAAGAGATACTTGTTGTGCAATATTTTGATTTGTCCTATATGAAAGTCAGCCAATGCTTATGACAGATATGCCAAGTGGCGATAGCCTCAGTGAAGACGAATGGCGTAATCTCGCCCGTAGGGGACACAGCCAACAGCCGCAACCAAACTCCGCCTATTTTTTGATTTTCAACTAGGACTCACTCCTTATTCCCGTTCTTGTTTGAAAAGCAAAATGAAACGTTCGTGGAGTTGCACTGACCCGCCAACCGCCGGGACTAGAGATGGTGAACAGCTTATGATTATTTGCTTTATTCACATTAGTGCCGTAGTTGAATAAGCAAATAAGATTTGAGACCTTAGAGGAACGCCACGGCAAGGAATAAAAACAACAGCGCTGACCAATTGCAATTCACTGCTCTGATTTGCCGTCCGGCCAACACGCCACAAGCCTCCGACTGATTAACAAACTGAGCGTCTAGTTGAGGGTGGCTTGGCATTCAAGACACGGTCCAGACTTCAGAGACTTTAGTGACAGTATATCATGCTAAAGCCGCTGTATGCTAGGCACTTCGCCCCCTATTTGCCATCGTATTGACTTGAGGCAATACGCTTGGAACCTTGGGAACTTCAGCTGAGATGTCTCACTTCGCTGTTGATCTTACTAAGTTGGTCAGGAGCGCCACAGCGCGTCGCCTTGGCGGCTTAGAATAATTACGTGGCAAGGCTCTCCTTGAGTTTATTTACCAACGTGATCGACGCCTCTCGGTTCATCCTTCCAATTTTTTAAAGCACCTACGCGGCAGCGGGCCGTCATCTTGATATCCTACACCTAGCACATGGGACACTGTCAGATTATGTGAACGAGCCTGCTTTGCTTTCGCGATGATTAACGTGGTAGCCATCGCCCTGTTATTATTATCCGGGAGGTGTAGTGCTTGGTCCGATCCCCCAGCCCCTGACGACTTTCTCCGGCGTAATGGCCCTCGAGGTACGACCACATTTTGGCACATCACAGTTCAACTGGTACTCATCCTTCTAACTCCTTGGCAGCCGTGGTTGTCGATGATTTCGTGTATATTGATGGAGGATATGTTTTGGGAAAAGACTTCCCAGTGAGGACATCAAGCCGTACAGCCCCCATTTCGTGCCGTGCTTTCAAATCCCAGTCTTGCTGATGGCCTTATAGTAACCCCAGCCAACGACACGCTTGCGATCGATCTCTCGAAGTCCTGGTATCCCAGAGACGTGTCATTTCTCAAGCCCAGAGTGGCGCCGAGGAAGCCGCCTCTTTATCGAAGCGGCATCGTTGTCGACGAGAACGCAAAGTCATTATATCTTTGGGGAGGTAGAAGAGTGGAGCAAGATGGTAAGAGAGAAAAAGAGAAACTGTCACCAGACCGTGTGCTCTGGAAGTTCACGCCGGATGGCAAGGGAAACGGTAGATGGAACTCTGAAGTTACCCTCGGCATCGACCGAGTGGTACGGAGCGAGGGAACCGCGTACACAGCAGCAAAAGGGTTGGGATTTTGGTTTGGTGGTGCCGTAAACGAACAGACGGATAGTTCATCAAATGCGAAAGCCGCTGACGGGACCGCAACACCCGGATTCGTCACCTTCAACTTCACATCCAAGGCTTGGACGAACCACACCGATATCCCTGAATCAATCAAGCACCCATATTCCGCCACGGCCACCTACGTGCCTAGTTTCGGCCCTAATGGGGTTATCGTACTTATTGGTGGTACAAGCAGGCCAAATCGCCTCCCTGCGTTTGATTTAGGAGTGGTTAACTTCGTGGACCCGGTGACTCTGAAATGGTATAGCCAGACAACATCGGGTCCCTCTCCATCCCGACGTATGGATCATTGTGCAGTCAGTGTCCAGGGGGAAAATAAAACCCATGAAATGTGAGTGCGATGATCCAAGACGGACGTTGATTTCCAAACGGTTAATCTATTCGACCTTTTAGCTTCATTTATGGCGGGCAGGATAATGAAAGCGCAGACGGAGAAGTCTTTGGAGATGTGTGGGTTCTAAGTCTCCCAGGGTTTGTTTGGCACCGGGCAGACCCTGGCGATGGAGATATTAGAACGCACCATGATTGTGTGCATGTTGGAAAGCGCCAGCTTCTTAGCATTGGCGGACTCAGCTCGCCGGCGCCGAGCAATATGTCCTTTCCGGACCCCAATCCACAAGGCCTAGGAATCTTTGACATGACGGAGATGAAATGGACAGAAAAATACAACTCAGGGGCTGATCCTTATGCAACCCCGACTATCATCAAGAAGTGGTATACCGATGGGTGAGTACTAGTTCCATGGGCTGCCACATCCCAGAGTCTGCTGGAATCAACTAACAGTGCGGCAGGGGGTTGGAATCGGTAGTTTGGGGCGATGGAGTCCAAGATTTATTCCTGAACGAGACCCCTTCTGACCCTTCGCCCAGTACTGGCGCCCTCTCCGCTGGCGTTACTGCTGGCATCACAGTCGGCGCAGTTGCATTCGTGGCGGCGATTGCGACGGCTGCATTCTGGCTCTTTCGAAAGCGTAAGGGGGAAAAGATGGCAAAATCCCAAGAGCTTGAGGCTCTCACCTCCACGCTCAATGGATCCTCCTCTGCCTGGACTTCAACTTTATCGCCTTTGGACACTCGTAAAGAGATGTGTGTCGCTCACCCTGAGCTGGCAGGAGATACCCACCGCTTAGCCATGCGAGATGAGTTGCTTGTCCCAGGTCAGATTCCTACAGATCAACGAGTTGAACTCCATGCAGATGAACGTTCCGAGGTGGTGGGATAGCCTTGGCCTATGAATTTAATGTAATGATTCCTTAGACGACCTCTGTTGGTTGGGATGATTAGATGGGTGTTGGATAGAGATTACATATCCCTTGTACTGCGCTTACAGAGTTTTCCTTCCGCATGACTTTAGCCTTGGGCTATTAGAGCTTATTTTTGCCTTTCGCATTCATCGGGTTGAGATGTCGGGTCTGGCATCTTCCATTGCTGTTTTTAAGTTTGTACTCGAACTCTCTCACGCGTATCCCTTGTAATGTGAGCATTGCCGATCATTTGACTGGGGAATAGTTTGGTTAAACTAGGTAATTAGTATCGAAGGGTGCCTCCTCCAAGAAACGTCCAGTAGGCCTCTTGTAGAGATGCGCTCCCTGTTTACGGCGACACCCATTGTGTTCCTTCGATGAGAGGGACAGGTCATATCTGGGAATATCGAGCGTAAACGAGCAACGGTTAAGCATAACGATTAGGCTCTCAGCCCTACCGGCGTGGCCCGAGGACAGAAATGCAGATGGATGATCTAGGAAAGAGATATACTATTCCGCTTAATTCGATCCCAGGGACACAAACCGATGTGAGACCCCCACTAGCCACGTTCACACCGTGAAAGAGTAAGCCATGGGTTTGCAAAAGACCATGGACTATGGCGATTATTCACATCCGTCTACGTGTAGATCAGTATCGTATAAGAATTTGTATCCTTTAAGTTGAACGACCTGGAAGCGAAGTCGCAGGTTTCGCCGATTGTGCCCTTCCTTGGACCGAGTATTGCGATCACGCTAAAATTCCCGTTGTAGAGGGCGTCCCCATCAAACGTTCGTGGGGCTTCGGAGGAGCTCCTCAACGGTTTGGGAGGAGGATGATAATGCAAAAGAGCTCATTGGCGGCCAAAAAGTGTTTTTGAGTGGAATAAACACCTGTCGCATTCCCACACGTTGTGCATGAAGTGATTTATTTACATCATTTCTTGACTCTCGTCCCGGCCGTCATCAGTCCTTTTTGCCCCTGTTTCTTCCTCAACGTCTTTCTCTACCCCCAAATCAAAACTTTAATTAACAATATAAACCATGGCTGTTGAAAAAAGAAACAGGGCTTTGGCAATTGTAGATGCCGCCGCTGCCGGCGGCTACGCCGTCCCTGCAATGTGCTGCTACAACGTTGAGGGAATCATCGCCTCAGTCAGGGCGGCCGAGGCCAAGAAGTCGCCAGTCATCATCCAATTATTCCCCTGGGCCATTGAATTCGCAGACGGACTGCTCCTGCATGCGGCAAAAGAGGCGGCCGACAAGGCCAAAGTGCCCGTGGCGGTTCACATGGACCACGCCCAATCGCCAGAAATCATCAAGCGAGCTGCGGAACTGGGCGGGTTCGATGGAATCATGGTCGACATGAGCCACTATGAGAAGGAGGAGAACTACGCCAAAACTAAGGAGCTGGTCGAGTACCTCCACGAGAGAGGCATCATTGCGGAAGCGGAGCCGGGGAGGATCAATGGTGGGGAGGATGGCGTGCAGGACACTGGTGATCTGGAGGGTATTCTCACCACACCTGAACAGGCTTCGGAGTTTCTGGATTTGGGTGTTGATTGGCTCGCCCCGGCGTTTGGAAACGTTCACGGAAAATACGGCCCCAAGGGTCCACAGCTAGATTACGACCGCCTGAGCAGAGTCCACGCTACAACGAGCAAGCGTGGAGTGAACCTCGTCCTGCATGGGGCGGGTGACTTTGGCGAGGAGCTGTTCCAGTCTGTGATCAAGCGAGGCATTACTAAATGCAACGTCAACGACGCCATGAATAATGAATTCACAAAGGTCATGAAGGAGAGAAAAGCCCCCCTGACCACGCTTCTAGAGGAGGGAACCTTGGCGATGCAAAAGGCGGTAGAGCTGCATATGGACTGGATGGGATCCACTGGAAAGGCTTAGACGATAAGAATGAACTTATTGACATGCATGTTTCTTCCCGTGAGCTAGAGCAGAGTTGGCCGCAGGGGACTGCGTCGATCTGATGAGACTACCCCGTACATCACCATCCACTGTAAATCCGGGGAAGGTTTCTCCACGTAGGATTATACCTAGTTTGCGCACGCTATCATTGTGGGAACGGAAAAACATGCGGATTGGCTTGATCAACTTTTAAATATACAATGCTAGTCAAAGGTAGCTATCTCCATCTATGACGCCAAGCGAGCCGTTTTTATTTGTTTATATATCTTAGTTGGGCAGCGTTAGCGTTGCCTTGAAATCTCGCACAATATCATCAAAAGAGTCATCTTTTTGGAATCCCAGACCAAAGCCCTTTGCGTTATCAAACGTAGTGGGCCAAGAGTAGAGGATGGGCTTGACAAGAGGATCCTCCTTCTCGGAGAGATATTTCAGCTTGTCCTCTCCTCCAACACGTGCTAGGGAGTCCATCATATCCTGAACAGTGACTCCAATACCCGGCAGGTTGACGACGCGATCATAGTCAGGCAAGGAATCCCTGGCAACGCTCAACGCATGGACAAGGTTCTGGATAAGCATGCGCGGGGAGCACAGCCAATGCTTGAATGCCCGGTTCTCAATGGGAATGACGCACGGCAGCCCCTGCATGGGCTCGCGGATCATGCCAGAAAGGAAGGACGAGGCGGCAGCAGTAGGCTTGCCGGCTCGGACTGAGATTGTGGGGAGACGGAAGATGAGAGCGTCGACCCAGCCGCGGCGGTGATACTCGTTGATGAGGTACTCGCACATCATCTTCTCGCACCCGTACGAGCTCTCGGGGGTTGGGCGCATCTGTTCCGTCATGGGCTCCACGAACTCGCCACCGTAGACAGCCTGGCTGGAGGTGTATAGGAGCTTCACGCCGGGGCAAGTCTGGCGGAGTGTTTCCACAAGAGCCCGAGTGGCGTCAAAGTTGACCCTCATACCTGTACAAAGTTAGAAACAGAAAAAAGAAATCAAATCCAAGATTCCCATCTTTCGTCACTCGTACTTACCGAGGTCAAAGTCGGCCTCGGACCCTGATGACATGATTCCATGGAAGGCGTAGACAGCGTTCAGATCTTTGCTGACCACGTCTTGTGATTGGCTGATGAGATCAGCCTTGATTGTTTGTGCCTGCTTGGGCCACTTGACATTCTGCGGCACGGGTGGCTCGATCACGTCTGTCAAGACAACAGAATACTTTCCGGTCTCGTCGTTTAGTAGGGTCTTGGCCAGATTTTGGCCCACAAAGCCCGCAGCGCCAGTAATGAGGACCTTCATTGTGATGTGAGGTGATAAATGGCTTATCTCTATCGAGGGTGGTTCAGGATGCAGCAATGAACGGGCGTGGGGGGATAGGCTGGCCCCTGATCTTGGTGCAATCGCGTATATGATTCTTATACAAAGACAGCCGATGGTCTAGTGCAACCAGAGGTTAGAACAAGAAACTTGTCTCGCCTTGAATCCACTGTGTACGAGGGGCAATCGGGGATTGTGCGATGGAGACACAGCAGAGAGTGGAGAGGTGGGTACGGAGGTTTCACCGACTGCGGGGAGTGGCTTGGCCTCGAGACCTACAAGGATAGTTTTTGGTGTAACTCGGCGAGTCGCCGTATTGGGACTTCCGGACGGTAGAGCGAGAGAGGGGCTGACGAATTGCAGCTGTGTCGATTGGCCAGATGAGAAAGGGGGGGAGCACCGGCGTCTTACCCCCCATCTTGTATTGTTACCAACGCGGCCTTCAATCCGGAGGGACCGGACTAAATACCGACGCCGAGTACATCTTCTTTCAACAAAGAATGGCTCCCGATAATAAGAAGAAGAAGGTCTCGGTCGATGAGCTCCAGCTGCATGCGTCGCCCGAGAAATGCTGGCTGTTGGTGAACGGGGCTGTCTGGGATCTTTCAGAATTCGCACCGGAGCATCCAGGTGGTGTAGACGGCAAGTCTCAAGATCCCGTTGCCTAGAGAAGTTGGTGGTCTAATACCTGAATCAGTTATCCACCGCCATGCCGGGCGTGACGCATCTGCCATATACAATAGCATCCATGCGTCTTCTCTCCTTGAGAATGAGCTGGATAGTTCCAAGATGATTGGCTACATTGCTAAAGATGGCTCTGGCAGTTCATTGAAGATATCGTTGCCACCAACAGAGCCTGTAGAGCTAACCACAGCATCCCCCAAGGACCAGCCCAAGGGCAGGCGGCCATTGCAGACCATCATTAGCACTCATGATTTCGAGGAAGCTGCGTCGGAGAACCTCTCTGCAAAAGCCTGGGCTTTCTTCTCCTCGGCTGCGACTGACTGTATTACAAAACGAGCAAACGAGGCCTACTTCGATCGAATATGGCTCCGCCCTCGAATCATGAAAGATGTCAAGGAGATTCGCTACGACACCAAGATGCTCGGGGTCTCCATTCCTATGCCTCTATTTGCGAGCCCAACAGCAATGGCGAAGCTCACACACCAGGATGGAGAACTGGCGATTGCAAAGGGTTGCTCTAAATTTGGCATTCCTCAGACGGTATGACCACGAACATGCTCAACAGATACTAGAGATGCATCAGAGTCTGACCTGATTGCCTAGATATCCACCAATGCCTCGTTTCCCATGGCCGAAATCACCTCCTCCGTCGACAACACCTTCTTCTTCCAATTATACGTCAACAAAGACCGCACCGCGTCGGAGAAGCTCCTGCGACAAGCCGAAGCCTGCGGGATGCGCGCCGTCTTCTTGACTGTGGACCAGCCAACCCCGGGAAAACGCGAAGCAGATGAGCGCGTCAAAGCAGAAGGGACGGTCCTCGCGCCCACGCCGAACGGGGCGACAGCGAGCAACGACAAGAAAGGAAGCAGTCTCGGTCGCACCATGGCTGGTTTCATCGACCCGACACTCAATTGGGAAGATATCAAATGGATACGCAAATCAACAAAACTACCTCTTGTGCTGAAAGGGGTACAGACCGCCGAGGACGTCATTCTTGCTGTCAAGTACGGCATAGATGGCGTGTTGCTGGGCAATCACGGGGGCCGGAGCCTGGACACATCTCCGCCCTCGATCATGATTCTCCTGGAGCTGCATCAAACATGCCCCGACGTGTTCAACCACATCGAGATCTTCTTGGACGGCGGCATCCGTCGGGGGACGGACATGTTCAAGGCACTCTGCTTGGGTGCGCGTGCTGTGGGCATGGGACGCCATTTTCTCTACGCCGCCAATTACGGGTCGGAAGGGGTTGAACAACTGATCGAGAGTATGTCACACCTGAGACTTGGCAGGAAATCATTCGCTAACCAGATGAGCAGTCATGCAGGATGAATTCGAAACGACGATGCGCATGATGGGTTGCACCGACCTCTCGCAACTGCACCCCGGGCTGTTGAATCTGTGCGACGTAGAACATTGGGGCAACGGCTTGCGGCCGGTATCTAAGTCGAAGCTCTGAATGGACGTTGACAAGGGCCCGCTGTTGTGTCCGAGGTGAGAACGTAGGCTTCTAGCTAGGCGTATCCAACGAGCATCGAGCTTCTCAATTGATCAACAATCCCATTCCTCCATCTGTTCAGCCATTGTCCGTCATGGCGATGTGCGTGGTGACGTTTCTCACGCCGATACCGCACCGTGTAACCAAGAAACTTTGTTATTTGCACTTCAATTCCGGACCCAGTTGTCCAACCGTCGGTTAAAGTCAGTTGGGATCGTAGCCAAGAGCCAATTAAGGCACCAACATTAATATCCACCAGGTCCCAGGACATCTCTCCGCTTGCTCGAACCAGGCCTAGTCGGAGAGAATAGTTGTGGACTTGTGGAGCGAGTCGAGTCAGGCGACCGTCAAACTCCAATTTGTTGCTCCGGTCTGTTGCCCCCCACGCACTCTCTTATTATGGACGACCTCCACAGCAGTTGAGCTAACCCGCTTCTCCGCATGTCTCGAATCGAGCTTGGGCCTGCCAGTCATTGGGGTTTCTCCCTTCGCTGCCCCATCCTAGCCCAAACTTCCCCAGACTCATCATCGGTCGCCGTTGAGCTTGCCCACTGCCTCTGCCTGTTGCTTATCTGATTGCTGAAGATACAAGCTGTTTACGGTCATCATGGGAACCAGCCCTCTCTCGCAGGACGGAGCAACAGTCTCCAGCTACAGACATCGCGGCCAGCGTGGGCCTCGAGCAAGAGCCTGTAGGTTGGACTCGTCACTCCGACTGACCCTCCCTAAAGCACACCCCCCTGGACCTGCAAGACATTGACTCACGCAAAACTTGCTCGAATAGGTGCTGAATGCAAGAGACATAAGATAAGATGCGAAGTAAGAAGAGGAGAACACGCCTGCGTGCGGTGTCTTCGGACTGGCATCGAGTGTTCACCTCATGACCCAGTTCAGCGTTTACTCGACGACAACGAGGCGTGAGTCGCGTCGCCCTTTCATTAACTCACCACAATTATCCTGCATGTATTCAATGAGCTAACCTGGCCACCGTCTAGATGGAAAGCCCAGGCAACGAGCCAGATCCATCAATTGCAGGCTGCGGTGGCTGCACTCCTTCACCGCACCCAACTGCCAGATCTGCCCAACTTTCATGAATTTCACCCAAACACCACAAGTCCCACAGATTCGGCGATCGGCAATGTGTCCACCACGGAGTCTGTCATTGCCCCATACGACATGAGGGAGTCCTCTCCCGACCGTCAGGCTGATGACCCAGGCCTCATCCAAGCCCCCATGAGCAACCTGTATGAGCTGACCAAGGCCACTCATCCCATCGGACCCCCGTCCATCCCCAGACACATCAGACTGGCCTCAGAACAGGACCTTATTGCCAGCGGCGTCCTGTCCATATCCTGCGCAGAGCAGCTCCTCTCCCGATTCCTCACCAACCAGAACCCACTCCTCTGGGGCGGCATCATCTTTCCCTACCAATCACTCGATGCCCTCCGCTGCACCTCCGTCCTACTATCCACCGCCGTCTTCACCATCGCCTCCCTCCATTCTCCGGGCGGCGGCGGTGGCGACGTCCTCCAGAAATGCTACGACACGTACATCTCCCTCGTCAGTAGGTCGAGCCTGTCGCGCAACCACTCCCTCGATGACATCCGCGCCCTCATCCTGGGCGCCTTCTACCTCCCCAACCTCAGCTGGAGACTCTCCGGCCAGGCCGCCCGCATGGCCGCCGAGATGAACATCCACCAGTCCTTCCACAAGGTCATGAACGGCGACATGCGCCACGCCGAGCGCGTCCGCCTCTGGTACGCCCTCTTCGTCTGCGACCGCCACTTCAGCATGGCCTACCTGCGCCCCTCGGCCATGGCCGACGACGCCGCCATCAAGGGCGTCGAGCGCTTCCTCGAGTGCACGTCCTCGGTGCCCGGCGACGTCCGCGTCTGCGCGCAGGTCGCCCTCTTCAAGATCCTCTCCGAGGCGCACATGGAGTACGGCAGCGACCAGGCGGCGCCCCTGACCGAGGCGGACCTCGACAAGCTGCGCGCGTACAACACCGCCATCGAGCAGTGGCGCATGCTCTGGCAGCCGCGCTCCCTCGACGTCCCGGGGATCGGCTCGTACCCCTCCAAGGGCGTCGTGCTCTACTACCACTTCGCCCGCTTCCAGCTCAACTCGCTCGCCCTGCGCGGCGTGCGCTGGCCGAGCGACGAGCCGCTGTGCCTGAACCGCCGCGAGGCCGCCATGGCCGCCATCTCGGCCGCCATGAGCACGCTGCTGCACATCACGGGCGAGGAGGACATGCGGAGGGCGCTCAACGGCGTGCCCCTGTTCACGCACACCATGATCGCCTTCTGCGCGACCTTCCTGCTCAAGGTGGCCGCCATCTGGGCGAGGGGCGGGGACCACCTCTCGCAGTCGCTCGGGCTGGGGTTCAACCTGGCGGAGATTGTGTCGCTGGCGCGCAGGACCGCGGATCTGCTGTCGCGGGTCGCCGAGGAGGAGGTCAGCGAGAAGCACCTGATGCGGCTCATCGTCGCCGGCATCAGGGAGATGCTGCAGCGGCTCGCGCTGGCGGTCGGGGACGACGCGATGGAGGCGAGGTCGGCGGGCAAGGATGACGGGCGGGAGCAGAAGGCCGACAGCACGGGCGCGGCGGTGGACTTTGCGACTGTCCAGATGGGTGATGGGATCGACGGGATGATATATAACATGGATCTGCATAGTCTGGCCGGGTTGCTCGAGTACGGGTCGGATCAGTTCCTGGATACGTTCGTTTCGTCGAATGAGTTGGATGTGTGGGATGCGCCGTCGTGAGGTAATGAATATAATGAAGCGATGATGTGATTGCTGGTCGTCTTTCTGTTTTCGTGCGTTGTGTTCATCGTTCCGAGCGCCGGCGAGGCATATTAGTTCGAGGTGAGGCTCGTTCTTTGAGACGAGAAGCCTGCATGTCCCATTGTGAGTCCGTCAGGTCATCACGAGGGAGGGGGTGAAAGAATAAGAGTTTGTGTCTCACTGTCACATCTGTCTAGACGTGCTTTGAAGTTATACATTCTATGTGCCTATTATTGTTATGCTTCCTCCCTTGCAATGTCTTGTTCTAAAACAACACCTATTATAGTCCAATCAGTTCTGGAAATGTTGATGGAGTTACTCAGCCCTCCTTGGATGTCTCTCCCACAGGAAACAGGTAGTGACGAAGCCCACGCCTGTCAACGCCGTCATGAAAATATTTTGTTGGTTGTATCCCTCCGAGAAGGCCAGCCGGACCTGTATCTGCTGCAACTCCGTGAGAGTTTGAATTTCCGAAAGGGACTCCAAAACAGCCGCCGCCTCGGCTGGGTCGATGAGCTCGTTGAGTTTGGGTTTGAGGTAGTTGTTGAGCATCGTCGCACTACACAAGGCCAAGTTAGGTAACGTCGGGATGATGGAACAAGCTTAACTCTTGTGATTGCTTACCAGATTGCCAACGAGATGGTGCCTCCGAGTACACGTACCTGGGTTGCAGCACCCATCATTACCGCTACTCAACCGGTTAGTCTGTGTCACCAGTTCGGACGGCATGCCCAAGCTTGATTCACTTACGAAGGTTCTCCTTGGAAACGACGAGCCGGGCCAGGATGAGGAGAGTCGAGAGGCCAAGACCGAAACCGAAACCCATGATGGCCTCATAGGCGTATAGTTCCCTGGGAAAAGTCGTCGTATTGGTGGGAAGGCTGCAGGTGAGCCCGACCCCGACGAGCTGGAACACGCCAGACACCACAAGAATGTAGAAAAGGGGGACTTTGGCCCTCCCAGTCAGGAATCCAGCCAGTGCTGTCGCGACTGGAGACGCCAGGAGCAGAGGGAGCATGCTGATTCCCGCCTCGAATGCCGACTTGCCGTACACGGCCTGCGCTCTCTGTGGCAGGTTGACGATAATGGAAACGAACGGGAAGCCGATGAAAAAGGCAGACCTAAGCAATAACTGTCAGCCCTCGGTTTCCACTTCCCAGTTAGCAGGAGAAATGGGACGGACAGAAGCAACGCAGCAGGCAACCTCTCCTTGCAGATGCTGGGAGGGAAGACGGGCTCCTGTCTGGAAGCCGACCTCTCGACGTAGATCTCCCAGAGGACGAACCCGACCGTCAATGCCACCGCCAGCGCGAGAGAGGCAATGATGGCGGGACTGCGCCAGGGATATCTCGTGCCGGCTTCTTCCAGCGCGAAGATCAAAAGGACGGAGAAGGCGAGCAGCAGCGACATGCCCAGCAGGTCGAGCCGGGCCCAAACAGACAGCCGGAACTTGGAGCGGACAATCTGCTTTATTGAGAGTTGGGAGGATTCGTCCGACATCGGTAGGAAAACGGCGAGTGTTATGAAGGCGACCGCACCCCCTGGTATGCTAGGGGGTCTCAGTGTCAGCGGCACAATTCATCGGCAACGGGGAGAGAGACAAAGGGGGGGAGATCTCACTTTAGCAGAAAGACCCAGCGCCAGGAGGAGTGGGCGTTGATGACGCCGCCGAGGACGGGACCGAGGACGCTGGCGATGAGGAAGACGGTGGCGACGATGGCCATGTATTTGCCGTACTTGCGGACCGGCACCAAGGTCGGGGCGAGGACGAGAACCATGGAATAGATGCCCGAGGCGCCAACGCCCTGGAAGGCGCGGAAAATGATTCTGCGACCGAGTGTGCGCGCAGTCAGTCGACAGGTTCTGCTAAGGGGATGTGGTGAGGGGCTGGTCCGAGGACTCACAGGGTAACGATATCGTTCGACGCACCGCAGAGGGCAGAGAAGACGGTGAAGATGGCAAGAGCCACGAGGAGCATGGTCTTTTTGCCAAAGAGATCGCTGACCTTGGCGAAGATGGTCAAGAAGCCTCGATGGAGAGTGTTAGCAGGGGCAGCCGGATCAACGAGGCCGCGGGACGGAGCGGGCTTGTCCCTTACCAGTGTATGTCAAGAGATATGCGGTGACAACCCAGTCTCTGAGAAGAAAGCCGCTCAGGGCATCGGTGATGGAGATCAGGGAAGTGCTCACAATAGTCGTCTCGAGCGTGGAGAGGAATAAACTGATCCACATACTGCAGAGTGTTAGCGGCGTACAGCACGAATCGAGTAGCGATGATCAAGTCAAGTACCCAGCGGTCACAATCCACAGCCTCCATCCTTTGAGATACTTCTCGTCCTCCTCGTCGTCCTCGTCGCCGTCTGTGTCAGTTGTGCCAGTGACTGTCTGGTCCGGCTCTGTCTTGTTGGGGCTGGTCTGGGCGCCTGTGTTCTCGACAAGGCCGCCAGCTGCCTGCTGGGCTTCTTTTGGTGTGACGGTAGATGACTCGGCCATCATGCCACGAAAATTCAGGCCCAGATCACGTTCGGCCTGGCCAATGAACCCCCAAAAAGCGCACCTAATGAAGAGATGAGAGGCGAGGTGAAGCCACCAGTGTGCTCGGGCGGGCTGACCGAAGAGCGGGCTCAAATCTACGATTGCAAATCTACACTAGAGGCAAATCCTTGAGCCGTAGAACGTGGCATCATGGCGGCTCGTGTTTCGGGGTTGGCACGGGGTTGGCACGTAAGCACACAGCCCCAAGCAGGCTGCCACGAACACCCTTGGCAATCTGATTAGTCCAAGTCCGAGCGACGGATCCTTGCTTCCCATATCAACAGCTATGAGTGGATGTTACTAGAGCGAAATTATTCCCACTATTTCCGCCAGCGAGTAGACGGCGGGATGTGTATATTCTATCCTCCCATGCCAGCGGCGGCAATACAGGCTCTCGCCCGAATTCCGATGATCCGTCCCCTCAGTTGCTTGTATCAGCCCCTAAAGCGAGGGGGTTGGTACCTTGGGCGAAGTATCCGATAAAGGTCGTGCAACCCACACGATCCCTATCTCTACGGCATACGATGTACACAACTCCGTCATGCGTTCTTCTTTGGCCTCACGACAAAGAAGGCCTGCATACTAGAGAAGTAAGTGATCTAAGAAACTTTCTGACACAATGTGCTCTACACCCTTTGAAACTGGCCTTGTCTTCCTTCGACCGTGATGGGTGGGAGAAGCAACTTCTGCGTGTTCTCAGTCTGGTGTGACTTAATCTTAGCACAGAGAGACCGACGATCTGCGTAAGCATGCCTGGGCGAGAGGCTGTTACAGTGCGACCCGTAGATAGGCAGGCAACATGCTCCAGCTCCCAATGCGTGACAAGTTTCCGTCCCGAGACCGTGTCTTCGCCGCTGTGTCTGAAACTAACCTGCATGATGCCGCCAGAAACCTGGTGCTCTGGCCAACAGTTGTCGAGCTCACTTCTCGCCGCATGCTGCTCGTACTCAGTATCGTGGGATGACTGGCGGGAACACACAAACATGGCGCGCGCCACAGGCCCACGCCACGCCGCACATTTTGTTTCGCTCGCTCGGGAGACCGCAGCGCCTTCGTTCCAACTGTCTCAGGATCCCGAGGCTCCCTGGCTTGCTGACACACCCGGGAATAGGTATGTTTTGGGGGGGGGGCTTCCGGGACGTCAAACGCTTGTTGCAAAGGGGCACGCACAAACACCGGCAAACAAGCCTTTTCAAGTCTCTTTGCAGCCTCCTCCGAATGGGTAGTTTTTGACGGTATTCCGGCAGGCCAAGAATAGCTGGTATTATTTTCCAGTTACATCAAACGAACGATGGGTCGGATCATTTTCAATCCATCAAGCCAACCCATTGTGATGGTGTTTTGATTCGTTGGAGGCTGGGAGACTGTGATACCTACCCACGGGGATCCTGGCTCAATCTGGAGATGGAAGACCGAGGCCCCCTCCCGCAACTTTTCTGGCGGATACAAGAGAACATCGGTAGGTTGATGTTGGCGTCAAGGGCACGGGACACAGCGTAAGCCACCGACTTGCAGCCGCCGGGCCAACACCAGTAGCAGAAAGCGATGCAATAAGCATCCTCCCGTGCCAAGTGCCACGGCGAACGCCACCGGGTACATCGGCAGTTTGCCTGCTGGTACGTGCAATGCAGGTAGGCTTGGCTGAGACAGATGCTCCGACCGAGCTGCTGTTGGACCGCCTCTTGAAGAGCAACTGCAGATTTGGGCGTCATCGATTTCCCACTGCAGCTCTGGTACAACGGCTCTGGAAATCCATGGAGCATGGTCCAAGTAGAGCATGGAGAGTTGCCCCGTGAGCAGATACGTGGCGCCAATGGCAGGTGACAAGGTGGTGTACGAATCATACTCCATTGCTTGTGAAGTCAACCTAGAGACACAGATGGTTTACTGAATCAAATTACTGGCTCGGGCCGGAACGAGTACCTACTGCGTCACCAAGTCACTTGCTTGAATGTCAGGGGCGCAGTGGAAGAGCACAGGACATGGCGGCCTTGTTGGTAGAGAAGAGCGAGCGACGTGGGCAGCAAGTGCCACGGGTCGCTGTCAGGTTTCTGTTCATTATCGCATAATCTAGATCTAATACAATGCAAATAGCAAATCAACATTGCTTTCTTAGGCCCTTGCCTTCAGCCCCCCCGTGTGAAAAGTCCTCTCTGGCGCGACCCTGATCCCCTTACACACGCCCAAGGCACGCTTTGAGCTACTGTCTTTTCCGTTTAGTCGGTCGTAGTGACAGACTAGACATCTCATCTGAGGCGAGAAGATCTACTTGGTCGACCAAGGGCTGGTCTTGGTCAACCAAGGGCTGATCTTGGCCTTGAACGGCGGCACCAGGCTCCGTGGGCGGAGTTTGCGCCTGTTCAAACGCCGAGAGAGCCATCCCCTCAGCCCATCCATGGGCCGCCTTGGCGCTGATCCGATCCTCAGGATCTAGAACAAGCATTTGCTTCAAAATCCTGAAGTCGCCTTGGTTATCATCCTTGGCGAATCGGTTGAGATCCTCCACTATCCTGTCGTGCATCGGATTTCCACCAACCCCTCTCAGGCTGCGCAGAGAGAGGACAGGGCGGATGCGGCTAACAAGCTCGAATGTTACGAGTCCCATACACCATACATCCATTTTCACGCCAAGAGGCAGTTTGAGGCCACCCCGTGGATAGTGCTCTGGCGGTTCGTATGGCCTCGAGCCTACCCGATCGTTGATGGTTCCTCGGGGGATCTCGCGCGCGAGGCCGAAGTCGCAGAGCTTCACAATCATATCACCATGCGCTCCTCCTCTAGCCCTCTGTTGAACAAGGATATTCTCGGGCTTGACGTCCCGATGGATGATGGCCGGTTCATGGTCGTGGAGAAACGACAACGCCGACGTGCATTGCCGAAGAATTATCATGGCTTCGATACGCGTGACATCCTTGAGTTTTCGCAACGAGCCAAGCGCCACGTACTCCATCGTGATGAAGGGAGTCGCATCGAAGTTTGCGCCCATGAATTCGACAATGTGAGGCTATTATCCAGGTGGTCAGTGTGTGTCTGCGCTGCTGGCAAATGGGGGAGTAACAAACATGTCGAAGTAGGTCCATAAACCGCACCTCCTGCTTCCACCGTTCCCTGCTACTTTCATCCAACGGCGACTTCGGACGCTTCACCACATGCTGTTCCCCTGTGTGGGGGTTCCAACGGTGTATCGCGATACCAAACCCGCCGCCCCCAATCACCTTCTCGATCAAGATCTTGTCGTCCGAGTCTGAGCACCTGGGCACGGTGACTGGAACTAGCTGTGACAATAGACCGTTGGGGTCATTCCCCTGCCTAAAGAGTTGCGCCTGCATGGCTCGCGCCCGGAGGCCCTGGAGGGCTTTGCCAGGGAACACCTCGAAAGTCTTTTCGTCTTTAACGACGATCATCAACCGCGGCCGATCGAGTTCGCCTGGTGACGACGGCAGTTGTTGGTACAGGTCCGGAACATCAGGCCCGGCTAGTATCCACTCAGCATAGCGCAGGTCTCCGGGGTTATTTTCCGACCCGTTGTATATGACGCGGATACCCTGGCCACCAGTCAGGTCTCTGGCAACTAGACGGTACTCGTGGTTCAGTCCAATTGAGAAATGAACTCTTTCAAACGTGTTTGGCAGAGACGTGCCTTGGCGTGAGACCGAGTCTTCCAGCTCAGTAATAACCACTTCGCAATCTTCACCAGTTCCGAAGACGACACCGGCGGAAGTTCGGGGTGTGTCTTGGAGTCTAATAACAATGCAGCCGTCGACGATCCCCGGCGCCTTCCATTCTGGACTGACCTGAAGTTCGTTGTCCAGCCAGAAGCTGGTCTCATTGCTTGTGCGAACTATTGCTAGCACGTTCTCACTGTCTAGATGCTCCATTATAATTCTGTTTTGGAACAAGTTGAGCGATGAAGGAACGCGTTCAAGCAGGGAGAGTGTTAATGGCTTAGAATAAAGACGTGAGACACAAAGAAGAGAGATGAGGGAGAGGTGGAACAAGTCGAGAAGATCAAAGACAAGAAGAAGATTGAAGAGAAGCAGAAGCTTGGGGAGAATGGGGAGAGATCAGAAACAGCCGAGGACAAGGGCATGGAGCCAAGACGAACCAAGTGAGCAACAAACGCAACAAGACAAACCAAAGTGCGCAACCGATGCAACAAGACAAACCAAAGTGAGCAATCGACGACTGACGGGTAGAAGCATCAGTGCCATTCCACCTCAGGATGCGTGCGTGCTTGGCTCCCGTATACCCCCCCCCACCCCTCTTCTCCCGGTCCCTTTGTGCTACGATCTACGAAGTACGATCAATCATGATCCCCCTCTAGGATTGAGCAACCGGCGGCTGGCGGGTAGAAGTACCAGTGCCATTCCACTTCATACTGTGTACGTGCTTGGCTCCCGTATGCACTACCCCCAGCCACCTTTGTGCTACTATGGACCATCAATCATGATCCCCCCTCTCCAGTTCTCTCGCCTGGATTGTTGCAGCACAGACACACACTAAACGTACAATTGCCTCATATCGTCGAGTTCATACTTGTTGGACTAAGCATGAACTCTTGTATGCTTAGCCTTGCCCTACCCTGGGATGTTCTCCGCGCCTTTCTCTCCCATATCGAAAGCCCAGCCAGGAGTTTCGCGCCAATGGGCTTTATAAAGCTGCTCTAACGTCGCCCATCCCGTGTGCCCAGGCCAAGTAAGCAGATCAATTCTTTTCTTTCTTTCTTATTTTTCCTTTCCCTCTATCGCCTCTGACCAGCAGGGCAACAAAAGGGAGACCTTTGCAGTCAATTTGTCCTTTGGCCCGCGATGGCTTCCTCTCCCCAGTCCGCGCAGCCCATCTTCTTGCGACAAGTTGTCGATGCGACCGATGAAGAGCTCACTGAATTGATTCTGCACCATCCGTGGTACATTGCATCCCAGAAATCCTCGTCTATGACCCCAAGGTTCGAGCTCGAGCCAGGAGAAAGCCCCCCAAGCTCCGAAGAAGAGGAAAATCTCCACGAGAGGTTACGGTAAGTAAGCCAGCTCATTCATAGCCCCCGCCACGAACACGCGCGTCCGAGACATGACATGACACCCCTTCCCAGCAAATCAAACATGAGGCGAAGGCTAACTTGCCTATTTTACAGGCGGTTGAGGGAGAAGGCGCTGGCGCCGCCTTACCCCATCACGAAAGAGCGCCTCGAACTCGCCGCCCTCTGGCGCAGGGTGCGCAAGAGCATTCCGTCTAAGCCTCCCGTCGAGCCTCCCGTCTCTGACCCAGGGTACATCACCCACAAACCGTCCATCGGACCTCCCCGGTACAGGGATTATTTCGCGAGAAGGAGGGAGAAGGAAGCCTACATACTCCTACTTGAGCTCGGCGGTCGGCCCGTCTATCCTCTCGATCGTTTGTTCAACGGTGACACCAACAATGATGACACCAACAATGATGACACCAACAGTGATGACACCAACAATGATGACAGTTTCGATATTCGTGTTCAGACCCGTACCGAGAAAAAGCTACAACCGTGGAAGCTCTTATATGAACACTTGGCGCCAGAACCGGAACATCTGAGAGGGTGGGAGTCGTCTGTCCTGCAGTTGAAGAACTGGGAACGCTTCCTCACCTGGCAGCGCGATCACCGCGGCCCGAACGACCAGGACAACTTTCAGGCCTTTGCCCAGGAGCAGTACCGAGACTGGGAGATAGTGCAACGCGACGATGGTTACTCGACTTGGTGCTTGGAAACGGAGGAGCAGCCGACACGTCTATGGAGCGCCTGGGAGAAGAGACAGCACGACCGGGCCACATATCGAGAACAGGGTTGCGGGAGCTTCACAGACTATTCCGAGGCCGTGCGGCGTCGTCTGGAAAAGAACGGATTTCGCCATCCCTTCCAGCTTCACCCAGATCCCATGCAACAAGACCCTCTGACCACCTGGATTGAGTACCTCGCCTATGAATACTGGTGGCTAGATCATTACACCGAGGCGCTTGAAAGCACGCAGGAAACGCTGCTGGAGGTATGGGAAGGGGTTGATTCGCATGAGCTTTTCGAGCGAGACGAAGCACTCGTGGAAGAGAAACGATCCAACTGGATGAAGGGATTCAGGTCCGAATGGGTGACGTTCAAGCTGGATGATTCTGTGTTAACGTACTCGCCCGTGTGTTATTTCACGACGACGACGAAACTGCCACAATCTAAACTGGATAACGAGCTTCTCTGGGCAAAGGAGGTATTCGATGACGCCAAATCTCTTTCGGACATGGCAAGAGCGCAGGCCGAGCGGGAACGAGAGGGGGAGAGGGCTGATTATTACAAAAAAGCCAGCGCCGCCTCCAAGCTGGACCAGTTGCGTGAGGATTGCGACAATGCCATGGAAAAGGCCAAAGAAGGGCTCAAACGCTCCCACGCTAGGAGGAAGTATCACCGGCGTCTACTTGACCTGACTAAGAAGACATCGGAGCAGGTCATGCCGAGGCATTGGCAGCGGAAGATCGTGGAATGGGCCCTAGATGAGTTTCGCCTGGTCGAGGAGGAAGTCCTGAAGCTGCCCGGATCGTCTGATATTCCCATGATTGCTGCTAAGGGCGCGCGCAAGCGGGTGCGATTCACATCCGCCGAGCCATCCGTTCGCCTTCTACCGACGATTGTTGATGCAGCAGAATCCTCTGACCCCGGGAGCGACAAGGAGCGCAAGGCTAAACGACGAAGACTGGCCCTCGATGCGCACCCCTCGTCGTCGGATGATCAGCCGAGACCATCAACATCGTCGGTAGCTAGTAGACTTGAGCGGGTTCCAGGGATTGAACGTGATGCCTCGCCGGCAGCAACCGATGGCGTGAGTGATGACGAACAAGAAGGGGTGGATGAGAGACCGATCATCACAGGAGAGAGCAGTGGACAAGACAATCATGACTGGGCGAGTGAACGTGATGTCTCGCCGGCAGCAACCGACGGCGATAGTGATGATGAACAGGATGGGGAGGATGAGAGACCGATCATTACAGGAGAGAGCAGTGGACAAGACGATCATGACTGGGCGAGTGAACGTGACGTCTCGTCGGCAGCAACCGACGGCGATAGTGATGATGAACAGGATGGGGAGGATGAGAGACCGATCATTACAGGAGAGAGCAGTGGACAAGACGATCATGACTGGGCGAGTGAACGTGACGTCTCGTCGGCAGCAACCGACGGCGATAGTGATGATGAACAGGATGGGGAGGATGAGAGACCGATCATTACAGGCGGGAGCAGTGGACAAGACGATCACGGCTCGACGAGTGAACGTGATGTCTTGGGGCCGAAAAACGATGGCAGTAGCAATGTGCAACAGGAAGAGGACGATGATAGGCAGAGTGCCACGGGCGAGAGCAATGGGCAAGGCGCCCCGGCGGACGCGTCGAGTTCATCCCCGAGATCACCCAGAAGCCCTGAGTATCAGGCGGCGCTCTCCCCTGTGCAGCCGGGTGCGAACGAGGACCACCAGACAGACGGGCAATGTACATCCCCAGCGTCAGGCGATGGAGATGGACAAGACCTCCCACAGGGAGCAGGGAGCGAGCCGCCGGTCGTCACGGCTGAGGTGCCGACCGTCACGGCTGAGGTGCCGACCGTCACGGCTGAGGTGCCGACCGTCACGGCGGAGGTGCCGACAATCACGGCTGAGGTGCCGGCCATCACGGCCCCGGCCGCAGCATCGCCATCCCCCAAAGCCCGGGAACCTCAGCCAATAAGGCGCAGCGCGCGCATCATGGCAAGGCTGGCTAGTCAAGCTACTGCTCCAACGGAAGAGCCTGCGGGAAGGAATGGCGCTGAGCTCAAGGGGAAAGGGAAGGCCAAGCGCCCATTGCCGGCGCCCGCAGCCCTTGATGCCGACGAATCTCGGCCGAAGCGGCGGAGAACGCATACCGCCAAGCAGGCGAACACAGCTCATGGTACAACAGCGGGACAGGGCACGCCGCCGAGCGATGGCCCCGGGCAAGACGTGCCGCAAGAGGAGGGGACCATTCAGGATTGCGTCACAGTCTCGCCGTCAAGCCTCGCCAAGGGACCGCTCGCCGCTCGGGGGTCCCGGCAAGCAAAGCCCAGGAAGCGTGGCAATGGCCGCAAGCGCAAGGCCTGACCCACGGACGGCGCGCACTGGCGCGAGCAATGGGCTTTGGGTCGTGTGGCACAGAGCTTGTCGGACCAAGCAGGCCAGCTGGTGGGCAGTGGAACGATGCCTACTCACCGTGCTGCCACTTGCATGGCCCAGGTGGTTTACTTTTATAATGCATTAATTGATTTTCATACTTCCGGGAGGATGTGTTTTACTTTTCTTTCTTCATATTCAAGCCCATTGGCTGCCTTTCCGGCTGGACTAACCAGCCTTCTTCCATCGTTGGTACTACCTAGGGGGGCAACTCTCACAGGCTTGGCCTTGCCATGCCCTGGGATGGGCGCCTGGTGAATGCTCATGTGGTTTGTAGTCTCTGGCTTCGGGGGCATTTGTTCGCAATGGCACATTCACGGCCTTGGCTTCCAGGATTTTGGAAGGGAGCTCTTGGTGTGGCTCGGGCCTTAAGCTATGGTCGTCACAACATCTTCTGTCATAAGGGCAGACTTAGACTTGACTTGGCGTCTTGGGATATGTTTCGCAATCTGACCGAGCCGGATTGGCAGCTTTCAAGGAGAGACAAAGGGCAACCGGTGTTTGTCGGGGAAGTCTCGCCTGCAGACCCGCGATACCAAACCGAACCTGGTTTGTTCATTCCGAGGCCTTGCCAAGATTAGCCCTGTTGCTCTCTCTATTGTTCGATCACAAAGAGAAGCCCTGGCCCAAGCACCACGGGCCACTGCCTTTGTTAACAGGTCCGACCATTTGTCAACATTACGTCTCACCTAGTTTTGGCCGCCAGGTCATGGTGAACTTACGGACCATTGTGACGCCGAACTTCACTTCATTCTCCTGGCAAGATGTGTCGCATGTGACCTATCATATTCTCCGCTCTTCTTTGCGCGCTACTGGGGCCAGGGCGAATCAATCATGGCAACACCGGTGGATGAAGTACACGCTCCAAGATGCTTCCATTCTTCTCAGGGGGTCCTGTGGAAGAACCTGACGGGAGCTACAGTGGTATGCAAGATCGATTCCACAAACTGGCTGCTAACCGGAACTTCATACATCACTGGCTTCCCGCCCGGCCGATGCTCTCACCTCCCATTGTATGTCCATTGGTCAACCATCGGCGAGTCCACCCGCCCACACACGACAGCCGCCATTCTTACTCCTTCCAACCAACCCTCACAAAGAGTGTCTACATCAGCAAGATCCTTTCTTACCCGAAGTCTCCGTCCTTTTTCAATCACCGTTGTTAGGTCTCGCCTGATAATGTGCGCATGTTTCGTTTCACAGCAAGAGCATTCCGCATGCCTGTTGCGTAAGAGAAAGAGAATAAAGTTCGACAGCGATGGAAGCTCCCAGAGCCCGACAACTCAACACAATGAATAATTCCTGTTGCACATGCCTCATTTATCCTCCTAACTGGCCTTCACCCATCTTTGATGTCGCTTCAGTTCCGTCACCACCGTTCATTGCATCATTGTCGGCGGGCAGTGGTGTTATTGTAGCGCTACCTGTTGCGTGAGTTCTCAGAGTGACCACACGGACTTGCTCACAAGGAGAAGAAAGGCAAGGGGAGATATGGTCGCCGGGCTTCATCACAACTTTTCCGAAGCCAACTGAAAGCCGGACCACAACCTCTCGTGGAGCCCAAGCGTTCTGGGAGAGGACCAGTCTAGACATTATCACCCCGCCCTCTTTTGCTCGGATGCCTGCATTTCCTCATGCCGAAGCGCCACTCAGTCAAAGAGGGCTGTCCTATGGGATGGCAACAGAAACCTCACCGTCAAGACCATCGAATTTGCGCTTTGTTTCAGAGAGTGACGAAGGATATCGGAAATAGCCAACGGCCAATTGTATCTGGACAAACAACGCAGTAATGGCCCCAAAACAAAGGGTGGGAGAACGACAGGATTGGATTTACAGCACGAACAAGGCCGTCTCAGGGCTGAGAGACATGTCAGATTAGGTGGCACATTGACCATTGATGGGTGGAAACGATATGACAGCCGGGAGCTGTCGCATCGACCCTTTGTTCAGGTAACAAGACTAGCTCCACTAGTGGCTCGGCAACCCTAGCCAAAGAATTCTGTCATTACATCCCGCTAGCTTGGATGTGTCGGTGTCCGCGGTGGCCGATATTAGAAAACTCCTCGTGCTTGCGACAGGAGTCAGCCTGCTCACTGACGATGGCCACATCAGCCATCTACCTAACATCAAGAGATATGCGACCAAACATACTCAATTTCAGGTAGTGATGAAATCTCAATATCATTTTTCTCCGACCGAGTGAAAAGAGAGCGATAAGAGGCTGTCAGTGAGAAGGAAGATTTCCTGGCTCATGAGGATGCTGGCATCAACAGCTACCCTAAAGCTGTATGAACTCACGACTGTCACTGTGACGCATTGGTTTGCTATTTTATAAAGGCTCGTAAGCTTATCCAAATGGAATGGTCATTTTTTTATAAGGCGGTGTTTATTTTTTTTCTACAAGTGCGGTCTTGTCCAAATCATCTTGCTGCTCCACCGTCGAATCAGCACACCCCTCATCTAGGGCTGTATACCTCCCTGGGCAAAATGACACACATTTGGCGGTTGAAGGTGCGCTATCACCACACATTGGTATTCATTGTGTTGAGTTGTCGGGCTCTGGGAGCTTCCATTGCTGTTGGGCGTTATTCTCTTTCTCTTAGGTATCACCACATATTGGACCGAATTCGCCTCTATAGATTCCTATCGGAACCTTTCTTAATAGGAAGAGATATTAATGATCTGCTCTGGGAAGATTCATGTTCCTACGCTCTGATGCACGTGTTTCCAAGACCGATTACCATTATCTACACTTCCTATATACTATATACAAATATCCACCATTTTTGGCTGACCTAGTAGGTTATCGAAACCTCGGTAGTCTTCACTATCGCCTTTTTGTTGTCATCCGCGTGCAATATCGTCTCCTCGCTCCCGTTCCTCTCCCCGGCCGACTCGCCATCCTTGCCGTACATCCCATCCGACTTGGTCGAGTCCCTCGCCTCCGCGCGTGCCACATAATTGGTAGCGCCGAGGCTGTCGGGGCGGCGCGCGGACCGCAGCTCAAAGTCATCGGCGGCGTCGGCCCTGCTATTCTGCTTGGCGTAGCCTCTCGACGCGGCAGTTCCGCCGATGGTATACAGCGCGTTGCCTCGACTTCCACCGCTTCGTGCGTTGTATCCGCCCGAGCCGGTGTATCCGTACCGGGGTGTCCAGCTGGTGAGCGAAAGGAGGTTCTTGACCAGGGGTTTCAGGGATGGGGCGCACGCGGCGGCGATCCCTAGGTTGAGTTGCAGACTAAATGGCATCAGTTAGCTTGGGATTGTTGGGCGATGGGAGGTTTGGAGGGAACATACAGGCCCCAGAACTGGATTTCGTAGGAGCTGTTGCGGATATCGTCAGTTCTGTTCAGATCTCATGGTAGGGTGCAATGTATGTTCTTACTATGTGCCGTCTCCAAAGGGATTGAAGTTGATCTGGGCGACAGCTTTCAGGATGCCCATGACAACCGCACTACATGGATGGATGGCAAGTCAGAAATGTTTTCTCCTGCAAGATTCCCTTATTCCCAATGAGACTTACACATAACCCAGACTTAGGACGCCGATCAGGTAGAGGCGGGTCTTGAGGGGCATCTTCAGGGTCCAAACGATGCCCACAGGCAGGGTAGCGAATGCCACGTCGGTAAATATGTTGAAGCCTGCGATCGGCGCACATTAGGATCTGCAATCTTCATGGGTGCAGGCCCCCGCCGAGCATGCAAAACATAGCACTCACCTGTGTTTGCTAGGCCAAATTTGATAAACATGGAGACGGAATAGCAGGTCCCCTCGATGCTCGAATCCCAATACTTGGCCATTGGTCGGCAGTATAGGAAAAAGCTACACCAGGCCATAATGGTGTATGCGGCCACGAATGCTATGGGCAGAAAACCAATGTCAGGGAGAAATGACGGAGGATGATGGACCGGATTTGCGACTCACCAATTAGGCCCCAGAGGATATAATTGTACCAGGCCAGCGCATTTCCCCTCAGCTTCATCAATTCCAGAGCGATGGCGATCTTCAGAAAGCCGATGCCCCCCATGAGTGGGACGATGGACTGGATGAAACTGAACTTGTTGAATTCTATGAGAAGAGAACGGTCGATCGTGTCGGTATGGCGTCCCAGCCCGTATGGGACCTGTAAATAGAGGGTGACTGTTCCCCCCAACAAAGAGCAAAGCTGTGATTTCCATGGCCATTAGCCTCCTGATCAAGAAGAATGTGGCAGCACAATCGGGTGCTGATGGATGGGAATGGATGTCTAACCGTCGCTAATATCATGAACACATCCTGGGGGCCAAACGAGCCGAGAATTCCAATGCGAGTGTAGGATCTGAGGCCGACAACGAGAAGGGCCAGGCAGTGGAAAACCGTCGTGACGGCGAGGATTTGCACCGTTTGGCTCTCCGCAGCCCGGGCGGGATCGACGGTCGTTGAGCTCATCTTGTCGGCGACGAGGAACTGATTCTCATCGTCTTCCCTCTGTCGATCAGGAACAAAAGTGGGATAGATTTGGGGCGGGGGTTTGCTTCGCGGTCCCACGGGCGATCTTTTACTCTTAAACATCCATCTATCTCATCTTGCACCATTTCCCTCTGGCATCGTTTTTTTTCATTTTTCCCTTCTGGCTAGATCCAGGGCCAGACCCAGACTCCGATCCCAGGCCACTCGACCAGTGTGGTGACCCCTTTCGCAGTTAAGGGTGCGGATGCCCGGGTTTTGTGACTACTGTGTGCAGGGCACCAGGGCCGAGCGACAGGCCAGGCCGGCCTTGACCCGGATCGCCACCGTTCAGGTTGATGCTGGACAACTTCCGAAGGGCTTCCGAAGGGAAGGTGGCAGCAAAAAGGGAACTCGTCAGTGTGATTGTAGACCTAAACGGGCGGCCCAGAGCCCCTGGAACCGACAAGCTGGCGTGGACAGTGCCAGGGTCATCATACGATTGCCCTCGGCGATGTGGTATTTGTTGGTCGTCCTCGTCCGCGCCTGCAGGAGGGGAGCCCTTCCGGCATTATTAGCCGCATTCCTCATTGGTTCATGCGCATGCCGGCTTTCGTCTTATGTGGCAGCGTGGCTCGGGTGGAAGAAGCCGAGGTGGATGCGCTGAAGCACGGCCTCGAGGCCAGAAAACGCAGCTGTAAGACGAACTGGTGGTCGAATCGATGATAGCGCAGGCAGGACTTTGCACTCGGAGGCTCGGAGATGAGCGGTAAAATGCAGAAACACGGGGTGCGTCCATATTTCCCGCATTCATGCAGGGGAAAGGCCGATTAGGCAAATGCATTTACATGTGCGTATCACTCGCCCCCCCTCCAAACCAACAACTGTCTAAACTGAGGTAACCCTGACGTGCCATCAGGTCAACTATATTCCAATGTGACTCTCCATGGTTCTAGAAAATTCTCGTATGTCAACGGGGAGACAAAGTTCAAGCAGAACCTCCCTCCCTTCGTCATGAGCCACAATTATCCGTCAAGACCAAGCGGAGTAATTCGTAGATTCAGGACTAGATACAAGATGAGATGAAGTGGATACCAAACAAAACTGCGGAACTTCCCTAGCGAGGAATTTGGGAAGCATAGACGAGCCATTTGAGGCAAGGCCGCCAGCCGGGCAAAAACAGTCTATTGGCACTTAAATACCGCTGTTATAGCTATATACCCCTTCCCCGGTGCCTCTAGTGGCATACGCCTGTCCATTCCTTGCCTGAATTTAATACTATGATTCGCCTCCCAGCAGCGCATATGGATCCTGCAGATAGACGAGCCTCAACCCCGATGTAACCTTGACGTCGGTGCGGTCGCCGGGGCACACGGACAGAATGAGCAAGAGTAAGCGTGTGGAGTTGCTTTTAAGTCAGATTGGAATTGATTATACCTGCTTGACTCCATGAAAATCAATAGACTGCCATTGGATCAAATTTCGCGTTCGGTGGCGAGCCCTGTCAAATGTTAGCGTACGGTAGAGGAGGAACAATAAACAAGCATGAATGGATTTTAACGTTGTGGCTCTGCGACCTTTGCATTGGGACGCCAAGTCGATACGAGGCATGTCTCCGAGAGCCAAGCAAGGTCCAAGGGCTGACCGCAAGGCACCTCCCACGCTCCTGTGCCTCTATCGACTGTTGGCTCCCATTCTTCATTTCTAATCCCGGTGTAATACATCTAGGTGGGAGATATCCGAAGAAGAGAGCTCATTCTACAGATGCCCCCCTAATTTAGTTTCCCACGTGCAGTAGCGTGGCTGTGATATGTGGATAGAACTCCATCCGAACTATCCATCGTGAAACTTATAAGGGGCATGCCAGCCGTGGTGGTGTGCATCCTTCTTCTTCAGCCACGAGGTCATCCTTCCCGCTAACCAACAACCGCCGCCCATCATGCAGATCTCCCTAGTTACCATCCTCGGTCTCCTAAGCGCCTCCAGCTGGGCCCTCGCCGCTCCTGAGGACTCAGCCGCTGACTCGGCTGCTGACACTCTGCTTGACCTCAACAGCCAGGCCATTTCTGCCCTCCAGGACAGTGAGGACACTTCAGCCGCGGACTCTTCCAAGAGAGGAACTAGCTGCTCCCTCTTCAACGCATCCGTGCGCCGGGATTGGTAACACTCCACGTCTCACCTGCACCCCTCCAATTAACTAACATTCCTATTTTCAGGCGATACCTTTCGTCCAAGGAGAGGACGAATTACATCAATGCTGTTCTTTGCTTGATGGAGAAGCCTTCCAAGGCTGATCCAGCATTCGCACCTGGTGCCCGCACTCGATATGATGACTTTGTTGCCGTTCATATCAACCAGACCCTCAGCATTCATGGAACAGTAAGAGTTATACTCATTCAATTTCGAATCGATTCATCGCCAGCTAACCGAGACAGGGTAACTTCTTAAGTTGGCATCGATACTTCACCTGGGCCTATGAAACCGCTCTCAAGGAGGAGTGTGGTTACAAGGGCACTCAGCCAGTAGGTCGTCGCTTGTCAATATGCTTGCTTTTCGCCACTAATGCCTGTTAGTACTGGAACTGGTTCGATGGCTCCGACTTTGCCTCCTCGCCGCTTTTTGACGGCAGCGCAACCAGCATGAGCGGGGATGGTTCCTACGTGGAGCACGATGGCGCCCTGTCTGGCACCAACAACATCTACATTCCTTCTGGAAATGGTGGAGGTTGCCTCAAGAGCGGACCTTTCAAGGAGTATGTATCCCAACATTCGTGTCCCCGGACATCTGACAGAACAAGAGCTAATGCTGAAACAGCATGGTTACCAACCTTGGTCCCGTGTCCCCCGGTATGGCCGGTATGACTGCTAGTCCAACCGGTGCCCTGGGTTATAACCCTCGATGCCTCCGTCGCGACTTGAGCAAGTACCCCGTCGACACGTGGTTCACGGCCCGCAACCTGTTCAACATTACCCTCGGTGCCGCCTCCGGCTCCATCACTGCCTTCCAGAACGAGCTCCAAGGTCGCTTCGGTGATCAGTTCCTCGGCATGCACGCCGCTGGTCACTTCACCATGGGTGGTGATTCAGCTGACCTCTTCTCTTCTCCCAACGACCCCATCTTCTTCCTGCACCACGCCATGGTTGACCGCCTGTACTGGCTGTGGCAGGCTCTTCATCCCCGTATCGCTAAGGACATTGCCGGCACCATCACCATTCTCAACACGCCTCCTAGCCGCGATGCTCTGAAGTCTGATATCTTGAACATGGGCGTCAATGCAGCTGATCTTACCATTTCCGATGCTCTCAACACTCTGGGCAACGCTCCTTTCTGCTACATCTACCTGTAGATACCATTGATGATCTTTAGCAGAAATGATAGCTAGATTTCTGTCTGTACATAGGAAATATTCTAATCAGATCACATATCTTAATGTAATGTCAATAATAGATAATAGATGATCATGCCTTTGAAGTAACATTTTCTCTTGAACAACAGTATTGTTTATCTTACTCATATGCGCTGGAACTCTCATCTCCACTAACAAAGCTTTCCTCCCATTTCTTACCACCAGTTTTGTACTGATATCCAGGATGTGTCTGGCGCAAATGCGGCTGTCCTGGTGTCGAGTACAGGTTCTCACGCGCTGTGCCCCCCGGGACATTGTAATCGCCAGTGCCAAGCCATCCACGACGCTCTAGTTCTGGAGTAAGATACTTGATAACGTCCTCCCAGGCGCCTGGGACAACGATGTGTCCAATATTGAAACCATCCACATCCGCCTCGGTGACCCATCTCTCTATTTCATCCGCCACTGTGGCACCGCTCCCAATCTTGAACGTGGCACTTCCACCAATTGACTGGTACTCAGCCAGAATGCGGGGAGTCCACTTATCATACCCTCTGGGCCTTGCAAGCAGTCTGTTTCGCTGAGCTGGTGTGAATCCCTGGAGTAGCGGATGATCCGGGTCTGTAGGAAACTCCTCGTCCGGTGGAAACTTGCTAATATCGATGCCCGACGTCCCGCCAAAGAGGGAAAGGCCGCCGTCACCGATCGCATACTGCCTGTAGCGCTCAAACTTCTCCTGCGCCTCCTCGTCCGTGGCGCCCAACACGGGGGTGAGCTGAACAAAGAACTTGATGTCGTACGGGTCACGGCCGTTCGCGGCAGCCTGGGCCCGGGTCCTCTCGATATTCAGCGCGACAATGGCAGGGCTCGCGCCGCCGACAAAGACGCACTCTGCATGGCGGGACGCAAAGGCGGAGCCTGCGGGGGACATGCCTGCTTGGAAGAGCAAGGGGGTTCTCTGCGGGCTGGGGTCGACTTGGTGTGCCGACTCGGACTTGAAATGCTTGCCTTTGTGGACAACTTTTCGGACTTTGGCGGGCTGGGTGTAGGTGTGGGTTGAGGGGTCCTTGACAACGGCGTCATCTTCCCAGGAGGATTCCCATAGTCTTGATATGTGTTAGCTGGACAATGAGCAAAGGGTGGAAGATCTTTAAACCATAAAGGTTCACGGGTTTTTGTGTGAGTCACATACTTGTAGGCCAAATTCAGATACTCCTCTGCAATCTCGTAACGCGTGTCGTGTTCTGGCAATTGCGGCAGCCCGAACGCCCGGGCAGCGTTGTCACTCCAAGACGTAACAATATTCTAAAACGAACGGACATTAGCAACCGTGTTTCCAATCAAAACAAGGCCACGCCATATTTACCCATGCAACTCTCCCCTCAGTGAGATGATCTAGAGTAGAGAAGCGCTTTGCTAAGCTGAAAGGGGGCTCAAAGGTTGTGCACGCTGTAATCCCAAAAGCAAGGCTCTTTGTCACTGCGGCCATTGCTGAAATCACCTAATACACGTCAGTTTTCTGGATATTCAATGGATTGCGGTATGTCTATATCTGTCATAACTGTCGACTTACAGTGAATGGGTCGTACAACGGCCATTGCGTTCCTGACTGGATGGCTGGCGCGTGGCTGCCCTTGTAAACATCATGCGATCCAAAGTTGTCCGCTAAGTGGCGGTTTGTCAATACCTATGATAGAGTAATAGGTAACGGAAATAAGCTGCTTACCAAGAAACAGAGCATTGAATTTACCCCTATCCAAGAGCTTTGCTAATTCAATCCAGTACGGAAGACGGTTCTTCTGTGAGCTCTTGTCCTCAGGGTTCTGCCATTGCCCAATACTAAGAATCATAAATTAATTAGCTTGATTGATGTCATGATATAAAAAAAAAGTCCATACCTTATATGGCCAATGCCGTTCATGTCAAACGCATTCAAGAGAATGCGCTTCTTCTTGCCATCTTTCGTATAGCCATATTTGCGCTCACCATCAACCTTTCCTTGCAATAAATCTAAAGGCAGCGGATCGACAGATCCATAGCCAACATGAGATCTTGAAGCTGTGCTACTGGTCATTTTCGTTAGGTGTGTTTCTTGACAAAAGAATCTACCTCACAGGCGTATCTTTGGTCAAACTACGATTTTATCATGAACTTCTAATTATTGACCCTTCTTCCTATATGAGATAAGGAAAATGCCTCTTTGGCTTTCTGCCTTGGCCGATGTCGCAGCGATAATGAATTTATCCGTGATGTCGTGATCAAGGGGCATCGTCACCTCAGCTCTGCGCTACACCTATGAGGGTCCGGATTTAACTATCTTATGAGCGACCTCTTGGCAGTCGTGGAGAAATGGGGAGCTAATGCTCATGATGAAATATCTAAATATATAACGTCTTCAAAGCTAACATTTCAAAATTAACGCCCTCAATTGTTAAATCGATAGTGTCTCGTTAGTCCTACATAAGACTCAGATGATTAGGCATGTGAACGAGTCTTTTTGATGGGTAGGAAAGGATACTAATGGTTTACTCGTCAAGTCACACTCACGAGGGTGAGCCAGTGATATGGAGGACGTCCACCTTATTCTTGGCTGTCACCCCAACTATGCCATACTGCCACTCTGTATTCCCTGTTTTGATGGGTACCTGTTAAAGCTTGGGTGACACCGTCAATGGTGTGACCTCCCTTCCAACGACCCGAATCTTGAAGAATAGAAGCCAATGAACGTTGAACTTATGGCGTTTGGCTGAATACTTACACGCCGTTGTTGCCATCATGAGAATTAGCGGATCGATGTTCTCCTGGTTGGATATTGCAGCGCTTAATATCCAGGGGAGCAACCATTGCAGGTATTCCTCAGCGTCAGGAATGCAGCCAGCAGAGTCGTCAAAGAGATGGTTGCTGAGGGGATAATGAGCTCTACTTATATGGCCCACTTCCTGTCGAAAATTGTAGACCGTACACATGATTTTTCTGAAGCAAGTTTCAATATGGACCTTTAGCTCTTCCATCGGGCAGGATTAGAATTGATGCTTGTGTTAACCCAGTCAAGTGGGCGTCAGAATAACCAGAATAATAGGGACTGCAAAGCCACATTGACAGCACAATTGTGGCTGTCACAAAATAAAGCCCCCCATTGAGTGATGATAAATAATACTTTCCAAAAATGATCAGCTCTTAAAACACTATTATCTATAAACATAGTGACCTGTATTGTAGAATCAAGAAATGGAAACACCTGTGCACTCCCTGTGGTTCTAATGCTCACTTACTAATATGCTCAGGCATAGGTTTCTTCTAGAGCGGACCTGATATCTACTGCGCATAAACAAGGAGTCTCCATGTCTCAGTAGCTATGTATATATTCAATGGGAACATAAATACCACGTAAACACGGAGTCTTCATGTCTCAATAGCTACCTAGGTATGTATAAGTTTAGTGAGGACATAAATAGATGGAAACGGAAACACGGTACTTTTTCATTTACATGCACCGCTTTTAATAATCTTTTATTCTCAAGAGATTACGAAAGTTAGATTGTCAATTGATGTGATAGGAGGAAAAGAAGTATACCTTAGGTTCAAAGCTAGATAGCAAATGGCCGATTACATATCATGATGACAGCATTCGTTAATAATTCCAACTAGGGTTCCTTAACTTTGAGCCAGCCTATTCTTCACTGTGAAGCATGACGTTGTGTTTAAAGTTCCAATTTGAGTTATAGCATACGAACGGACATGTTTTAGCCCCAGCCCCAATACCATTGCTGAGGGGTCACGTGATTATATTGACTAAGCACATTCCTCACTCCTCATTCAGCCGCATCTGATCAGTGATATCATCCTCCCTTCATACCCATCATATCTCTTTCTATCATATACATATACGCATATCTAGGACTTAATCCAGGTCGACGTGCCCAGGAAAAGTTCCCAAGCCTAGTACTTCACCTCTCTCAAGCGCGATGCAGTTACTACTGCCGCTCACCGCCGTGGTTTTGGCCACCACCTCAACATTTGCGCAGGTTATCCAAGATCAGCTGCATGACCAGATGAAGCTGATCCCGGACACTACAACCTCTTCCCCGCCCCCGATCAAAACAGGGGTCGGTCATTTCAGCGAGTGGTCTCGTGAGAATAAGCGCCAGTTTCTGATTGACTGGCAGCAAGGAAGGTCGTCGGAATGGACTCTAGTCCAGGGCAATGAAGGTGGCGACCTGGACTCTATGACGGCTGCCCTCACCTGGGCCTACCATTTGCAGCATTCTACTCAGAACACGCCCAACCCCATCAAGGCCATTGCACTGCTACAGACTCCTACTGATGCGCTTGACCTGCGCCCCGAGAACAAGGTGGCTCTGCACAACTCCCAGATGAGATCCGGCCACTCTGATCTCCTGACCATCAACGAGTTGCCTGAAGATCCTCAGACATTGGCTCGGGATATCAAAGGCATCGTCATTGTAGACCATGCCGTACCCCTGCGCAAGTGGAGCAACGCCCCCATCCTGAGCATCTTTGATCACCACAAGGACCAGGGTGCAGGTCCCGATGCGAAGCCGCGCATTTTCGAGGCGGTGGCCAGCTGCACCACCCTCGTCGCCCGCCAGATGCTTGATGAGCTTGAGGCGCTCCCGGAGGAGTACCACCTTCCCCATGAACTTCTGGAGCTCATCTTGGGTGCGATATCCATTGATTCCAGCGGCCTGCGCGATGCCACGGAGGAGGACCGCAAAGTAGCCCAGCGAGTCTTGGAGAGGAGTAACTGGCGCAAGTCTAAGCTTGATAAGAAGATGGAGGACCTTGATGACGAGCTCGGAAAAGCCAAGAAAGACATCGACGGGCTTGGTGTCCGTGATCTTCTTAGAAGAGACTGGAAGGGCGACTTGGTCAACACATCTTCCCAAGATACTCGCGCAGTCAGTCTGGGTTTCTCGTCAATCCCATACTCCCTCGATGAGCAGATTGAAAAGACTGGTTTCAAAGAGCTGTTCGACTGGTTCGCTGTTGAAGCTGCGTGGACCGCCCAAGTTGGTGCTGACATTAGCGTCGCGCTTAACAAATACAAGACCAAGGAAGGGAAGAAGAAGCAGAAGGTCAGAGAGATTGTCCTCTGTGTGCGGAGTGATGTCCGTATCGATGAGGATAAAGCAGACGGCCTTTTTCAAACCATCAAGACTGCAATTGAGAATGATGAGAGTCTAAATGCTAAGCCTTGGCACCGGGTTGATGAACTTGGCAAGCGCCAGATGGCATGGACGCATGATCTCGAGGATGCTGGTAGGAAAGTGATCCGACCTATCATTGAAGCTGCCGTTGCTGCATGGACCTAGATGCTGGGCAGATCTGTTTTACTCGTCATACCCGCCAAACCATCGAGAATCTAGTCACGAGTACAACCTATGTCTAAGTCGTGTATTGGGGAAGGGTCACCGATTGCGGTAAAGAGATACTATTCATTAAATCCTCTTTGCGTCATCAATTCCGATTTTCGAGAATCGTCCCATTAGAGTGCGTGAAGAATAAAGTTCATTGTCTATGCCTCGAGGTGGTTTAGATACTTTGAATAAACACCGACCCTGCCAAACAAGACATTCTCTACTGAGTAGGAGACTCCAAGATCTGAGTTACTTCAATCTTTGGAACAACACCAAATCGCTTATTTCCTTGATCCCAAATCTGTTTCATGATTAGAATTATAGCGCTTTGCTGCCTTGTGATTATGGCTCGAACACTTACCGCGTAGACAGACTTCAAAAAGGTGTCTCCTAGAATATCAAATGACATGTCTCCCCGAGACTGGACCCCGCCGTACCAAGTGCCATTGCCTGCAGGTGCAAATGCTAGGTCTTCGGCCTGGATCAAAAATTCTTTGTCTCCGATGGCTACCTTGAATTCTGGCATATCCTCTGCCTTGACGCTCGTAGGAAAGACATAACCTTGCTGGGTCGAATCATAGGTGGCCCCGGGAATCGCCTTGTACAGCGCCTCACAAACCTCATCTGACACCAAAGCCAGCGTGGTGCCAGTGTCCGCGATAGCTTTGTTATTGGATAGCTTAATAGATTTACCGTTGATGGAAGCACTTGTTGATGGGAACTGCCAGAAACCTTGAGAAGAGTCAATGTCAGTCCACGAGATCTCCTGTCCGGATTTTGAAACAAGATCAGTATCGATGTAGCCGAAAGTGTAGAAAGACTCGGGAGAGTTCTCATCGCGCTCGCTATAGAAGGCAGAAGTGAAGAGCTGAGAGCTCTGAGGGATGTCACCCTGGCTCATCATGTTGGCGACTGGAGTCTCTGCAGGATCAGATTTGCCATTCGTCATGACCGTATTAATCTGAGGGAAGGCCAAGCCAAGGAGACCATCACCAGTGCCTTCAGCAAACTGCTGAGCTAGCTGTGAGGCGAGCTCGACAGTCTGGTTCTCGATTGTCAAGCCACCGATGGCGACATTGTCCGAGCCGCAATCTCCGGATGCAGAGCTGCCATCGCCATACGAGATTTTCCAGGTTTTGCCGGCGAGCTTCTTGTAGCTAGATGATGCAGAAGGGTCGAATATGGCATGGCCTTTCTGCGTAACCTTGCTTAACTCATTAGAAAAGACCTTGATGCATACAACTTATTAGCTTTTTTTCTTGTAAGATGTCTCTAGAAAGACAAACCCAGAGATCTGAGGAGCCGGTGTCGAAATCCAAATTGAGCTTTTGCGGAGGTGTACCAATAGACACCTCACATAAATACATAGAGTCGTTCTGTTGGTCATCGGCAGTCACCTCTCCAGTTTTGGTTCCCTCGGCATCAAGTTTCTTGGAGAGAACCCTTTGTACATAAGCACGTCCTCCACGGGCGGCATTGAACCTTGGATGAGCAAGTCCACGCTGGTGGAGGGTATGGCTATGGAAGTATGGCCCGGGCTTGGTAGGCTCAAAACCGAATCGGTTGAGGAGGTACACGTATGACTTGGTACCATTCCGCTGATAGTTCTTGTTGGGCACAGCTCTGATCTTGCTTAGACCACGGTTGAGTTTGAACTTAGACTGAGCTTGAAGAATTGCCTCCATGATGTTGATAGCTCTCTGAGTGGAACTGGATGTGGGTTACGTATTTGGTTATGGGAATATCGCTAACGCTTGAAGAGTAAGTTTTGACAGGATGTTTTTGTGAATGATCGCATATGTAAAACCACCAGGGTCTCATGGTAGGATTCATTTATATAGTTTCTCGACTTCCTGAATGCGTCATACCCCCACAACGAGGGGAAATACGTATAAATCAAAGGCCAATAGATGATAATGTGACACACTGCCATATATTAAGCCATGGTTGCATTATATGTTTCCAGTTTCACCAACCATGTTTAGCAGCGTCTAGACAGCATTGCATTGAGTTGTAGCAGTAATGAAACAGGGGCGAAGAGAAAAACAGGGAAAAGCACTACGTGAGGTAAGCAGATCCCGACCTTATGAAGGTAGTGACATCTCGATGATGTCTTCCTAGCACGTCGGCAACTTGGGATCCGATATTTTATTCCCGTTCCATTGCGTGCTATGCCCGGAACTTGCAAACATCATGTCATCTCGTTCGCCAGAGTCATATGACTTGGGTGATGTGCGGGCGCGTGCCGAAGGCAGTCAACTCTGAAAGCTTGGCTAGGCCAAGCTTTGATCATTTACATATCCATATTCTCCGGGGATATCCGAAACGCTCAGATGAGGTTTATCTTATCCGTCTTGCTCGATAGTAAACGTACAACAGGTCTACATCATAGGATGCGACGTCACCTGTCTTTATGTGGTCGTCCCCCGGATTTCGGCACGGCAATATCGGATATTCGTCCACTTTCGAGACGCAACGCACGGCAGTTCTGCCCCTCTTTGGAACAAGACCTGCCGGATTAGACATGAGCACGTACACAATCCACTCTCTAACACGCCCATTCCAGCTCATTTCAGTCCTAGGTAAGGGCCCGGGAACAGGGAAGCAGATAAGGACCCCGAGTTGGCAAATGGCAATGCAGCATAGACCTCTGGCTACGGATAATCGGCGTCAAGAGCTCGCAGCAACTTTTCACGTCATGGAACATGGCCGATGCTAATCGGTACGATTATGGGGTGGGCGATATCGACTTCTTTTCATATTTGGTTATCGCTCACGAATTTTCATATGGGATTCTACACGTACTAATCATGTAGTTAGAAGTTGGCCGATTTAACCATCAGCTGATAAGTCTCAGTTGCTAGAACTTGAATTGAAATTCGGTTGCCTCTCCATCTCTTTGAACTGCCCTATGGGATCAATTCAGCCCGTAATTTGTTGAAGTCACAATGCCTTCGTTATCCGAAGAAAAGTACCAGACTCAAAAGTCGCCTCACGATGTGTCACTGGAAGCCGGAGTCGAAGGCCACGAGTCGCCTGTCGATAAATACCTCGCATCCGATTCCCAGTCAGGAATTCTGGCGTCTCTGCGCCGATTCGAGGCGAGAATGGATAACATTCTTGGCGTAGAGTCCCATGCTATTGATCGCAAGACGGCCGCTGATAAACGACCTGTCAAGTGGCATGAAGAGCTCAGTATGGCCCTGCTTTGGGCGTCGGGAACTATGGGAATAAGCTGCTTCGCTACCGGTTTTCTGGGATGGGAGTTCCAGTTGAGCCTCAAGCAAACGATTCCCATCATCATCTTCGCCTCCATCCTCGGCGGGGCTGTTTCCGCCTACTGTGCAACATTCAGCGCCGCGACTGGTCTCAGGCAGGTCTCCTTCTCGCGTTACAGCTTTGGCTGGTACCCGAACAAGCTCATTGCCTTCCTCAACGGCATCGAGCAGCTGGGCTGGGCCGCTGTCGCAAGCATTTCTGGGGGTCTCGCCCTCACCGGTGTCGCTGACGGCCATATCTCGCTCGTGGCTGGTGTTATCATCATCGCGGTTGTCTCCCTTGTCATCAGTCTCCTTGGTCTAAAGTACATTCTTGTCTACGAGCGATATGCGTGGCTCATATACTTCATTGTATTTCTCATCATATTCGGCATGGTTGGTCCTCATGCAGACGACAAGACTCCATCTCCCCTGACTGGTCTTGATCTATCCGGCAACGTGCTTTCGCTGCTGGCCATCATCTACGGCAGCTCCGCGTCCTGGTCAACTATGGTGGGAGATTACTACGTTCACTACCCTGTTGACGTCTCGCGCTTCAAAGTATTCGCTCTCACGACCATCGGCATTGCTATTCCTACATCCTTCGGTATGACTGCCGGCGCTGTCGTGGCCAGCTCTCTGAACAACAACCAGGACTGGGCTGATGCCTATAAAGATCAAGGCATCGGGTTTTTGATCAGAGACATGTTGCACCCTCGAGGCTTCTCAAAATTCATTCTCGTGCTGCTTTCCTTTAGTGGTATCAACACAAACATCATCTCCCTCTACTCATCTGCCATCTCCTTTCAGCAGATGGCGCGCCCACTCGCCAACGTCCCCCGCTTCATCTGGACATTGCTGTGCTTTGGAGTCGTTATGGCCCTCGCGCTCGGTGGCCGCTCTGAGCTTAACACGTACCTGCAGGATTTCTTGAGCTTGCTTGGCTACTGGTGCACCAGCTACTTTGTCATCCTTTTGCTTGAGCACACCATTTTCCGGAAGCGAGACTTTTCCAACTACGACTTGGAGGGCTGGAATGACCCCAGCCGACTACCTCTGGGACTTGGGGCATCAGCAGCGTTCCTGGTGGGCGTTGTGGCGTGGTGCATGGGGATGGTCGAGACGTGGTTCGTTGGACCGGTGGGCGCCTTGATTGGAGCCGACGGTGGCGATGTTGCCAACGAGTTCACACTAGTTGTCACAGCGCTCGTATTCATTCCCGCCCGTTATCTGGAGCTCAAGTGGTTTGGACGGTAGTTGTAAATAGAAACCAAAGTTAACTAGGCTTCATCCGCAACGTTAATAATAATTCCGTTCAGAATCTTACAATTAGCCTGGCATTCTAGATACTAAAAGAATGCAATCTACTGATGGTTCAATTGCCTTACAAAGCTTATATCTTTTCGGGGATTGTTGTAGTCTAGACTGCGGTTATGGCTTATCCAGCCGTCAGCTCATGTCACAGTTAAGATCTGGAAGGACCCAATATTCGTGCCAGACTGGCGCGCAAGCTCTGATCGTGAAGACACCGAAATTTAGATGGCTTGGCTGAGCATGTACTCTTCTTATGACGCTTTAAGGAGATTTGGTGAGTGTAAGAGAGTACCGAAAACCGTGGAGATGCTGTGTTCAAACATGATAATGGACAAAGTCTCCTTATAATGTTGTGACACACTTTCTCCACTTGGATACTAAAACACCTCGTGGGTACTTGGTTCAAAATCATCCCCCCCCCTTCGGGTAGACTACCTCATTGTTCAGCATTATTCATCACGCCATCATCGGCTGACTTTTGTTTGCAACAGCATTTCGAATTTTTGGATTTCTGAGCAGCAACCTCGGACGAAGGATTCTTGTGGGGTGGAGTCGAAAATAATCTCGATGGTTCATTCATTGGCTATTATACCTGGTTCATCACCACATCATGTTAGGTAACTACTGACAAACCTTGCCCCTGCTGGTTATAACGGACGGTGACGGAGTTTTGAAGTTCTTTCCGGCGGTCTGGCTACTTTTTAAACCAAATCACCCTCTGTGTTTGGCAGAGCTATCTCTGGGTTTCCTTCACCATCATTTCATCATAGAAGACTTAGATGAGTAAACCCCAGCTCATGACAAAATGTCCCCAACACTTAAGACCCACCTCACCTCGCTGGAGAAGTCTGCTGTCAAACTTCCATCAGCTGCTGCACTCAAAATCCCTCATTGGACAGAAGAGGGTGTGTTTTGTGGTTGGAAAACAATCACATTCTCTCAATTCTTAAATGACGTCGAAAATGCGGCTAGATACTGGGCCAACGAACTTTTGCAGAGAAACATAAAGGAAAGGGACATTGTGGGTGTCTGGTAAGTAACTCCATTGTAATAATCGCTCTGAGTTCTTCTTGTCTTGCTCTGACAGCATTCTCAGGGTCAAAGGCACATCTTATTTGGACGCTGTGCAAATCTGGGGTATTGCCAGAGCAGGATACATCCCACAGTTGATTTCACTACGTTTGACCCATCTCGACGTGGTTTATGATGTACTCAAACTAGCGGGGGCGAAAGCGGTAGTTTTCGACTCTACATTCCTTCAAACATTGGAGGTGAATATGGTCGCACTTCCCGTCGTTGACACTCGCTCGATGAGCCTCGAGCACTTTCCACTACCCCAGCTATGGGTTCCGTCTGAACAGAGTGATATTGTCATGATATACCATTCTTCTGGATCAACTTCAGGGATGCCAAAAATAGTTCCTTTAACTTCGAGATGGGTGGATTATGCCATTGAAAGTGTAGAACCGATCTTTAGGGGTCTTGAGGGGCAACAGGTAGTGGCTAGCAAGTAAGTGGAACAAGCTGGCACTTCTGGCAGCACAGAGCTAACATGTGGGTGAAGTGGAAGCTTTTGTCATATTGCTGCGGCAATGTGTCTTATGGGATGCCACGACCTCGGGCATTGCGTGATGTTATCCAAAGATATCCCTCCCTCTCCGGCTGAAATTAAGTCTATGGTCAACGAATATGGACTGACGGTTCTGTTTCTTTTTTCCTCTTTCTTGTCAAAAACTTTACGGGAGGCTCGCTCAGATCCAGAACTGCTACGATCACTACAAATCATGCCATCGGTGTTTCACGGCGGTTTGGCTTTAAATCCGGTCGATGCCACCTGGGCACGCGCAAATGGTCTGAATTTAAAAGATGCTTTTGCAAGTACCGAAGTCGGTCTCATGATGTTTGGTGTTGGAGGAAGTGGATCTGATGCTGGGTACTTACAACCACCTCCTGGGGTAAAATACCGATTTGTTCCAGCCTCCGGCTCTTCAATTGAAGATCCAGAATCTAGAAATACTGGTCCTGGCGAACAATTACTCGAGCTGGTGGTGCCCTCGGAATCCAGAAACTGCCCGCACGAGTCACTCCGGCATAAGGAGACAGGCGACTTCCATACAGGAGACTTGTTTGCAGAGCCCATACCTGGTCACTTTCTTTCCAGGGGTCGAAATGACGATTGGATTAAGATGGAGATTTCTCTCCGCTGTGACACAAAGTCCATCGAAGGCAATGTTATGGAACTTTGCGGCAAGGACCTTGTTAGTACGGCTGTTTGTCTGGGAACTGGCCGCCCTTCACCCGCGCTCCTCGTTGAGCCTCTTCAAGAGGAAGATGGCGATGACTACTCGGCTTTAAAAGACGAAATTGTTCGCCGGATAAGGCCTTTTCATGAGCGAATGTATACTCACGAACGGATTGAAGATCCAAGATTTATCATTGTCTGCCCCAAAGGATCTTTACCTAGGACTTCGAAGGGAGGAGTTCCTAGAACAGTCGTGGAGAAAAAGTATGAGAAAGCTCTGGATGAAATTTATGCTCGGAAGTAAAATTTGAGGATGTATCCTGTCATTATGGCATATTGATCAGATTAGAAGGTCTCTTACCCTACACTTATTGCCAGCTCCTGTATCATTTTGCCATCAATACTGTCTCTGAAATTAAGCGTCCTGATATCGGTCAAAATAGCAACCACCGTCTCCATCTTTATGAGAACCTCGAAGGACGTGTTACAATCAGGCCATGAGAGAGCTGAATAATTCTCCCGTTCCCGTTCCCTCTTCTTTTCTCATGTTTTAAGAACATTGGTCTCGGTTCATGCTGTGGAAGTATACCCCTGAAATCTTCCGCCCCCCAAATGGAAAATTTATGGTAAAGGGGCATCCTTACATACGTGAGCAGCCTGTCTGTCTCACTTCACCATGCAAATCAAGGATCTCACGTCAAAGGATTTTGCTACATGCAGTTCCTGATTCGCGTCAGGGCAATGGCAAGCGGATCTTGACTCGAAATTTGGTGCCCAAACCCACGTCGGTTTACCGCTATTCTATACCCATTCAGGCAATTCAGAGCACTTGCGTCTAAACTAGTGAGAAGGTTAACGATTTTAAGATTGTAGTGGAGGTGCGGCCTTCAGTTGTAGACTATTGAACCAGCTGTTAGCGCACCAGCAAATGTTACCGCTAATAAGCGGAACACCGCTGATGCCTTAGGAGATAATAATGAGACAGGTACCATTTCTCTCGGGTCAAAGTCCATCTCCTTGTTCAACTTGCAGACTTTGGCTATTCATCATGCGTCTCAAGCTGATCTTGGCTCTTGGCAGCATTGCCGCCATCTGTGGGGTAGATGCACGCACGCGCTGCAAAACACGATCTCATACACATAGCTCGACACTCAGCCTAGAAAGCTCGCCATCAGCTACAGTTTCGACACCCGAAAGCACCCTCAGCCCAAGCTCATCAGTGTCCACTTCACCCACGTTGACACCGTCGTCCACGCCCTCATCGACACCTACCACGACGCCTTCATCCAGTCCGGACGACACTACTTCTACCCCGGTCATCAGCATCTCTAGCTTATCTTCAGACACTTCAACGACACCTGCACTGAGCAGTACCCCAAGTACTGACAGCAGTGCTTCTCCGTCGTCGAGTGCTGTCGAATCTACATCTCTGCCAGCTACCCCGACTACCGCTGTTTCCTCTACGAGTTCGACATCCTCAGCCCCTGCATCAACGAGTACTACCCCTGCCGAGGTATATACGGGCGGTTTCGCGACATTTTACTACCAGAATGGCAATCCTCCAGCATGTGGCGGTCAGCCTCGCTCTAACAGCGAGCTAATCGCTGCATTGGACTTACGGCGATACGGGTCTGTTTCGGCTCCGAGCCCCTACTGTTCCAAATTGATCCGTGTCACCAACAGCCTTAATGGTCGGTCTGTTGACGTTACCGTCGTTGACGTGTGTTCAACTTGTCTCAACTCAAATTCCCTGGACTTGTCACCGGCCGCATTCCAGGCCATTGCCAACTTGGATGAGGGAATAGTTCCCATTGCGTGGCAGTTCGTCTGACGGGTCGACTGCAGCGAATGGAGGCCAGAGATTTCAAGAGAGGCATGCAGAAAAACCTCAAGCAAGCATCCAATCAATAGTACTATGTCCACCAAGCAGGGAAAATATACGTAACAAAAAGGACGGAAACACTTGCCTCAATCTATAGAAATCAACCATGCATTTTAGCCAAATCAAACCAACAGACTTGTCTGTAATAAATTGATGCAGAAACTGGATCTCAGACTCAATCCACAACCAATAATGGCCCTTCAGTTGGTCTCCAAAAGTTTCGATGAGTTCCGTCCGATTTGTTTATCATCATTTGAGCCGATCAATCCCTGGATAGGTCAAGGGATCTAAATAGGGCAAAGGATATGACAAATCTGTTGGATTCGTTTTATTGTTTAGTCAATCCCTATTTCCCAAACAAGGCAGAGGATGTGTCAATCCGTGTGGTTAGTGGACCGGCAAGCGGGCCTTAGTAATAAAACGGAACATTTCGTTCCGCCGACGGAAGTTCGATGCTCCCTTGTCACCAGCGTCTCGAACGGATCACCGTGTTCCGTCTGTTGGTATATCAAGCTTCAAGTTCATTGAAGTCACACCACACTTTTCATTCATCGCTTCAAAGAATCAGATCTTGACCCAGATTTCAATTCATCGCTACAGCTTATATTTATAAACACACCCGCCAACTTGATCCTGCAGACCAAGAAACGACCTAAACAACCATGTCTGAAGCTCTGTGGCCCGAAGATGCTATGTTCGAACACTTCACTGTGTTCGAAGAGACGTCAGTCAAAATTTATAACGCTACTTGGTGCACGCTAACACTCTATAGATACAAAATTGTCGATAGTCACGAAATCAAAACTGCCATCCTGATCCCCAAAGAATTGAAGCCCGGCCCCCATCCAATTTTAATCAACGTACACGGTGGATTCCTTGTGTATGGCCACTCTCTCTTCGCCCCTTTCTTTCCTCCGTGGGCACTTAAGCTGGCTCTCGAGCATTCCTCCATTGTTGTATCACCCGACCACCGCCTCCTCCCCTCTGCAAACGGTGTGGCGGATGTGTTGGAGGACCTCGAAAGCTTCTGGCAGTGGACGCGCTCCAGCCTCGCCGGTGTGCTGAAGGATCGAGCACCAAGTGTCTCCCTTGACTTCTCCCATCTCCTTGTGACGGGCGGCTCGGCAGGCGGGTACTGCGCAACACAGCTCGCATTGTCTCATCCGGATGAGATTTCGGCGGTCGCGCTGGCATATCCCTTCGTCGACCCCAAGGATCCAGCCGTTGCTGAAGGCCCCGCCCCCGGAGACCCAAGCATCCTCCGCTTCAAAGTCGAAGAGTTGCCATCAAAGGACTCTGTTGTGTCATGGATTGAAGAAGCCCGGAAGACTACCACATCTAAAGCTGGTTGGGACAGAACAAAATTGGCCGTTTCTGCTGCGCAGAACGGGATATTTGACTCGCAGATCTTCGACAATCTCGGGCTCGACCTTCCGGATTTCCTTCCTCTAGAGAGAATCAAGCGCGGTGCTAAGCTACCGAAGAAGGTGTAAGTGCGGTGAAACGGCAGATTGCTTCTAAACATGCGATCACAGATATGTGGTCAGTGCTAACCGTTTTGTTCACAGATGGATATTGCACGGAGACGACGACAGCGTTGTCTACCTTCGCGCTACCCACCGCTTGGTTGCCCTGGCTCAAGAAAAGCTCCCCGAGACTACGATTAGGCTCGATGTTGCTAAGGGAGAAGACCATGCTTTCGATCTTCAGAAGACCTCTTGGGAGTTGCACGCGATTGGTGGCTTGGACTTTGTCAAGGATGGTTGGCTTAAGAACTAGAATCGTGGCCGATGGGTAGTTTGTCATTATTCGGCTATGGAATCACTTGTGATTTCAATTTTAGATCGTTTTAGAGGTAACAGAATTAACTTCCAATTCTATTGTTAGACAACATTATTTATTGTCACGCGATAGGAAGCATTATCGTTCAACTATCCAGGTTATTCGTTGTTGATATTTGCAGTCCCTGCTTTTCTCACAACTACTTAGTAAGTAGGAGTGTAAAAATCGAACATTCTGTAATAGACTATGTTATCACCTGGATTACAACGTAAAAGAGAATCTAATGAATCGATGTAGGGAAAATTAATAATTTTTAGGAAGTGACTCATAAGATGCCTAGTATTTCAGGGCAGCCTCAAGCATCCAGCTATTATCCCCGTGAGGAGCATAAGAGACTGGACGGACGAAAGCATTGTCCTTCTATAAGCCGGCACACTTGTTAATGGACGAGGAATAGGGTGAGGGTCGACACCAATCCAAGTTTATTTACTTGTTCCTGGCCAAAGTCAAACTTTTAATTTGATGATTGACACGAGAAAACCGGAAAGCAAGTCCAGGACAATATGTAATTGACACTATCACCTCTTATAAAATCCAGTTGCTCTAAATTCAATGGGAGACTAAACTGGCAACTCCGGAGAATCACCAAACAGCTTCGCCATCATGGCCGGGGGGTAACGATCTCCCTTGCTCCCACCCACACTCTCAACTGCTGCGCGGATTGCCTGCTCTTCTTCCTTTGAAAGCTGAATTGTAGCAGCTTTGGCGTTCTCCTCCAAGTACTTCACTCGCTTCGTACCCGGGATTGGGAAAAAGTCATCACTATCAAGGTGTCAGTATCGCGGACTTTTCATCATATAACTCCTTTAGCAGGCCACGGATTGTTGAACTTACCCCTGAGCCATCACCCACGCGATGACCAGCTGTCCTGCTGTCACACCCTTTTCTTTCGCCATCGTGGCCAGCGTGTCAGTCAACTTCAGGTTGGCGGGGAAGTTTTCCTCCGAGAATCGTGGGTGATTCAGCCGGTTATCCGTGGCATCTAGGTCCGCTCGGCTGCGAATGGAGCCTGTCAGAAAACCGCGCCCCAGAGGCGAATACGCTACGATCTTGACACCCAGCTCCCGAGCAGTCTTCAAGAGGCCGGTCTGACCGCTCTCTATCTCGAGTGCGAAAGGCGAGAATTCCATCTGCACAGCCGCGATAGGATGCACCTTGTGCGCGCGGCGCAACGACTTGGAGGAACACTCTGACAGACCAAGGTAGCGAATCTTTCCAGCAGTCTTTAGCTCACCCATGGCTGCCACCGTCTCCTCGATAGGCACCTTATCATCCACACGATGCTGATAATACAGATCGATGTAGTCGACGCCAAGCCGCTGCAAGCTCGCCTCGCACGACTTGAGGACATGCTCCTTGTCACCTTTCACGGCAAGCACCCCCTGCTCCACCACATGCCCAAACTTGGTGCACAAGAAGATTTCCTTGCGGCGGCCGGTCTCCTTGAACCAGCGTCCGAGCAGCTCCTCATTCTTTCCATTGCCGTAGATGTCGGCCGTGTCCCACATGTTCAAGCCCATGTCGGCAGCCCGTGTGAGCACCCGCAACGACTCCTCGTCGTCCATCCCGCCGAAGGAGGTGTAGCTGTAGCTCATGCCCATACAGCCGAGCCCCATGGCTGACACGAGGTCATCTCCGATCTTGCGCTGCGGGAAAGACATTGTGCAGTGATACCAGCAACGTGTGTATGCGTGTTAATTCTCGAAAAGGCTTCTGGTTCTCGAAGGACTGCCGATTCTCCAAAAGACTCTTGATACTGGAAAAGGATTAAGATGAGCATTAGTCGTTCCTTTTATAGCCTAAGATGAATATGCCACTCACTGACTCATCGATATGTCTCTCCACAGCGGATAACGTTCAGCCGAACCGGCTCAAACGGACATTGTGTAAACGCCGTGTGGGTCGTATGGCCTCACACCCGGTCAGTATCCACGATCTTCCTTATCACCAAGTGTGTTCCCCGCTCTTGTTTGCGTCATATGCATCCTCTGATGCACTTACTTTCGCAGATAACCGGTGATATGGTTAGATACTAGTCAATGAGAACCCAAAGAAATTCACCCGTTGTTTATTGGCTAGTTCGCTCGTCCGACTTAGCGAAGTGGAAGTAGTCACCCATATGCGAAGCTACAAATCTCCAAGGCCCGGCGAGTTCGGATGGAGGTATCGTCAATAAAGTTGGCGACATTGTTTGAATTTGCATCTTAGACCATGCGTGCCTATCGATTGTAGTGTGGCTCACTAGACACTGCAACCAGAATTGGAGGTTGGATACACCTTGTTCCAGATTCCATTGATATCTTCCCTTTAATTGATGTTGGTCACAAACAGGTATTAGTTTAGTTAGATTTGCTCTCAATCTTCAAATATCATTTGCACTGGATACGCGTTCATCTAAGAAGCTACAGTGTTGCCTAGCAATCTACCAATTTCTTCCGCAATGGCCATGATTTTCTCTTCTGTCAACCGACGACCAATAACTTGTATAGCGACTGGCGCACCGTGGTATGCTTCAGGGTCATCTATTTAAGTTCAAAAATCGTCAGCATTGTTCAAGCACTAATACATTTATGGAGAAACAATAGCTCCGGGGACATCGCAACGTACACTCAGCCCCAACCTCTTTATCAATTTCTGTCAGTGGTTGAAAATCGCCCTTTTTGGTATCGATACTCTTGTCTGCAAATGTTACGGGGACCACAACGCTGGTAAAGTCGAGGAAATTGATCACAGTGCTGTATCCATAGTATTTGAACTGGTTATGCCGAATTGTAGCTGTTGCCGTGATGGGAGCGATAATCGCGTCGAGTTCTCTACCAGTCTTGATTTCGAACTCTCTGATCCTCGACAGGTATTCGCGCTGGATGTTCCACTTCTCTAGTTGAACATCCCACAGTTGGTTCATATCCACTTTTGTTGAGAAAGATGGATGGAGAAGTTCCTTAATGTTAGGAATGGGCGGCTCGCCTGACTGCCCCATGACCGTGAGCACATCCTATGAATATTTATTAGCATGCTAAAGACTGTTAAGAGATCATATATCCAAAAATAAAGAAGATATTTACGGTTCCACCATCAGAGGAGTAAATTCTGTTGGTCAAATCTACCATATGAGGATGTTTGTATGGCTCCCAAGGAACTACCGTGTGGCCGGCTCCCTTAACCAGGTCCACGACTGTCTGCACTGCTCGCAAGACCGGGGGGTGAGGAGTAACCTATACAGTTAGCAAAATACCAGCAGGAAGAAAATGGGGATATCAAACACACGTTGCCATCGGAGTTATAAAATCCTAGAACCAAGTCTCCTGATTTGATTTTTGCCTTGACTTCGTCTTCCTCGGTCTGCCTCCACGGCAGGGGCACCACTTTGGAATCATATTCCCAGGGTTTCTCGGCCAAAACAGAGGTGCAAAATAATTTCATATCCTGGATTGAGTGGCAAAGAGGACCACAAACGCTGTGAATTGTCTCCTGACCTTCCATGCTGTTCGCCATCCCAGCGTATGGAAGCCTTCCGTGACTTGGCCGGAGACCATAGAGGAAGTTAAACGCAGAAGGGATACGAATTGATCCACCTGGGGCAATAAGTTAGTATACATTATGTTGGGTAGAATCTGTGTACCGTGCTCAAAGAAAATTTGACTCACCGATGTCAGTTCCAACGCCAATGATACTACCACGGAAGCCTACGAGGGCACCTTCACCACCCGAGCTGCCACCACAGGACCAGTTCTTGTTCCGAGGGTTGACTGTTCGCCCATTTATATTATTAAACGTCTCGCCAGTCATCAGTGTCTGAGGAACGCTGGTCTTGACGTAAAACACGGCGCCTGCTTTGTGAAGCAAGGTCACCAGGACAGAGTCCTCGGTATCATACTTTCCAATCCATCCGACGTAACCCATAGTAGTTTCTAGGCCCTGAACGAAATCAGCCTTTGCGGGATCTATAAAAAACCCGATCATTTGACTTACTTTGATACGGAATTGATCTTTAAGTGAGATTGGGAGCCCATGCAGTGGGCCAATTGGCTTCTTCGTTTTATCAAAATAATCGTCCAACTCCTTGGCCCTAGCGAGTGCGATGTCTGGGAAAAATTCATGGAAGCAATTAGCCTAGATTCTAATTAATAAAAAACACTTTGTTTGTGAAATTGGAGTTTTCTTACCGTCTGGTGTGCAATAGCGGCCCTCTTGCAAAAGGCCGTCGTAACTGACACAGAGGTCAGCTCGCCTGCTGCCATTCTATTGACAAGATCAACAGCTGAGCTGTTGGTAAGTTGCAGCTCCTCGGGACTCATGATCCCACTTCTCGCGGGGTAATCCATGACATTGTCATCGCCTTGAAGGCCCTTGATGAGCCATTCTTGAGGAATAGACCCATCGATACGGCTCTTCTTCTCTGCTGCAACGTCTTCCCATGCCATCTTGTCGATATCTTGGAACAATTCTGGTAATTAAATGCTGTGGTGGTGGTGGAGTCCTGACTCGATGAACCAGGCGGGGGCGGATTTGTTTGGGATAAAACTGCGGTCTACCCGAAGAGCATTACGATTACCTCATTTAAGCCCTTTCGTTGTCAATGTTACGCAGATAAAGCATTACGGAAGCAACCGTTGAGTAACCCTCTGAATCTTGGCGCGCGGGGAAGCGGATGGGGCAAGCTGGAGGTGGTGATGCGTCTGGTCCAATGGGGCGGCGGAATACGGCGTATCTCCATTAAGATTACGACAGTTAATCATTGGTGTATTATCCGTGACCAATCGCCGTAGGATGATATCGTATTGATAGATGGTTGGCTGACCGGTAGATAGATAGTCACCAGGGCTCCATTATTCTTGTGACATGTTCCTCAAACAATCTGAAAAGATCAACTCATAAGGCAACTAAAAGTGCTGATTACTAGCAGTGCAATAAGCATTTTCATCGGCCTCTCCGGCTTTGGAGAGCTACTGTAGAGTGCAAGCTCTCTCAGTGCAATGATGATGACGACCATGCACCCAGTATGACGGTGCTCATCTAGTATCGGCGCATGTAAAAAGGGTGAAGCGATCCTATATTACCTCTCTTATCAGGAGCAATCTCCATATAAATAGCCTATGCTAATGCTGATAAGGCAGATATAAGCAAGATCGACTTCTAGAATTATATTAGTATAATTAATAGATAATATGGAGAAGAATAAGCTCTGCTAGCCCAAGGCTACAGCCATGCAGAAGGAAAACTATAGACCTTCATACCAATGACTCACTTGCCGTCGGGACGAGCCGCTCATCAGATCCCTATTCGTTCTACCCTCTTTCCTACCTAGCCGTCACACACACAGCTTCACGCTCGTCTTCTATCACACCAATCTGAGCACTTCAGCCAATCCCAAAGCTTTCGGCAGCCCATTGAAGCAGGCTATCGAGAACCTCCATGCATCTTAGAGTGGCAACAACAGATTCATACAGAGACTACCAGTATCTAGGAAAGCAATCAAGTATCAGAACTAGAATCTCTCAACAGCTTTATATGCAACCGTTTCTTTCCTGGTAGTTCAGAGTGAAACCAAAGAAACTGTAGGAACTGTTACATCCTCGGGCAACAATTAAGATGTCATGTCAAAGGAAACGAACGGGGGGTAGCAAATAATTAGTTGGCGTTATCAAAAGAACCTCCCAGAAAGTGAGGTTTTGGGAAATCTGGAGTAGCTCAGCAAATCTTTCATTGAAACAAAGCGAAGATTCGTAGAGATCCTTTCAACAACAACCCAGGTGTTACAACTATTACAAGCTAGAAAAAGAAAGAAAAACCTCTCTATACTGCTAGTTACAGGCTCTACCAGTCAAATTCATTATTTGCGACCCAATTGGAAGACCTTTTCAGAAATTCCCCGTTTCCCGTTCTGTGGGCTTCTATGAAGTCGGGCCTCGAAGTAATCATCACTGGACGAGATCACTCGAGGTAAGATCCAGCACTGCGTACCCCTTTCCACCTTCCTTGTTAATGGCATCATAATGCGCTGCAGTAACCTCTCGTTGGAGCCCTTACTGGGACCTACCCTTGCAAACGCACTACATCTCCAAGGAACGCATCCGCAGCCTTATTATTCCCTGCAGTGTCGCCATTTTTGTGGAGGCCTCGACCGGATTTGAGCGGTCAGAGAACGGCCATCACCAGAGGATCAATTATCACAACCACGATTTGAATCATCCGATATCACTAGACAAAACGACCTGAAAACAGATGGCCTTTCAGAAGCGTCCTGGATACTAGTTCCTGTAGACTTAGCAACAGCGGCCTTCCAGTACCAGCGTGAGGAGGTACTTCTTCTTCGCTCCAGCATTCCTTCCACTCCTATTGATATTCTTTCTGGTTGGTCTTGGAATCTTTGCAACTGAAGCTGAAACCTACCATGCCAAGCCAGTTCCGGCCTACCATTGGGTATTTTCCTCCCATATTGCTTTCGCCTCTATATTAATTTCACCATTCTAGAAGCTAGAGATCCATCTCCAGATGCTCTTTACCGTTTGTAGGATGTCATTTAAATATAGTACTTGCACACAGACATTTATCTATTTTGAGGTAGTATTGCAAGAATTAGGGGATTTACTGGCGTGAACCAGATCGCATAAATTCCGTACGAGGCCTGTTTATTGAGCCCTTCCAGGAAGCTAAGGTTGCGAATATCGGAAACATTCCAATCGCAAGGCGATTTTGGCCATCCTGTGGGATTGCAAATATGGAGACGCCTTTCGGAGATGGCCTGCAGGGGCTCGCTTTCGTAAACCATCATGTCTTAGCCTCTCGTTTTGGCCACTGGGAATTTTACCTGGTCGAAAAGCATAGACAACGAATCCTACGCTATCTATTCTCAGCACCCTTGTCCCCATGCTTTAACTACCGGCATCAAATCAATCTCGCCAAGGTTTTGATCTTCTCTGGGTTTCTGGATGTCAAATGGTTTCTTATATAAACTCTGGCATCTACTCTCCATTTCCAAGTATCAATACATATCCTCAAAAAACATAACAACTTCCAGGCGCTGGTCTCCTAAATTTTCCTACTGTCTTCCCTTCTCTACACTTTCTTTCAAAGAATATTTTATTTCTTTTTCTTCATTTTGATTCTCTGCACGTTCATATTTCCTTCAGTTCAGCGTTTTTCCTAACATCAAAATGGTTGCCACTAAGAACCTCGGCCTCGCAGGACTTGTCTGGCTCTCCCTTGCCGCTCAGGGACTCGCTCTGGGGGTTGATGAAGCCACCAACGATCTCACCCTTGTGGAGAGAAATGTCGCCGCCGAGGAGCTCGATGTTCGCGACGTTGATGACGAGCTTTATGAGCGAGATTTTGATGAGGAGCTCGACGAGCGCGACTTTGATGACGAACTCGAAGAGCGAGATTTTGATGACGAGCATCTCGAGGTCCGCGGAGGTGCTACGGTCAACCTCAAGGAGCAAAGACTCACCGGGATCAAGGCCAACAGACCTATTCCCACTCCTCCCAAGGAAGTCGATACAAAGGCCTATTGGGACAAGAAATACGGTGTGAAGAAGGCTGTCTCTGGACCTGCCAAGTATCGGCGAGATCTTGAGGCCCGTGGAGGTGCTACGATCAACCTTCAAGAGCAAAGAATTACTGGCATCAAGGCAAACAGACCTATTCCTCCCCCTCCCAAAGAGATCGATACTAAGGCCTACTGGGCCAAGAAGTATGGACACAAGAGGGGCCTCGATGTCCGTGGGGGTGCCACGATCAACCTTCAGGAGCAAAGAATTACTGGCATTAAGGCAAACAGGCCTATCCCTCCCCCTCCTAAGGAGATTGACACAAAGGCATACTGGGCTAAGAAGTACGGACATAAGAGGGGTCTCGATGTTCGCGGAGGTGCCTCAATCAACCTCAAGGAGCAGAGAATCACCGGCATCAAGGCAAACAGGCCTATTCCTCCCCCTCCCAAGGAAATCGATACTAAGGCTTACTGGGCAAAGAAGTATGGCAAAGCGTAGAAGCTTCAGCAATAACATCAAATAACGCAGCTCTTGCTCCTTATTACGATAGATCGATGGGATTCAGGTATAAGATAGTTGGGAGCATCTCAAGATGGTATGCAGAATAGGACAACTCTAAGGTCGGAAGAAAGGAGAGGTGGATTAGCACTAGCTGGAGTTCAATTGATTAGAATGTTGACATTCGATTTTACTTTTTTTGCCACAAGCTTTTATTCTTGAATGAATAGATTCGGGAGCTTTCAGTTCTGTAGCCTTTAGTTTGATTAGAGAGGCAAGCTCACCCTCTAAAGTAAAAGTCAGCTTACTTGTGGGTTGCCAAGCATAGTCCCTTCTCTAAGTTGTTTTACAAAGAACCAGACCTAATCACCAAGCATTTTCAGCTTTGGAGAACCTACCCAGCGGTCAGTAGAACCCAGTCACAACAGCCTAGTTTTCGGGCGGAGCGCAACTCCCAAGCTTGCTGATGGGGACCTAGGTAATTGTGCACAATTATGAATTTAAACATAATACTAGCTATCCCAGCGCCCAGAACTGACGCGGTCATTCGGTCCAGGTCTCATGCAGTGTAGCAATATCAACTTTGCTAGAGTCGATGACATATCGGATCAAGTCCTCGGGGTTCCCACTGTTTTCAAAGGCAGTTGACCCATCTCCGAAATACTCAAACCTATTCTTCTCCGCGCCATGTCTACGGGCGAAGTTGAAATCTTCCCATCTCGGCTCCCGTAAAGCCTGTGCGCGGTGATGAAATGTCCCCGGCCAGCTAATAACGACACGAGTTGCTCCCTTCCCTTGCTTGAACCACGAATTACACTTGTCAGTCAGGACGCTATTCTCGAAAGCAGCAGCGCATATGTCATTAAACTCTTGAGCAGCCTCTTCTCTCGGGTCCAGAGACGAATAAGATTGCGACTGCACCTTCCGGATCGCTCTGGCAATATAAGTGGCTGAGAGCTCGGTTTGGAGTGGGACGCTTCCGCCACGCGCATTCCCTTGCGCTTGGAGTACAAAGAAGTAGTTCGGGTAGCCAGGTGCCATAATTCCGAGATAGGTTTCTGGATAACCAATAGGACCATTAATTGACCATTTGTCGCGGAGGTCAGTCCCATCCGTACCAATGACAGGAAACCGGGAGTTGAAGCTGGGCTCGAAACCAGTAGCAAGAATGACAATATCCACCTGGCGTTCGGTACCATCTGCAGCAAGAATCCCCTTAGGTGTAAAAGCTTTGATACCCTCAGTGATGTACTCAACTTTGTCACTCTTGACTGTTTCGAGGTATCCAGGGGCAGGCGTTAGCCTCTTGCACCCAGGAGCATAGTCTGGAAGAACTCTCTGCAGCCACTCCTCATCGCCATCGAGTCTCTCTCGCATAACTTCGATGATCTTCTCTCTCAGAGCGTTATTTTTCTCACTGTCCAGCCGGTCGCCACCAGGGGGATGGTGGAACTTGCTTTCAAGTTCACGTCTGTGCTCAAGAAGGACGGAAGGGTCCTCTCTAAAGCGAGTCTGCTGCTCTTCAGAATAAACAGGTCCACCGGGGGCATCTTTAGTGGCTTGATGCAAGTCTCTGACAAAGGTCGGCGTAACCCAAGTTTTGTTCCTGACATAGTGATCGATCTTTTCTACCACGGGGGCAATGTTGGGGAGAAGCTGCTGCCCTGAAGCTCCGTTGCCAATAATAGCAACTTTTTTCCCTGCAATGTCGATTTGGGAAGGCCATCTTGCAGTATGAATGACTGAGCCTTGGTATATGTCACGTAGTCCTGGGATGTCTGGATAGTTGGGATCACTGATACGTCCCTGGGCATTGACCAAGAAATCAGCCGTATCCACGAACACGTTGCCAGATTGAAGTTCGCGGACTTCAACAGCCCATTTCGATGCGTCTTTAAGCCATGTGGCGCGAACGACTTGATGCTCTGTCTTGACATTTTCGGTCAAGCCATGCTTTTCAAGCACTCGCTCATAATACTGCTGGATCTCGGCGCCTTTGGGATAATATTCAGACCAATTGGCGTTGGTCTCGAAGCTGAGCTCTAGATACATCTCAGTACGCAATTACATGGTCAAGCGTGCCGAATGATCTCAACTTACGATACACATGCGAGGGAACATCACAGCGAACACCGGGGTACACATTGGCCGCCCACGTTCCGCCCTAGCAATAGCAATCCTGTTAGACCCTCCATTTCTGGTTTCCGGAGAGTATTGGCAAGCCACTTACCACTTTGGAAAACTTTTCATATACCGTGATCTTTGCGTTAGGTACCTTGTGGGAGAGAAGCACAGCTGCTGATATACCGGAGATCCCACTTCCCACGACGATCACCTAACAAATATCAGCCAACTGAAATCGAAGTCGGTGAATGGTAATTATAAAAGGGGTATTCATACCTTCACATCTCGGTACTGGTTCCATGGTTTATCCTCTGGATGGTACCTAGCTTCTGATCTAGATGTCTCCTTTGGAGACTCCAGATGGAAAGGAACTCTATCAGAATTGGCAACCATGTTGTTGATGGATTAGACGGCGAAATGATGGCCATACAGTAGACTGGAGCTCTCAGTAGATCATATTGATATATCTACCCCGCTACATATGTTGATAACGAGTATCATCTGCATTTGTCAGTGGATTCTTTCCTGGGACATCCTCTACGAATTCTCAGTTGTAGGCCGGTATCGCACTCCGCCGTATGATACCATCGCCGGGGTTCATGGTGGCATCGATAACCATCACTACCTGGAGCCCCGCAACCTTAATGAGGCTAAGAGAAGCGCTGAATTGATGGACCAATCCGTATGTCAAATTAAGGATTTAACCGGGCTTAAAACCGTTGTGATAAGTCCGCGTGAATTTTCACTTTTCCTTGGCTGAGACGCCACTCTGCGGGTCTTTCGAGATATGTTGCGAACCACAGCACAGAGCACGCGAAAAGCCCCAGCACGATCGTCATTTTAGAGTGATCATGCCTGGTTGAATGCAAACTATATGTATATAGTGCAGTTTACTAGTCTTTTAGGATAGATATGAACCATGACGCCTTGAGAGACTCCACACGCCCATTGCAGAGGACGACCCAGCCACCTGGTTCTCGGGTTACACTATAAAGGTGGCGAGCTGAATGGAACTTGAGTCAAGAAGGATCAGAAATACATCCGTCTTCCATAATCGGTTGATGCCTTTGTCCGAGTTTTCGGGCTTTTGGAATACTCTTGACGATGGCGTCCAAGGAGCAGGTCATCGTTGCAGCCCAGGAGGCCGACGACTCTGGCAACAACGGCTCGAATCCAAGCCAACCTACCACATACGGTGCCAATCGCAATCCGAGTTCGAATAAAAGATTCTTTGCATGGTTTGATGCCAATGATGGGCCGCTCGAACGTCGTACCATTACAAAGCTTGACCTTTTCATTCTCTCCTACGCATTCATCGGGTTTTGGGTAAGATAACATTCATTAAAGTTTTCTATGTTAATTCTCCTGTTCAGGTTTCCATTTAGGATCTTGAGGCAAGTGGCTAACCATTTGATAAGGTACTATACATCGATCGTGGCTTATTAACCAATGCCTACATCAGCGGAATGAGAGAGGACCTGGGCCTGTTCGGTAATGAGCTTGTTTCGCTTAGCTCGATTTATTCAGCAGGATACTGCATGTAGGTCACTCAGTTTCTGGGTCCTTTTTTCTAACGTCTCTAAATCGATGCTGATATATATTTTCAATTAGCTCTATGATACCTGCCACGCTGTTTCTGACCAAGTTCCCTGCTCAGTATGTCATCCCAACGACCATTCTTGGCTGGGGCGTGTTCACCATTCTTTGCTTTCGTGCTCAGAGTTATGGAGAATTAGCTGGATATCGCTTCTGCATTGCATTGTTACAGGGTGGGTCTTACACGCAACCAACTACTCCTTTCTTGAACTTTCCTAACACGTCGAATTTAAAGGGCCGTACTTCTGCTCTATTCATTACATCCTGGGAAGTTGGTACCGCAAAGATGAGCTCGTCCGTCGAGCAGGAATCTTTTACGTTTCCTCCAGCGTTGGTACCATGACCACTGGCCTTCTAGCCGCCAGAATCTACCAGTCGCTCCACGGAGCTCTTGGATACCCAGGATGGCGGTGGATGTATCTCGTTGCCTCCTGTATCACATTCCCTATCGCCATCTGGGGTTTCTTCTCACTGCCCGGAACGCCCAGAGACGGAAAGCGCTGGTTCTTCACAGAAGAGGAGTTCGGAATCGCCAAGGAGCGCATGGCGCTACAGGGTCGCAGCAATCCAAAAGGCTTTACGCTCTCTAAAGCTACTTTGAAGCGGTTTTTGGGAAGATGGCATTTCTGGGTGTTAGTCCCCTGGAACATCCAATGGCTTATGGGCTATCTAAGCATGGCTACCGGTGGACCTACTTTGTGGCTGCGAGCTCAGCCTCAGTATTCGACGGTGCAAGTGAACAACTTTACAGTAAGTCTATTCCATTGATAGTATTTCCAGCATACTTTATGGCCAAATGCATACTAAAGGCCTAATGTCACAGGCGATATCTCCCAGCATAGGTATAGTCCTCATCATGACCTTCTCTTGGATCGTTGATAAGAAAGGGCGAAACGCCATCTTGCCTGTCATTGCTGTGGCATGCGGAATTCACTTTGTCAGCAAGTTTGCCTGGATTCTTTACGACACGACGAGCTTCGAATATAAATGGTAAGTAGATTGTCAAGAGGACACTCTCCCGCATCTCATCATGCTAACAGCTTACAAGGTTCGCCACGGCTATAAACTACATCGAAGTCTCCTTATCTCCCATCAACTATAGCGTTGCCAACTTGGCGTGTGCTGGAGACGCTGAAGAGCGCGCATTTGTCGTAAGCTCTATGCTGGCACTGTCCACAGCTTTCAATGCTTGGGTTAGCTTCGTCGCATTTCCAACTCTTCAGGCACCACGATTTTTCAGAGGCTATGTTATGGAGGCAGTTTTCCAGGTTACCTACGTTGGATGGACTGCTTTCATTGTCTGGTTCTCAAATAGACAGGACCAGAAGGAAGCGGCAAGAAAAGAAAGCGAAATTGGAGATGCCGCTGGTGAGAAATCTAGCTGATGAACTCCAGTCCAGCCCATGACAAGCAGACGTAGCGATGGTAGCCACAGTTTAGTCAATTAAAATGCAAGGCTAATTCCATCATATTGTATCTGAGGTATTCTTCTCCAGATCAAGTTTCTCAATAAGTAATCACAATCATTTCAGTGTCAGAGAGCAAATGAAGTCACTCATAGATTAACTGCGAGGCTGGTGATTGTGTACCTGCTAAGTGAGGGTTTATATAGCAAGATATTCCATGCTCCTACCAGAAATCACGTAACATAATATAGGTCTATTTCTGATATCCAACATTTCTGAAAACTTAGTGCAGAGAGGAGAACAAGAGTTACTTAAGAATGCCCCCCAGGCGTTGTTCAACAGCCCTACAGTTACCTAAGGGAAAGCCTCTATTTATTCCCAACTTCAACCGTCACTGGGGCTGATGGTTGCCCTGGACTTTCTGGGCTGTCCGTCTCCGAAACTGCTCCGGTCTCTTTAGGCCCATTGTAAATGATTCCAATTTGCCTTATTACCAACCATGCTGGGTATAAGCTAATACCCCAGAGGCCAAAGTTCAAGTAGAATGCTCCATCTGCAGCAAAGGACTCCAAGGAGTTTAATCCATAACTGACAGCTTGCACTGCGGATTCCGTTCCACGAAGCAGTGCCGAGATTCTGACAACCTCCTCCGAGGATTCTGCGAGATTACCAACAATGAAGTAGCTAGATAGAGTCAGCTTGAAGGTTTCCGTTGATTTGAACTCTTGCTTACAAGAACATATAGTTGAGCTGGAAGCCAATGATCAAAAACAAAAAGCAGGCGAATGGCGATCCGAATGCGCTATCTACCCAGTCAAAGGTCGGAAGGCTCTTTTTGTAGCCAGTCACAAGGATTGTTGCCCAAATAAACCACCCACCTTGCAAAGTGGCCACAACTACAAATGCATATCTGGCTCGTTTTTTAATTGAGATGTTGCTGTAATCAAGAAATGCCTTTGCCAAGTTAGATGCTGAATATATTTGATTTCAAGTGGCATTAACTCACCCCAAGGAGATTACCAGAAATGATAGCCACAACACCTGATAGAAAAGAGCCAAGGGCTCTCACACGAACTGAGAACCAAACTAAAAAAGATCAGTAGGATTTCAGAAGCTCCAGAGAAAATATCAAACTTACGAGAAGAAAAAGTGAACATGACCGCCTCAGTATAAATTCCTTGGGCTATGAATGGGATTGTGAGGAGGTACTTCTTGGTGGTAAAGAGTTTGGCAGTAGACTTGAGTTCGCTCCAGGGAGAATGGTCGACTGATAACTTCACTTTCAGCCCGTCGGTTCGCTGGACGTTCTCGGGCTTACTTATCAAGAGTCCAATAAACGGGCCAAGTGACTGAAGTGCGATGAACACCAGGTATACAGCGTAAGAGACACTTCCCGCCTCACTCCTATCAGCATTTATTCCAAGATTGATAGCGCCCCCAAGAACCTGGCCGGCAAGTCGGAAGCTGAGCCAGAATCCTAGAAATCGCCCTTTGTTGTACGGCTCCGGGTAAGAAAGCGCAATGGCTGCTTCGGACATCCAAAACAATCCTGCGCCCAGTCCACAAAGGACCGCCCCTAACAATACAGACCACTCTGTGCCGAATTTATTATTTGTGTACAGGCCAGCGGCATACGGCGCGTATCCCATTGCACCTAGAATCAGTGTATACTTGACTCCAATGTAATGAACCACAGTACTGGAGAACAAGCAGGAAAGAACCATGAGGCTGAAGGATATGGCGTTCGCGGCATTCACCAAGTACGGACGTTGCATGCCTCCTGCGCCCAATGAATTCATTGCCCCCCATATTCCAGGTGCCAGGAAGTTGCAAAGCCCCAGGATGAAGCAGTTCCAGTACGTCGACCTGTACCAGGTCACTGCTCAACAATGAGAACTTAGCTGGAATTCGCCTAAGCTCACATACAAGTTCACGTACCTTTGTGGGTGCCGTGCTCTCGCGGAGCCGCAACATTCGCTTCAAGTGCAACTTTGGGACTAGCCATGATGAATACGGTTCGAACGATATTGATTTTTCCCAGTCGATCTTCTTCTCAACTTGGCATCTACCCACGCGCGCACATATATACACGCCGAGGGCCATCACTATCCCTAAAGGAGTTTCGGAAGTAATGTGGACTTTTATATTCCTAGATCACCATGGAGCGGCATCCCTACCAATCCCTCCGATGTGAAATAAAACTTCTCTCAAACAAGTGTAGTTCGTGACGGCGATAGGCAATGCTCTGCGTAGAACGTGCTTATTACGTGAACATGCCAGTCTATCACGCAATATGCAGGACCCCGTTACCCGAACGAGAACCTTTTCCAACAACATTCATCCCAGTGGCGTACAAAATGAATCACATGCGATTTAAGTACAACGATGAATTGCATTTATGAGCTTCCATGAGAGCTCTCTGCGACTATAAACAGCCAGGGACAGAATCTCGGGATTCTGTGGTCATTATGCCTCTGGTTTTCTTTCAAGTACCGTCTTGATATTAGTTCTTATTTCCGCCTTCTCTCCGAGGAGCTCTTGCGTGCTTATCACCTTCAACCTGGCCAGTTACGAAAAAGACGCAACACTGGGTCTACCTTGGCAATAAGGAGTGGTGCGTTACCCCATCCCATCCCGACTTCGGTCATTCTTCCAGGAGCCGAACACAGATAATGCAGCCCTATGCAAATGATATAGGGAACTTGTTATGGGTCGTGAGTTTCATCGGAGGTCTGACACAATCTTAGGTCCACAATGAGCAATCGCAACATGATGCTTGCTTGCCTCGTTCATGCATGTCAATTGCACTCCAACTTCCATCAGCCTTCAAGGAGAACTATATAGAAACACGAATGCTAGTACCTTGAAGCGATATTGAATCCCTAAATAGTTGACACCAAATATAAAACGAGGAAACACACGCTCCACCAGTACCGGGCCATCCTATTTACTTTACACTGTCGACGACTTAACTCACAATGGCAGGGAAGAAACAGCTAATTATAAACGCATTCGCAATGCAGGTCCCAGGCCATTTAAATCCAGGCTTGTGGAAACACCCCAACGACCAGCAGAAAAACTACAAGAGCTTGAACCATTGGATTGAACTCGCGAAGAAACTGGAGGCGGCCAAGTTCCATGGCTTCTTCTTCGCGGACGCGCTTGGAGGCTACGATGTATACAAGGGACCCCAGAATCTCGACGCAACACTCTCCGCCGGAGCGCAACTGCCGATGATTGATCCCTCTTACGCCGTTCCAGCCATGGCAGCTGCTACAGAGAGCATCTCGTTTGGCGTCACAGCCTCAACAACATATGAATCGCCATACTCCCTGGCCCGCCGCTACTCCACCCTCGATCATCTTACCAATGGACGAATCGGATGGAACATCGTCACGTCTTTCTTGGATTCGGCAGCGAGAAATTTTGGCTTGACCGAGCAGATTGAGCATGACAAACGGTATGACAGAGCGGATGAGTTTCTGCAAGTGACATATAAACTCTGGGAGGGTTCTTGGAAAGAAGATGCCGTGGTGCAAAGTGGAGGGGTATTCACAGATCCTTCCAGGGTTCGCCAAATCAACCACAAAGGGACATACTTCGAGGTTCCAGGTCCTGCGTTGACCGAGCCATCGCCTCAACGGACGCCATTCTTGCTCCAAGCCGGAACTTCCGGTGCAGGCAAAGCGTTCGCTGCAAAGCATGCGGAGGCAGTGTTCGTAAATGCTTTCCATCCCGAGGCCATCCGGCCGTCTTCAGATAGCCTCCGAAGCCAAGCGAAGGAGTTTGGCAGAGACCCTAAAGACATAAAGATCATCGCCGGTGTCTTTGTTGTGGTTGCGGAGACGGTGGAGGCTGCCCAGGCGAAGTTTGCCGAGTATTCAAAGTACGGCGATCGCGAAGGAGCCCTCGCACTCTTTGGTGGCTGGTCCGGCTTTGACCTCTCGTCATACTCGGATGATCAGGATTTCCGGTTCGTCGACCAGCCTGCTATCAGAAGCATGGTGACCAGCTGGTCCGAATCAGTGCCGGGATACGAGGGCAGGAAGTGGGACAAGGCTGCGATTGCCGATACGTTGATTTTGGGGAGCACGTCGCCCAAGATAATCGGAGATGCAAAAACTGTGGCTGACGAACTGGAGCGCTGGGTTGAGGTTGCTGATGTGGATGGATTCAATTTCAGCTATGCGACCGTGCCGGGAACTTTTGACGATATCATAGAATTCCTGCTACCTGAGCTGAGAAAGAGAGGCTTGTTTTGGGAAGATTACACCGCGCCAGGAGGGACTATGAGAGAAAATTACACCTTCACACCCGGGGCAAAGAGGCTGCCCAAGAATCATACTGGTGCTCAGTATGTCTGGGAATAAGGGCTATCTGGCTGAATTATTAGTTCACCCTAAAAGCATAAGCACATGTAGATTCTCGTTGGAATGAGAATCCTAAATTGTGAAGCAATTTATATTTTCCAGGGTATCCAAGGACGTGTTATGTCAAGTCCAAAACTGCACTGCGTACAAAAGCGATTTTCGTGATTCTCGGGTTCGCGTAATTAACCGAGTATTTAATCATGGAAACCGGGATGCCTCTGGTTTTCGTTTTGTAGTAGACAAAGGTTGACGATGAATGAACATGGGATGAGTCGTCAGTCTACAGTATCAAAGCGGGATCCTATCGTGATACATCGCCTTCACAAACCCCCTTTCTCATTCTTTTTTGTTCAAACCATGATTTAGAGCGAACTTTTATCCTTTTCTCTTTCTTTTTCAATCCAGAGAGATTTATAAAAACCCGAAACATGCATATGGCTATGTCTGGATTGGCTATGCTGGGACGTAGGCTGTCTCTAGGGTAGGGCGAGCCTGGCCCCTGACACTGAGCTGCCTTTCAGTCTTGGATATGCTACAAGTTGACGCGCGCTACAGGGGAGCTTGGAGTACCTTGACTAAGGCAGTGGATTCTATGAAGGAAACTGTGATAACGGGGAATTGCTAGGCTTGAATACAACATCATGAACGGAAAGACAGACGTGGAACGGATGCGATGCCCTGGAACATGAAATCAGCCGTCTGAGACACACCTTGGCCATGCTCAACAAGGCTAGATAGAGAGGAATTCAAGTGGATTGGTACAATTTCAGCAGGATAAACAAACTGCGTGCGGGTAGCCAAGGGGTGGAATTCTTGAGCCGATTGGTTCGCTGGGACGAAGCCACGCGCGGGAATGGAAGAAATCTGTCAATTATTACTCGAGAGCGCGTTTCAGAAAATATTGAAACTAATACCACGGAGATCATCCGCGGTCACAGTCTCATTGATGGGGAAGGGAAGCTGGCCGCGTTTGCCGTGTAAGACGCGATGACGCAGTCATTCCCGCGAACTAACGGAGCTGAATTGGACTTTGGGGAAGACCAACATGGCTGGGATGTTAATAAGCGGCATGACCTGCACCACCTGCCTGTGTCTGGCTGCAGAAGTGATACGAGATTGGGGGCCAATCACCATAGCATGCGCTGTGCTGTCTGTCTCCTAAACGTGCATGCCTCCTACGGCTGAAGAACAATAACAATACAATCAATCGGTGGCATGGGTATCATGATGGACGAGGGACTGAAAATAGCTGCATCCGGCGGTGGCTTCAAATGAACAGGCGAGATTGGTGCATTTCAGATGCGCGGGCGGCTTTTTTAGACCTCTGACCAACTTGTTGGTTGCTAAGGCGGGTGGCTGCAGGTGATCCTTCTGCATTTCAACGTGCGATGACGAGTCGCACCCAAGTCTATTGAAATGCAGTATTACGATAAATCTAGTGATGGTATCGGGTTGGTCGAGGAAGCCGAGGGACATGCATGGAGCTGGCAGCCTGGAGAGCTGAGAGTAATGGCATGGAGGCGGCACAGTTCGTTGTAGGCTCATCTTTAATTATGGACACAAACGGTCCAGTTGGCACGTCTCATGTGTCCACCATCTGTGCTGACATGCTGCAGGACTGAGGTTGAATCGATGGATGAATGGGACAAGGTCGAGGAACATACCATTTCAAATAGTCGTCGTCATCACCTGCTCAAATATGGATGGCCATGGTCCCATCTTAACGATTTGATCTTCTTAGGGAAGCTGCGAGGAGACGGGTAGGTATTATTCTTAGGTCAGTTTCTGGACAAGCGAAAATGGATCTTCGTCAGTCTTTGAGAGTGGGCCGTAAGACAGGGCTCTCACTTCGATTGATTCGCTGGTTCAGAGGAGCAGGAAGAGACCGCTGCTTATTTTTAGTAGCACAATTTCTAGACAGTAATAGCCGGCGAGCCGCTGGCCCTATGACAATGGGGCTGGCGGAGCCGAGATGAACAAGTGAGCGAGTGGATTGCTGAACGAAGAATGGATAACTGCACCTTCACAACCTCTCTCTCCAGAATCGCAGGTTAAGGCGACGTTTCAAGTACTAGCAAACATCGAGGGTGAGCCGGCACCAGACGTTGCTTTGTGCTTGTGGTGCATGCGAAACCACCCAGAGGAGCACAAAGGGCGCTTAAGCGTGACGGAGACTACGGGAAGTAAGCATGAAATTACGTTTCCTGTCATAACCACCACTCATTCTGGGTGTAAGCAAGGGTCTGCCTAGCAGCAAATCCTTGGTAGGGTCCGCCCCCAGTCTGGGCTTTGGCAATGGCAAGGGTATGTGAATGGCTGGACGGCAGCGAACTCTTCAGGTGAGAGAAAGGCGGAGCGCAAGTGGTGGCTAGGCCACGCACCCTTTCCCGTCTCGTCCTTGGTTTCACCGTCGTGAAGCGCAATTGGCAAATTCATTAATATACTTGGCGTGTACCGACTGCCCCCCCTACTCCTCCTCCTCTTCCTCCCCATTCCATCACCAGTAGACAGGAAGATCGAGTCGAATAGTTTTTGAGAATTCTTTTCTTCTTTTTCTTTTGTTCCTCTTTTCCTTGTCTTCTTCTTCTCTTCTTTGAGTGTTTTGGTTCATCATTATTATTGAGGATTATTCTTTTTTTCCTTTTCTCTTGCTTCCGCAATGCAGAACAAGCTTGTATTGGGAGCCTTGACGGCTCTCAATCTGCTTACTCCCTCAGTCCGCGCTGACGATGAGCCATGTCTGGCCGTCGCCAAACTGCAGGAGAAGGCTGCCAAGGGCGTTGAGGTTCCCCGACCTGGAGATGCTGCTTATCTAATTCAGTTCGACGCCGAGACCGCCTACAAGTGTATCACTTCTGTTCCCTTCGACAAGGACGCCGCTGTCAAGGTCCTCGAGATCTCCAAGTCCTACTTCCAGTTCCAATCTACCCTGGCCTACCTCAAGGACCCACCCGCATCCTACCAGCAGCCGTCCGTTGATGTGATGTCCAAGTTGGACGATTTCACCACCAAGGCAAAGAACGGCGAATACAAGAATCTTTACGAGTTTGACGTCGACTTCTACCGCCTCGCCCAGTCCACCCACGAAAGCCACTTTTCCAAGGACAGCCATCTCCTTGGTCTCTTCCGATGGACTCTCGATGATACCATCGTGTCGGTCTCCACCGATGGGAAGGCCCTTCCCCAGGTCTACGCAGCCAGCGATATCAGCAACAACGTCAATTCGCCCTCCTCCATCGTAGAACTTGGAGGCCAGTCTGTATATAGCTACCTTCAGGGCTACCTCCAAAACTTCACAGCGAACGGACTCATCGAACCACATGCCGATTACAATGCCTTGATGTACAACACCGGCCTCGAGTTTGCCAGCTGGGCGCAGTCGAGCGACGCCTCCATGGCTCCTACCGCCTTCAAGACCACACCGATTTACAATGGCAAGTCTCTCAAGGGCAAGTTCGCCAATGGCTCCGACTTTGAGTGGGCCTACAAGGCCGGCTCCAACGCCAACATGACTCTCAACCAGTTCTTCAGTGGCCAGGACATCTACGACTTGAAGGTTGTCAAGACCAACAGCACCCAGTCTGACGACTCTACAGTTGAGACCAAGAGGAGGAAGAAGCGCAGCTACAACCCTGATGTTAAGCTCGTTAAGCGCGCCGACTCATCGGACGACGAGGTTGCCGTTCCGTACTCCGCTTGGCCTACGAAGCCCATCGTTGTTCAGGATAACTTCACATATGGTGGCACGGTGTCTGGATATTACTTCGATGAAAACCAACTCGGTGTTCTGAGCATCCCCAGCTTTGACACCGATGAGAACAGCAGTGAAACTTTCGATCTTGCCGTCGCCTCATTCATCAACCAAACACGCTCCCGCGGCGCCAAGAGGATCGTCATTGATTTGACTGGCAACGGTGGTGGTACTCTGTGGATGGGCTACGACACCTTCCGACACTTCTTCCCCAAGAAGGTGCCCAATCTGCTGTGGCGCACACGTGCTCACAATGCCCTCAATGTCCTTGGTTCCGTTCTTGGTTGGAGTGGCGCACAGAACACCTCCTATGAGGATGTTCCTGATATCAACTATGAGTACGGCTCCAAGCCCGACCTGACCAAGTTCTCATCGTGGAAGGAATTCTACGGCCCCCGTGAGCTCAAGAACGACAAGTTCACTAGCGCTGCTACTTATGACTTCACCGATAAGAAGCTCGCTGGCGAACTGGGTTTCTACCTTGCTGGTTATGGTGATAACATCCCCGACTACGACGAGGCCTTCCCTGCCGAGAACATTGTTCTTCTTGTCGACGGCGGGTGCGGCAGCACCTGCGCTTCCTTCTCTACCCTCATGAAGCACGTCGCCAACGTTCGCACCGTCGCCGTCGGCGGTATCCCCGAGTACGGACCCATGCAGGGCGTGGCCAGTACTCGAGGCAGCATGATGCGCGAGTGGAACTACTTCGGCGACGCCATCACCTACATCCGCAGCCTCCTGGACACAATCGACGAGAGCGACAAGGAGTCCACCTACTCCAAGATCGGCGTCAGCTCCAGCGACATCGACAACCTCCCCAAGGCCCTCGCCGAATCCCCCTGGACCGTCGACGGCGCCATCAACATGTTCGACACCATTCAGGCGGGCAACCAAGACACCCCCCGCCAGTTCCTCTACGAGGCGTCCGCATGCCGCATCTTCTACACCGGCGAGATGATCCGCGACGTCAGCAAGCTCTGGCAGGCTGCCGGCACCATCGCCGGCGGCGACAACACCACCTGCGTCTCCGGCTCCCAGAACGCCGTCGGCTCCAAGCCTCTCACATTCATCACCGACAGCCCGGGCTTTGGCTACAGCGAGCTGTGGTCGCGTGCCAACTCGACCGACGTGCCGAACGTGAAGACCGATGACACGAGCTCCAACAGCACTGAGGACTCGGCCGCCTCTTCCTACAGAGTTGGTCTGCCTATGGCTGTTGTGGCGATCGCCGCGACTCTCTTGCTGTAATGACGGAATGATGACTGCCTCGTTTGGAGATGCCTCTTTTTTTTCCACTTTTTTTTATGGTATTAGCGGGTATTTAATGGATTTTATATCACCAGGACAGAGGTTGAGATGACCATGTCCATTTTCTTTATGTTAGGCGTATTCAACAGGCAATAAATACAGAATCATGATGAACCAAAAACAGTCTATGTTCCATACCTTTTGATCAGCTGAGTCCGTTTACTAACCCAGCTATGAGCTATAATTGCAATTAGGTCTATGAAGTCCAATTTTGGAGACCATACTTGGATCACGTTTTTCAATTATGAAAAGAGGACTCTCGCACAATTAAGTCTGCTCGTCTCAACGCTCCCGCGGGGAAAGCCTCGAACAAGGACCACTTGGGGTAAGATTTTGCTACCATGTGAAAACTAGCGCGGAGAAGAAACACTTGCAAACTCGAAACTGTTACGGAGGAGGTTAAGGTTGCTGGTAAGGTTAAAGCCGACCCCTTGAACACGTGCCGTCAGGGGAAACGCTCACGGTATGGGACCAGCAAGGGGGACGTGTGAACCATCCGCGAAATGTACCAACGGGCTGGATAACTCAACCAGGTAATTAATACAGGTCAGATATGGGAGAAAAAGTACAGTGGAAGAATTCTCCGAGCCTCATTAGGGTTCCCCTAGGTTGTTTCACTGCCAAAATGTGTTTCAGCTTCAGCTAACGCAACCCACCTTCTGGATTTGGGCACGGACCTTGGTGTTGCGAAGCTCAATATGCAATGGTTTTACGAGCGATGGAAATCTCCCCATTGAAACAACGTTATTCAGACTGATTCTGCCATGCGGGGGGCTTTCGAAACCGCATATTGCAGCTTAAAATTGTACGAGGATGCTCTGATCTCTCCACTTATCCGGTACACCATTGGAGCGCTTTCTCGTTTGTAGGGTGCCAAGCTAGTTAGTACGAGTGCGAAACATGGCTCCCTGAAGATACCTGAGTTGATTGAATGCTCACAGACTCATACGGCAGCAAGTCGGTTTCGTCCCGACCCCGCTGACGACCCATGAAGGGTGATTGTTAGAGATTTTCTACGTGTACATAAGCGATTAAGACCATGCCATGGTGACATCGCTTCTGCCGGAAACACGGTCAATCGCGTGGGACTCGCAAGGATATGAATGGATTTAAACCTGCGGAAGCTGCTGCTTGGGCATCCAGCTCCAGTAGGTTCTCAGTAGGTTCTCAGCAGGTTCTGTGTGCAGTGCAACTAACTACATTCTTTCTTTTCTTATTACTCACTCTTTCACTTTCACTCACTTTCACTGCGACACAATGCGTGCCACTCTTGTCTCAGCACTCTTGTCCATCTCCTCTTTGGCGTCTGGCCTGGAATGGTCGGACAACCATGATGGGGACTTCTCTACTGAGAAGTTCGCAGAGGCTAATTCTCTTCGAAACCGCCGTGTCTGGAACCGGCCAATCAAGCGGCAGTCGGGCTGGAGCCCGCCATCAGACATCTCAACACCCCTTCAAGAGGTTTGGGATCACTGCATCGATACCTACTCAAGTGGCCTCTATGGCTTCAAAAACTATGGCTGGGACCAGCTCATGGCCACAGATGGGTATGAGAGGCCGTTTCATTGCGGATTTCACACGTTCATATAACTAACATGGCTAGAAAACTCAACATGTGTGTCCGTTGGGAATCTAGTGCATTAGTAACCGAGGCCCAGCGCACCCAGATTGCGACAGCCATCAATACTCAGTACCAACAATGGTTTGAGTGGCTTTATGGCTACGATAGCTTCCCTTTCTCCAAAATCGAGGTCAATGTTGTCGGCTGGGCTGTTTCAGATGCCTCCAAGCTGGAGGGCTCGACCGACGGTATCGAGGTTTATACCGATACAGACGCCGACGGAATCCCTCAGTGCGCAGAGGCTTGCGGCAGGTTCTTCCACAACGACGGCGACTACAGCGGGTGTGCAGCAGGCGCAGACAAACACTACGATCAGTCTCTGTGGCTCACCGAGGGCATGAGCGGCGGTGCTGGCGGCGACTGGGGCCAAAGAATCGGAAGCGAGTATATGATCAATGCCCTTGGCTCTGACAGCGTTCATATCCTGCTTCACGAGATGGGCCATACCTTTGGGCTTGATGACTTCTACGGTAAGTAGTCACTAATTTCCTGTATATGCTATATCCAGTGTCCATTTCGCTAACAACTGCCAGATTGGACCCCCACTGGAATCTCGAGCTTCGTGATGCTCGCTGGCTCCGCGACAACTATCACCGACTTTGACGGCTGGATGCTTCGAAACTGGTGGTATGAGCTCTCCCGCAACCGAGGATGGCAATCCGGCTCTGGCTCTAGCTCGAGCACTGCCTCTGCTTCCGCCCCGGCCGCAACTGCTACCGCTACCGCTACCGCTTCCTCAGCCCCAACTTCAGTTGACTCCCCAGACACGACCTCCGTCGTCTCCCCGGACACTACCTCCACTACTTATCCGGATACCACCTCTATTGCCTACCCGGATACCACATCCATCGCCTACCCTGATACTACCTCCATCGCCTTCCCAGGCACGACACCCGTTGCCTCGAGCTCCATTAACTACCCGGAAGCCACATCTAGTGCTAACTCCCGGTCAACTGGCAGTCGAACGACCTCTGGCAGCGGATCGAGGCCTACATCTGGAGTGGAGAGACCATCGTGCGGAAAGAGCCGCAGGAGTTTCAAGGCTTGATTACGGAGACTTGCACTTGACTGTATTTTCTTTCAGTGACTCTTGTTCTCATTGTACTATTTGCTTTTGAGTAAGACGGAAACTCTATGTCATTGTAGCTGGTTCTCAAATATAGAAGTAAAGTCTTTATTCGATTACATCTAACGTTTAGTAGAACTGTGAAAAGGGGAAAGAAAAACTTTGGGCCTCCGAATCGGAAAAGAAGGGTATGGTACCTAGACTAAGGTCTTGACATAAATAAGATATAAATAAGTACTAAGTTTACGGTCTTTGGGATGTTCTGGATGCATCCGATAAAAAAAACTTGCTGATGTTTTTTGAATGTCAATAGAGATTTTGAAGTGTTAAGCAAAGTAACAAGAACTGTATCCACATATACTACGACTTCCTATAACCGGACTTCACCAAGTAGGAGAGTCACTTAAGCACCGGGACTGTTTATGATCTGGTTCAAGGCACACAAGCCGTACATTCCATCGTCGATACATTGTGCGTTCTTAAAACTACTGGCATGTAAAACTAGGCAAGATCCTCTAATATCCTTTATCAAGATCCACACCATCTCTATTTATGTGCTCTGGACTCATATCTGTCTCAACGATTATAACCTCTCTCCTTATATGTGCCCGTTCTCTAAGAACTTCTTCGGAATAGGAACAAACTTGGCTCTCAAGTACTCCCCTAGATTTTTGGCCAAAGTGTCCAGCTTACTCCCAGAGTTATATCCTCTGTCCAAATGGTCCTTGAGGAGGAAATGCACTGCTCTGATATTCTTCATCTCGAAGCGGTCGATCCGACTGCCGCTATACTCATGTGGCCCAAGGAGCTCTTTGATCTTGTCGATGGTGAGTATTGACCGCAGCCACTCCCACTCCTCATCGTCCGCCTCATGCCGGACGAAGAATCCTACGTTGGCATCTGATGCCTTGTCGCCGGAGCGGGCCAATGCAACCCAACCGAGAGGAGCGTGCTCTGTAGGGCCGAAAAAAGATAAATCTCGAGTTGGTGACGGGTCGTATGACGACTGAGGGCCATACACATGCGTTTCTGGGGGTAGAGGTATGCCTGTAATAGATTCATCGCCAAATAGTAGATGAACGCGATGGTTGCAGGCGCTTTGGGGGATACTTGTGACGAAATATTCCCAATAGCTCTTTGCGGCGGATTGACGAAGGTCGTTTGGACGTGAGACCCCCTAATAGGTCATTAGCAAATCAATCTATTTTCAATTTGAGGATTAGCTGGCTCACTGGGCATGATTGCAGGACAGTCTCGTATAATTTCCGAGCGAAACCGTCTGGCTTTGTACCGTCAAATAGGTCTGCAGTAGGCCCTTGAGCAAAGATTCGAAAATCAACTGTAGCAATTTCCTGATTCAGAGGGTCTGGTGGGCTTGTGCCGTGGACATGAAACTTGAGCATTGTGAACTGGCTCATAATTTCGTCACCAATGGCATGTCTTGCCTGTTCCTCCATCCATTGGCATTTCTCCTCGATGTCTAACCCGACGAGATAAAAGTGCCATTCAGCTTGATAGCCACCATGAGCGGTCACACCACAGCGTGTTGTTGGAGGCGGTGGTAAACCTTTCACCCCGGAAACGTGAACTAGATCACTTGATACTTGTTCTAGGCGAATGTCATGAATATTGGCGACTACATCGGAATTGAAGTATAGCGGTCCTGAAATTTCATATACCAGTTGCGATATGGCGGTCTCTGTGTTGACCACGCCGTTTGTGTTCTTTTCTTTCGTAATTCTGCACTCTCCGGTGTGGAACACTTCAGCAATAGGGAAGCCAAGGTTAAGGTGTGAACGGGACTTCATCAAATCCTTAAATCTGCTGTAATACCCGCCTGTGGCAAAGGCAGAGCACTCAATGATGTGGCCAGCAATTAGAGCGCCGGCCAGTTCATCAAGCTGAGCCGGCCCCCAGTTGTGCCACCAAGCGGCGAGACCAATAGTCGGCGCTGCATCCGAGACTCTGCTCACGGTCAGCGGAAAGAATATACGGGATCTTTGTATGATGCTTCTTACCTCCCACAAATGACAATATCGGCTCCTTTTCGTAGGGCTTCGGCTATTCCAAAGCTTCCCAGGTAGGCTTGTGCGCATAGCGGTTTGTGTCCCCATTCATCCAAGGACTTTCCATCAGTGAGGCTATGAAATGTGTGGCCACTTGCAACCATTTGTTGGAATGGTAAGGTAACATCATCACCCTCCACCCATGCAACTTTCATCGAGTATCCTGCTTTCTCGACCATGTCTTTGACAACTTCAGCGAGCAGCTCAGTATCACTGGCGCCAGCATTGACTGCCAGCTTCGTATTGTTCTTTGCTAGATGAGAAATGGCAGGCTCAAAACATTGTAAAAATGTGCTGGCGTACATGGCGTTCTGCTTTCTCTCCTCCAATGAGAGACCGGCTTGTGGTTTCTTCTTTGCCTTGCCAGCACCATATCCTGTCATGACATTTTCGGAGAGCCAGTCGCCAACAATGGCATCGACTTCTGGATTAGAAGCCAATCGTGAGATGGCTGCAACGCGGTCAGTGAAGCCGCCAGAGGCGCCCCCAATACGTATTGGGCGTCGTTCTGTCTCAGATGTCATAATGTACTGGTTTGAAGAAGATCTCGGACTTTGGCCATGTAGTTTTTAGTGGCCCTTCTGGGAGATAAATGTAATCCCTGTCCGTATCCAGAGCTGATACCTCTTGGAGTGCCGCGGGAAAAAATTGGTTTCCTAGGTATCTCGGTAATCGATCTCCGACTCACCTTGCTAGCCGATTGTTTCTCGCTGCGATCGTTTCCCCGCACCAACAATTAGTGCCAGACAACGTCGTAGAACAAAGCCTATAACTCATCAAATAATGACGTAGGTAGTGTAAAGTTGATTTCAGTGTGATGCAGAAGCGCCTTGTGTAGATGGAGTGGACGGCGCAGACACCTGTCCTAGGTCCATGTCAATGAGCCGCGACATATCCGGGAAACGTTTCCGGAACGCATCCCCGATAGTCCAGTTGCTTATTTGTTTCATATGCTCTTGAAAAACTGGATTCACAGTAATCTCTGTCATCTCGTCACTCCTCGTCACAGGAGATAAAAGTACCGATGTAGGGTCGTAGGCCCAATTCAAACTGAAACTGCTGCTATAAGGAACGACAAAGTCATCCAACGTAATTTCCGGATGGATGATCAAGTACTCTCGCGCACGAGGCCTGATGAAGGTTAGCATTTGCCAGTGTATGATAATCGGACAACGTGTACCAAGGAATACGGTCAATCCAGGCGGCGTGTGGAGTGGCCACCTGGATAGGCACTGGCCTGAGCCAGTCTGGAAGCAGCTCCCAACTATCTCGGTCCAAAAGAACCATCCACTGGGAACAAAAAGTTAGCTGATGACAGTAGGAAGTATAGATAAGACATACGTTGAGGAGATGGGCAAGGTTGACAAAGACAGCCACCTGTCTGGGTAGGTCTTCAATTTCTGTGTACGCATTGACGATACCGGCTACGACATTACTGATCTTGTCGTCCGGGCGATGGTTCCTGTCAAGGAGACTGCATAGGTTCGGTTTCCATGTGGACATCGAACTCTGATCTTCAGTAGTTAGCGGGGTGCTGGCCAGCCCTGTTGTCCGTGTTTGGTTGATGAAATCCTGCAAAATGTCGTCTGCGAGACACCCAGCGAGGGTATTTCGCGGGGAGAGTTCCCATGGGGGGACATGTACACTATCCACACTGATAGGGCTAAGTCCTGGTGAGACTGTCGAAGTCTCGTTCCCGTCTACAACACGGCCCAGGAGACTCAGTTGTAGAGCAGCGTTTTGTGTGCGAAGGTGTGCATTGTCGGCCTCGAGCTGGGTGACGGTCAGCCTGAGAGACTGAAGCTCACACGATCGCTCATCTATGGTCGCATTCAGGACGGAAACTTGCTCGCTAAGAGAATTTATCGTCCACTTGGTTCGGTCACGCATTGCCTGCTGTGCCTTGCGGTCACGAGCACGTTTTCGGCGCAGCTCAACCTCCTTCTGGGATTCGCTCTGTTGATCCATGATGGGAGTGGAGTCAGCTCTCGATTGTGCTGCTACTACCCAGATATGCTACGCAAATATAAAAGTATGAAACTGGTTAGATCCATGAAATACTCGATCTCAAAGCATGTAGCATGCAGCAACGTCAGTTGTGGAGGTCGCGGAAGGACGATCGATTCATGGAGAAAAATATCCGGCACCCCGCTTATGTCGTTGGTGGGTGGGTGGAACGTGGGGAAATCTGGGGGTAGTGGTACCCGAGTTTTGTCGTGACTCTTAGCGAAATATAGGAATTATTAGGCCTCTTTAACGGAGTATTTCTTTAAATCAGGATGCGGGAATTTCAAAGCATTGATGGAATACGTTAGATCTTGTAGGGAGTGAGCAGGGAATCTACCCGCCGCCTACGAGATCTTAAGCTTGGAATGCTGCCTTGTCTCAGCCAGTGACGGATTACCCTAAGCTCAATACTACCAATACAGACTTCGAGTCATTATTATAACTAGCAATGCCGCTTTCAAGCCATGGCGTTATAAATAATATAGGGAGAAGAGGTTTCATATTCTTGCATCTGAACATAGAGGCTTGGGAAAGTACGTCGTCACAATTGTTCAATGATGAGGAAAGAACTTAGTGATGTTTATTAGACAAATAATATTTAACAGATAAATCATAAATATTTTATTGTCATTTATAACCGAGACTTACCGCAGTATACATGTATATAGCTGTGAGAATGCTAGTGTAGGATAGGATTTGTGTTTTCATCTCGAATCATTCAATTTGATGCCGAGAGAATTAGCATATAGATGAACTGAAACTTTTAGGCGAGAGGATCAGGTCAGGGTAGAAAATTAGAAGAATAGCTTTCTCGGCTCCCTTTGACGGATCTGTCGCTCTTGGTCGGACAACACCGTAGGTAGTCATGTAGACGGAGAAAATAAGACATTGCAGGATAAATTTCTGTACACATGTCGTAGATGAGCTAAAACCTGATATTTCGAACTCAGAAAGTCATGCATTGATAGCTTTTTGAACCGCTTACCCTCACTGGCCGGTTTGGACGATGTCTTATCATGGAACCGACAACATGGCCAAAATCAAGCCAGACCGGGCAGCTATTCTTGGGGTCGCGGAACCTCCGACCAATTCATTATACTGCCTGCCGCAAAGGATGAAAACAAAACCGGCATGTCGTTTTGCATTATCGAATAAATTAGTTGACTCTCTTGTAGTGGGGAAACCGGGATGTAGACGCCCGCCGCCAGCGCATGTGTGTCATTCCTCACTTAGCACTCGTCCTTCCACCCCCGCTCGGCCTTATATGAAAACGGTATGACCATGGAATGGAGCGGCACATTTACAGTAATTATAGTCAGCATCATGGGAGCAGTTCGTATACCTATATATGCCCGAGAAAATCCCGCCCCCTTTCAACCCATGTGATAATTATTCGGAGAGTTACAGTTCGAGAGGTCGACTCCCTATGGCTGAGGGCTTTGCTTCCGGAATGGATATGCCGACGAAAGGGGTCTTTCCAGGGTCATGTTATGACCAGTATTTTCTCAGAATATTTGATAGCAAGTAGTAGGCCAAGTCGAGTCCATGCTCTTTCCACTTACAGAGTGGGAATTATATCCACGAAAGCAGGATGAGATAGGCTCATGCCGAGTAGAAATCAGCTCAGCAGAAGGGACTTGACAACAGGGCTGCCGCATCACGGGTCGGGTTAGCCGACAAGTGGAAGTCGAGAGGAAGCGCCAAGACGATCCCTCACACGAGATGGCCGGATACTGCCGAATCAAACAAGTTCGGTAGTCGCTTGTGGCCAGGCTTTAATCTACCTGGCACAGGGATGACATGCGGTTCCTGAACTGGTTAGGTTGTTTGAGGTTTAATGGGTTGCCTCCTGGAATGGGGCACATGAGTTATTAAGAGATGAAAGGCTCGGGAATTGATTGGACGCTTGGACCGAAATAAATGGACGCCTCTATAAATAGACATGAGCTGAAGATATCTGACGATGGCAAAAGTTGCCCATTCTCCATGGGGTCTTTAGTTTGGGGCCTTTCGATTGGAAGCATCTTTGCAGCATTGGCTAGTGACTCCATGTCGGCAAGGTAATAAGTTGCATTTCCTGTCTGGAGAAGAAGAAACGGAGGAGCTATTGACGAAAACCACATAGCTAACAGCTCAGTTCGGTCACGAACTATCAGCCGTGATGGGTTTGATCTAAAATCAACACGGGGGATCCACGCATCCGACCTGCCGGAAAGGCGATGGGCCGTCGAAACGCCAAGGATCATGCATGTTGAATGACGCCTCCCGATCCAGGATCAGGCCTAAACAGGATGCTAGTCGGCCATCCTTAGGAATGAAAGCCCGAAGGGGAACACGCTCATGTTTGTGGCGATCGCGCGCGGCTGCCGACTAGTATATAGAGCTGTTCTCCCTCCATCGTAGATCCCTCCACACTTACTATACCGACACTCATTCAGTACAGCACTCCAGTTGTTCAAGATGAAGTTCCAGCTCCTCTCCTTGACCGCTTTTGCGCCTCTCTCTCTGGCCGCTCTTTGCGGCCAGTACCAGAGCCAGTCCCAGGGCGGCTACATCTTCAACAACAACAAGTGGGGACAGGGCTCCGGCTCTGGCAGCCAGTGCTTGACTATTGACAAGACTTGGGACTCTAACGTAGCCTTCCACGCCGACTGGAGTTGGTCTGGTGGCACGAACAACGTCAAGTCTTACCCCAACGCCGGTCTCGAGTTCAGCCGCGGCAAGAAGGTTAGCTCCATCGGCACCATCAACGGTGGTGCCGACTGGGACTACTCCGGAAGCAACATTCGCGCCAACGTCGCTTATGACATCTTCACTTCTGCCGACCCCAACCATGTCACCAGCAGCGGCGACTACGAGCTCATGATCTGGTAAGTGGCGAGGAAGAATCTCCATTGAACTTCTCAGTAGCTAATCCAATATCCTAGGCTCGGAAAGCTCGGTGATATCTACCCCATCGGAAACTCCATCGGAAGAGTCAAGGCCGCCAACCGCGAATGGGACCTCCACGTCGGCTACAACGGTGCTATGAAGGTCTTCAGCTTCGTCGCTCCCAGCCCGGTGACTCGATTCGACGGAAACATCATGGACTTCTTCTACGTCATGCGCGACATGCAAGGCTACCCCATGGACAAGCAGTACCTGCTCAGTAGGTTCATTCCAACAATGAGAAGTCCAAAGGGACCCAAAAAGCTAACACTACTCTTATAGCCCTCCAATTCGGTACTGAGCCCTTCACCGGAAGCAACGCCAAGTTCAGCTGCTGGTACTTCGGTGCCAAGATCAAATAAGCGTCTCGCCTTTCCAATAGTCGGTCCAAGATTCGCCGTAATATATTCTAGCGGTAGCACCCTCTTCAATAGCGTTAATAATGAATCTATAACCACATTCAAGATTCCCAACCCTGTCTGGTCCTGAGTTTAGACTTGACATACGTGTCCATGCTCTTGATTTTTACCGATGTATTTGTGCTGTAGAAATAAACCTAGGGGTTTCTATCCCGCTGTGTTTGTATAGTCGAGACTATTTGAGTCAAGTATGTCTGTATTCCTTATACGTAAAACATACTACCGCGCTCATTTCTTTGCTACACGCAGAGACACAGCCATGTGAGAATAATAGTGATGATAATAATTCCAGTTTCGAAGAAAACTCTGACCTGAAGAGACACGAATGGTGAAACGAATGCAAGCAGCAGGTTTGATCATGCCACGCAAGCCATAGAGCTAGGACCGGGCTCTCGGTTGAATTGGAACCATTACGAGCCAGTTATACCGTGGTTGATATTCAGGTCTAGTACTAATACCCGTTTAAAGGTTAACTAGTGTTACGTGTTCGTCTGATGTCAGCACAAAGCTTTGACGGAAGATCCCCCGGAATCCCTACCTATGTTCTGTCCCCACCAACCATGCGACCAGAAGTTGGAGGTGGGTATTAATGATGTCTTTTGGGGACTACCCAAAAGAAATGAGAATAGGCCCCTGCTTTCTGGAGATGCAGTTTTACTTCTCGCTCCTTAGATAAACAGGCTAACCGATGTCGTGCTGCTGGTTTGTGGCGGAGGACCAGAAAACGGACACCTTTCAAGGAGGAATCGATAGTGGGATAGGTTTATTGGAGCAAGCTATCGTCAACCTACTTAGCTTCAACGACCTTCATACCACAACTCATATGAAAGTTCCAGAGTGCCCAGAGTCTCGCCGACTGCCAGAGGTTGTACCCAAAGCCTGCCAGTTGAAATTCCCTATGAACACCGATGAAGATATTCTCAAGCTTGAAATCACGATGCATAATCTTCTTCCCGTGGGGGTATCGGAGGACCAAGGCAACTTGACAAGCATAGTTGGTTGCACATGATAGATAGTATTATTGTATATTCTTGGAAAACCTTCCTAATTATAGGCATCTGCCGTCGATTCCCAGTCACATGTCATATTGCCCCAGGTGGCGGAGACATAAAATGAGTCAAAGTTGGCGGGGCTTCCGTATCTTTGTATGCCTTTTTCTGTTTCCACCACTTGCAAGTCTCGAAGTCTAGGGGAGCGTGGGGAGACAGACGTCCTGAAAAGAGTGCCGAGTAAGACATGATGGCCTTCTCTAGCAAGATTCTGTCCGTGGGTAGAGTCTGCCGATATCGATCCAAGGAAGCAAGGACATCCAGAAGATATTCCTTCTCTTCCCTCGTGGCGGCTTCGATTGTCGGGTAGATTACATCCAGCGATGTAACAGCGACAAAGGATTCCAGGTCCAAGAGAGCTGGTATGAATTTCCAGACATGGACACACAGTTTCCTGAGGAGGACCCATAACGCAGCCGAGTCTCCATACTCGGGGTAAACGACGCTGCAGTCAAAGAGCATTTTTAGAACAAGCATCTGAGAGGCCATCCAGCACATGTTCATTTGGAACAAGCTGACATCGGCGATCTGGTAGCTTTTTCCGGTAATAGAACTAGGATCATCAATCTCTGTTACAACCCCTAATTCTTTGGCCTTCTTGAATAGTTTGTCATTCACATCGGTGCTGGTATCAAACCCCTGTCTGAGGTCAGCCATCAGCTTTCGGGCTAAGCACATAACACTTGGGTTGTCTCTGTCGGCGCTGGAGTGGATGATATGACAGTCACGGTAAAACGACGCTAGTTTGCTGCATAACGTCTGGGAGGCTTTGAAAGCCGCTTTCGTATGGGGTCTGAGAGCCTGGTTTTGAAATAAGTCCGCCGTTGCATTCGCTGAGGGTGTGTTCCAGGACCCTTTGTTCATGAAGAAATCGCAATCTTTCCTCCGTATCCAGTAGGGAACCTGTAAGAATTCCATCAGCGCAACTGTCTTATCGAGCTTACCAGAGGGAGAGGGGAAGAGAAGAAAGAAAGCAAAGGTAAAAGAGAAGAGGGGCATATTACTAGCACAATATAGTTTTCTGCAACGAGACTAGAATGTAGCTCGTCTCCAGCTTTTGGTGGCCCCAGCCGCTCATTGAGACTGGCTATGCCCAGCTCATGAATGGAAGAGCCGTTATTTTTGTAATTAAACAGCGCCTCGGTCCGCCCCAAAATGGTGATGGAGGCCAGAGTTTCAACAGTTATACCCTCGTCTCCTAGGGCCAAGGTACACCTGAGACTCCGTATAGCCCGTGCGTATTCTGGTAGGTGTGCAAGATTGTCTGTTCTCTCGCCGCGGCGGTACCTATGCCAAACTGAACAGAATAGGTCTATTGAGTCACGAAGAGCAGGGCAAGTCTCCATACACTTGGGAAGATGCTTCAGGTACTTGGTCTGCAGTACCATGCCTCTGTTCGGCGCACTTTGCAGATGTATGACCAGGCGAGCAGCAACGCGATCCCCGTCAGTCGTCAGTTTCTGGCCAGGGGTGGGAACGGAATGGTGGTAGGAATGGGAAAGCAGCCCCTCTTTGTTCAACCGCTGAGCAGCTCGTCTCCCTTGTGCCTCGCTCATTGATGGTGACGATGCTGACGCGGTCCCGGGCCAGCTCTCAGCGCTCTCAGACCAAGCATACTTGTGGCCGCTTCCATCGGAACCAACGTGAAGGTACTTGACTAATGACGATGGCCCTGGACATGCGACCTTTTTTCTTACGCATTGCGAACACGCTGGCCACTTCCTGTCGCACTGCTCCAAAACTGGGCGTTAGCTCGACCAGTCGTACGATTCCAAAATGAAGACAACAATGCGAGAGAGCACCTTAGTTCGGCGGACTTTGCAGTTGCGACAGGCCGTGGATGTGGGAATTCCTGGCATTAGTAGATGCTTGAGTCTTCGCAATTGCGCGTATATTTCTTCCTGTGCACTTGTCGTCCGAGGCGAGGGAGGAGAAGATGGCGAGAGAAATCATTGTTTTGGCTTTGAACATGTCCGTTGGTGGATATATTAAATGCAACCCCTGTGGGTTTACAAAAGTCCCTCCTGTCTTCGCATCATGCAGCCATAAAGGAACTTTCGATGTCAAAAGAACTCGGTTTTTTTCCCCATCAAATTAGCAATATACTACAATATTTAACTGGGTAAAAATTCTTGCATTTAAATATGCCACTGTGCTTATAGCCTTGGAATGAGTCTACCTTTGCTAGTGTTCATTAGATTAAACAATTTTCGTGTAGAAATTCGAGTGGTTACTGTTTCTTGGAGTCTAATCACCCGTATCGTGGCACCAGAATCAAAAGTTCTTTCCAGTATGTATAAATGTTTAATTATTGAAAAGAGCGTCCTGTGTGGTAGATCTATAAAGTAATAATAAAAAACACTTAGCCGTCTAAATCTAAGTATTGAAAACCGGTAACGAAGGAAGAAGACGGGGAACCCCTGTCATTATGAAAACTAAAACCACCATCCATCGCTCTCACAATCAATCGCCACTTTATCTCATATCCGCTCGCAAACATGACCTATCATTCAATATAGTCACTCAACACACTTCATTTATGGGTTGGGGTTGGGCTTCATGACACCACCCTGGACAACAGGGGGGATGACAGAAGTGCCAGTAAGAGCAGCCAGGTCGCGGTGCTTGGCGAGGCTGAAGTTGGGGTCGTTGAAGTTCTGGTTAATGACACCGACCATGCCCTTCTGGCAGTGGTTGCCGTTCTGCTGGGGACAGTAGTACCAGATGGGCTTGGTGTCGTTGACGACGATCTGGAAGACGTTGGGGTTCTTGCCCTGCTGGGAAGGGAAGTTGAAGCCGGAGAAGAAGCCGGTGCCGGCAGCGAGGGGCTTGCAGGGCTCGCCGAAGGATGACTGGGCAACAGCGTGGTTCAGGGGGAGGAACTCGTACTGGACAATGTCACCGACTTGAGCGACGACATTGTCAGGCTCGAAGCGTAGGCCACCAAGACCGGCGACGACGGAGTGTGTGACACCAGTGAGGGGAACAGTAGGGGTCTGGGTATCCCGGATGGTCTCAGTAGGAGCAGCGGCAGAGAGGCCGAAGAAGGCGGCAAGAGCAACGGCGGAAGTGATGGAGATCATTTTGTAGGTTGTTTGAAAGTTGTTGAATAAAAGTTATTTGTGATTAAGTTGAAGAATCGTGAGCAAAAGACTCAAAGAGAGAAGTAAGTGGCTGTTTGTTGAAGTGATTGTGTGAAGCTGTTGATTGTGGTGATGGTGAGGATGGAAATTGGATGTTGGCCAGAACCAAGGTCTTCTTATATACAATTTCAATCACATACGATGATTGTAGCCTCAAATGTCTTCTAACTGACAGTAGTACACTGGTAAGCAATTATCAATCTCATTTTCCATCTAAGCCATCCGGATGCCAGACTTGCCGGTACCTCGCATCTCCATCGTCATCCTCTAGTGGTCAGCAGTGATGACAGCCCTCTCAAAAAGTGGGTGCTCAAAATAGGTCCAAGCAACAAATATCCCGAGTGAGCCACAATGCCGGTGCCAAAACCGCAGGGCAGGGACTGGAGAGTCTCACAGCCCCCGGATTGATCATCTCTCGGAGGTCGGCCGCACGCAAGCGAGGGTCTGACATCGGCAGAACTAAATTTAGCCTTGCTTTGGCAGGATGATGTGCGCGATATGTGATTGGCGAGCCCATCTGTTACTGCTTATGCCCAAGACCAGTTGTGGTTAGCAGACCAACACCACCACCATCTCTGCCTTGAGCCTGCTTATGTTAGTTTGGGGGCTGCGCCCTGTTTGAGAAACAGTCTGGTGGTAGCATAGCAGGAGGCGTTGGAATATTTTTATGAGTGCTATTTGAAGCTTCTAATTAAACTACGGTTTGTTAGATTCCTTCTCTGAATTGGGTGGCTCAGCTTATTTTCAACGTCTAGATTGACGGCGGGCTTCTATTTTTCTTCTGTTGCATCGCGTATGTTAAGCTTCTTTCTTTGATTACAAACTAAACAAACAGTCATGTGCCAAGAAATACTGCCACATTAGCATGCTCTTAGAAGAGCATGTGTGGCGGTAGTTCCGAGCAGGACAAGGTCCATTGCCATTGGTGCCACGAGACCACAGGAATTAGCCATAAGCAAATAGAAAACCTGGTATTTCTCTTCTGGGCATCTTATCCGACACTGACATCGAAAAATACAACCAGCGGCATTGGCTGAAACTCGCCTCATGACGCAGCTTATTTTTTGCTTTGCTTATACGCCAAACCTGGGGTATCGCTGGGGGCGATAAAGAGGAATGCGTGTGTATGGGCTCGAATAAAGAAACCAAAAAAATGAGCCTAATGCTGTGCCTCTTAGCAAGCCAACCGTTGTCCAGGTCAGACCTGTGTCATGCGCAGTGTAAAAACAACTGGAATATCCAGGTCAGCTATGTTGGTGTTTATGGAAACAGGCAAGATCATCAACACCAGATGCATGCTGACAGTGTGACCATCTTCTGTATTTCACGACGCTCGTATTCAGCTTTGCAAAGGTTCTTCCGGTGCTTGGTTGGTTGCAATGTTCAACAGAGAGGCGATCTTAGCCATCAGTACCGGCCTTGTAGATAATTACAGGCATCGAGATTACCAACCTTGGTCTCCGGGCATGGAAGGATGTAGTTCCTTGCCTAATATCATGATGATTACTTTTTCTTGGTTGTTTTGATATTATCGGTGAGAAGCCCCCAAAAGGCGTTCCGAATGGCAGCCGAAGTCTCATTATGGACCTCCCTAGGAATAATGCTCAGCTTCGATCCGATCCCAAGCTGGGTCCACGAATCACGCAGCTTCTTAAGATTTTGCATCTTAAATTCATTCATTAGAGGTAAACCATCCGAGCTCCCCACTGCTTCCACAAGCCAATCCCAAAACTCTGAGCTGCCAGACATATCCTTGTCGTTTTCTCCGACAAGAAATTGGAGTGAAGTGTCCTCTATTTTATCAACTTATATGCCTGCTTATCGAATAGACTCTCAATATTTGCGATGCCTTGAGGCCAGTCCTTCCCAGTGTCGGGATACCTAACCCGTCTAGGAGCTCCTAAGGTCGCGGAACCGATAAAGTCGGCGGTCAATGTCGTTGGCATTTTCAAAACCCACGGTAAACAGTCGTGATAAGACGGCAAAGCCGACATCGTCGGCGAGCAGTGTCGGTTGGTCACTTCCTTGAACACCTGACAAGGTACGATCAACCCCGTTAATGTTGACAGGTAGAGGTAGTTTTCTGTGGGTGAAGTCTGCCCGAGGGTTGTGATGGGTTTTTGGGACGTAGAGATCGTAAGAAACCTCTGGGTCTGACCTCGATGAAATCATAGGAAACGGCTCGATGAGAAACACGTACTCAAGAAACTTCGCGGGCACGTTGGAGGTTGCCAACGGGTTTCCCACGCCAACAGGGGTCAGGGCCGATGCAAGTGCAATTAACAAGAGAGGTGGGTTTCATTCTCACGCGCCTCGAGGCTGAGGTGTTGGAAGGGGGCTGGATCCATTAGCGCATGGTAAGCGAGTGAAAATGGAAACCAGGTGAGAGCTGAGCAGAGGATGAAACGTACCGTTTTATTATTTTGTATCTAGATTTAATATGCCATGCACTGGGATGCATAGCACCAATAATTCCATGACTCTGTAGCCAAGATCAGATGACTTGATAACCAGTGAGCAACATACAAAGCTCAAGCAAGTGCCTGAGAATACCTAGATCCATCACCTGGTGCGAAATTGACAAAGATTAGTATGGGACTCATCATGAGCTCGAAGGAAGAGGCAGGAGGATGGGTGGAATAAGAGGAAAGATAAGGAGTGGTGGGGAGGGCGGAGAGGATCAGCGAGGCAGCGAGGAACGAGGACCAACGCGCCGAGACCGCTAAAACATTTTCTTGGCTTTTAATCTCATGGATGAGATGCAAGACGGAATTCGGGGCTCTGATTTGAAGTCCTTGTCTACTGTTGCTGCGAGAGACTGCGGAGTAATGAGGCCAGTTCCAATGCCGGGGCCGACCAACTCCGAAAATCCCGACGGAGAGAAGCATTTAGGAAACTTACCGTTTGCCTCAGGCTAGCTCCCTCGTATAAACTCATACCAGTAAATATTTTTAAAACATTGATTTTATTCCCTGTCGATGTAATATGTAGTTGAATAATGTACTAGAAAGGAACAATGATTTTCTGCGTTGGATTTAACGGTGAGTTTGTAAATTGCTAGAATAGTTAGCAGGATCCAAAATGATATGATCAGCACCAACTTAAGCAAGCGAAATTCAATTGCTCTTGGTTGAGTCGATCATCCTCCCAAACTGTTTCATGAACTGGGGTAGGATCTTGAGGACGCGTCAAGATGCACTGCCTCGAATTGTTAAATATTAGCCCCTGAGGACTCTTGGCGCGATACTTGCTATATAACATACCTTTCTCTTGTGTTCCCGATTCAGCCTTCAAAATTGATTGCCAACATTTCGAATTAAACATCTCACAGAATGTCTATTTCATCAGAGGATAATTACACGATTATTCGTGAGTCAGGTAAATAGAGATCCGCTTGTGTCTTCGCCAGTATCGATTTACAAGCTAACCTGACATGTGAGCACAAAAGCCTGCGGGGAACGGATATTCTACCTATACCACCGTCTTGGAATCCAGTCAAATGTGATTGTTACTGCCACATACGATAATCCTTACGAACTACTCGATGAGAATCTCGTA